TGTAAATAAAACTTATTTATTTGTCTTTTTAATTTTTAATAAAAGTTCAATTTAATCACAAAATACCTTTTTTATAATAATAACATTTAAGATATTTATAAATAAAAAACCAGTTACAGTTTCAATATTTTTTTTTTTACATGAAAACTATATGTAGTTTACCAGTTATAAGTTCTTGCAAAAATAAAAACACATACAAAACTAAAAAAGTTTATAAAGATATAAAGATAATTTTGCACTTGGTTTTTTATAATACTTAGAATAAAAGAATTAATTTTTTTTTGCCAATTTAATTTTATTTCTATGACATTCGCATATCAGCCCAGTAACTAAGAATCTCAGTCATGACAAAATAATTCCGCCTTTAAAATAACACAATATACATCGTCAAATACACACATACGAGAACATCTAATACGTTATGTTTCATATGTAAAATTATTCAAAGTATTTATTTCTGCTAATTTTATTATTGTTATGACTCATAAAACGAGTATATAAAATAAACATTTGATTTTGTTTAAAAAACATTAAACAAAGAACTTAATTTATATTATTTCTAGTTTAAGTATTCATTCGGCAAGGAATAATTCTTTATTAAAGTTTTGTTTTCTACATGCAGCAAAATTATATAACGGAGAATATAATTATTTTACTCTTAATTAGTTCAATATAAAAGTAAAATGTAATAGTCTTTGGCGACTACTTTAAAAATTACATAATATTTCTACTTGACATTTTTAATTCGGTTAGAATCGGGTCGCTCTCAATGAAGTCTCTGTGAGTCCTGTGGGCCAACTTTAGCTCTGCCCCGTCCTCGCCAGAGAGAAGTCGGTAAGTCACTAGCTGAGCTTCCTTTAATATATGGAAGTGCAGTGGCGGCAAGCCGATCATCACCTCCAATACAGCGGTAGGTGCCGTCCGCATTGCCCCGGTCACTCCCAGGCAGGCCAGCCTCTGTAGCTTTTCCAGCTGGGCCCGCACACCCGCCTGCTGAGACTTACGGCACCATACAATTGACGCATAGGTGGCGATGGGCCTAGCAAGGGCCGTATATAGCCACGGTGCTATCCTGGGACTGATTCCCCAGGTCCCCCCGATGAAGCTCCTACACGTCCACAAGGCCGCCGTAGCCCTCTCGATAACTCTATCTATATGGGTATTACAGGAGAGACGATCATCCAGGGTTACCTCCAGATACTTCACCTCCTAGAGTAACTAATACGTTCACCAAACAGAATTGGGCTCGTTAATCTGTCCTTCTGCGTCTGGTGAAGGCAACCAAAGTGCTCTTGCTAGGATTTATATTTAACTCAACGCCTTCGCACCACCTCTCCACAACACTTAAATTTTGCTGTAGAAGACCAGAAATAGTGCTCTCAAATTTGCCCCGTACGACGAAGGCCACATCGTCAGCGTATCCCCAGACACGTGCCCCGGAGCCCCTGAGAGCAGCGATTAGATCATCAACTACAATGGACCACAGGAGGGGCGAAAGAACCCCGCCCTGCGGACACCCTTTTGCAGCATAGATGAAGAGTATATTGTCAGCTATGGTGGACTTAATAATCCTGTCCTGTAGCATCCGATTAACCCATCTGCTAGTCGTCGCATCAATCCCTCGTTTGTGCAACGACTCACAGATGACATGATATGGGGTGTTGTCAAAAGCTCCCTCTATATCAAGGAAGCAGCCAACTGCCACCTCTCGCACTTCCAGTGAGTTTACAAGAACCCCCACCAGACTCTGCAGAGCGAGTACAGTAGACCTTTCCGACTGATAGGCGTACTGAGATTCATGCAAAGGATTGCTTCCCAGTTCATCATCCCGTATAAATCTATCAATCACTTTTTCCATTGCTTTCAATAGAAAAGAAGTAAGGCTGATTGGACGGAAAGACCTTGGGTGGTTGCTTGGTCGCTTACCCGCGTTCGGAATATACGTCACTTTAGGCACCCTCCATGCCTCTGCAAAAATGCGGGATATATCCCGTCATCAACTGGAGATTTGAAGGGCCTGAAAGAGAAAACAGCCCATCTAATCCTGCCCATCGTGAAAGCTAGACGGGATCGTTGCCAGTCATCCCTTCTGGGCCAGGATGCCCTCGGTTCAATGACCGCATTTGAGTGATTCCGAAGAATCTTCGAGTCAGGAAAGTGCGTTGACGCCATAAGCTCCAACATCTGCTTTCCGTTCTCAGTCATGGAGCCATCAGGCCGTTCTATTAGGCCCAACCCGCTAGCATACTTTTTGGAAAGCACCCTGTGAAGAAGCGCACTGCTGGACAGTTCATCAATGCCCCTGCAGAACGCCCTCCACGAAATTCTCTTCGCTTTCCTAATTTCTTTGTTGTATTTCGTGAGTGAGTTTTTATACTCTTCCCACGAACCCGACGCCTTGGCGTTATTGAATAGCTTTCTGGTCTTTGATCTAAGCCTTGAAAGCTCTTCATTCCACCACGGGCACTTCCTATTGCTCCGCCTCGGCTTAGCGCGGCAGCTCCCATGGTAGGCACTAGTAATAGCCGCCGTCAGAGCCTCGCTGCAAGTTCGATATCAATCACCGTTCTGATAGAAGCAGGAATGGATCCAATACAATCCATGAGGAGTGTTTCGAATTGACTCGAATCTGTGGATTGGGGTACCCGATACATTTCTTCTGTCAGGCCCTCGGAGACCATGATATCAAACCTAATCTGCCTATGGTCGGACATGGATGTCTCATTTGAGACATGCCATCCACTAACCCTACTGCTGATAAACTCAATGTAAAGGATGATGTCAAGGACCTCTTCCCTAATTGCATTTATGAAAGTCGGCCTATTGCCCTCATTCATAACCATTAATTTATTTCTATATATAAATTCAAGTAGGCACTCACCTCTTTTGTTTATATTACTGCTTCCCCAGACGGTGTGGTGGGCATTGGCATCACTAACTATTATTAGTTGGAAGTTTCTCCTTCCACAAAAGTCCATCAGATCTTTTCAGTTGTTCGTCTGGGTGGGCACAGTCTCCCGAGAGGTAGGATGAGCACACAATGAACTCTGTCCAAGCCCCAGAAGATTTCACCTTCACCAACACAGCTACCCGATCCTTAGAACAGTAATCTGGATTACTAAACAAAATGCAAGCCCTAGGCCTGTCCCCAATTGTATTATCATACAATAGCTCACCTGTTAGGCCCTTAACCTGATCCTTCACTATGTAAGGCTCTTGGATAAGGGCGATATCGAGATGATCCTTCATAAATCTATGAGCTAGAACATCAGTAGATGCCCTAGCATGCTGTAGATTTATTTGGATGCACCTTACAGCCATATCATTTCCTCCGGCTCTTGTCTATTTTGGTCCTTACATAAGCCTTGCTTCCCATTGCCGCCTGTTTACGCATCTTGGTGGGCGCCCGCCCTGCCATAGCCTCTTTTGCCGTCCTAGGTGCCACACTAGCCCCTCCAACAGCAAATACCGAAGCAGTACCGGGCTTCCCAATGGGCTTGGGCCCTTTTGGTTAACCCGGGACGCTTGTATCCGGCGCGCTGGTCTACGGTCCTTCCGCCTCCTCCGTTTTCGGAGCGACTTCAGACTTTCCAATGAGTTTTGGCTCTTTTGGTTGGCCTGAAGTGCTCGTTGATAGTTTCCTAAGTAATTCCCGAACCTAAGTTCCTAAGTAATCGAACTGTGATTGCTACGAAGGTAGGTGGAAATTTTTCCTCCGCACGCACCCAACGCGTGCCTGTTTATTCCTTTATATATAGAAACATTAAACTGACGCGATATTTAGTTAGTTTTTAGTTAAGTATGAATAACTTGCTCAGTAGATCTATTATAACGGCCATGAAGTGGTTGAAATGTTTAAGAAATAAAATGTAATAAACTTGAAGCTTTGTTTGAGCGGCAGTCATGCATAAAGAGTCAAAAATACAAACACAAGAAACCAAACAGAAAATTAATAAGCCATTATAGTGTCTAATATGTTATTTATCCACGTATATTTAAAAACTAAGTCAATATTGTATAACAGTAAAAATTTCGTCTAGTTTTAATTGAATTGAAGCAAAGATTCATTAAGATGTGAAAAAGCATCACAATGACATTATAATATATTTTGACTTTTACATAGCAGCTCTATTCTAGAGTGATCCTAATAAAATGAACTCAATCATTAATAACTAAAAGCTAAATAAAAATTAAAAGTCCTAAATATTCGAGTACTCTTACTTTGCTTAAATACAGTGAACGAAATACGGTCCATGTTATTTGAAAACACGAAATTATATGTGCAATTTAAATCCATAGAAATTTCCATTAAGTTAAATCCATAATTTATTCCACATATGTAATTATTTGTTGATCAGCTTGACGCTCCAATTCTCACCTGCCAAAACAATAATTAAAAAAAAAAAGCGGAATTAAAAAAAATACAAAAAAAACAACTGCGCGTCTAATTTTTGATTTTCAAAATCAGTAAAGCGATTGAATTTTTCGTTTCGTTTTTGAGTGCCATAAATTTTTCCCATAACAATTGTGCTCATAATTAACTGATCTAACAGCCCGACATAAATAAATATGTAATTAAGTTTGTAATTTTGTTACAAAAATATGAGGTTTTATATTGTTTTTATTTACATATTTATTTATTCAATTGCTCTTTTCAAAATAAACTACATAGGTAATTTTAAAAAATAATGGAAAGTGAATCCAACATAAGGTTTTGAGAAATGAACTCATTATTTATTCAAATTCAAACTCTTTAGCGAAAATTGATGCCATTTTCATTGTAGGAAGTTGGTAGACTTGTGAAAATTTATTGTGAGATGACAAATTTCAAGTATACTAGTAGACTAGCTAGTCAAAGCTAATAATAATTTGTAAGCTGCATCTTTTTAAATCTTCTGAAAGAGCTGCTATGTGTAACGTTTTAACATTAGAATAACAACCTTAGTCCGCCTATTCTAGACATAATAAAACAATTCTAATCTTATAAATTTTAATTTTAGACTTTATTCAATATTAGCACCAAGTACAATTAGACCAAATTCCGAATATCATGTAGCAGTTAATGTGTATCGTAATGGAGAACCAGCAACAATAAAATTGGGTATTATAAGTCCAAATTATTCAAATTTTAAGACTGTAGAAGTACGTCCGTTTTTCTCAGAATTAGTACAATTCGATGTAAGTAAATTTTTTTGAAATAAGTTTTTTTAATTTGAATTTGTAATTTTCTTGTTTTTTTTTAATTTTATTTAAAAAGTTACCAGACATAAAAGAAGACAATTATAAGCTTACAGCTGAGGGTATTTCTGGTTTAACATTCACCAATGAAACCAATCTACTATATGATTCTAAACAATTATCAGTTTTAGTACAAACTGATAAAGCTATTTATAAACCGGGTGATATTATTAGATTTAGAATATTAATACTAGATGAAAATTTAAGACCAGCTAAAAATTATGGAGAAGTTACTGCTGAAATGAGAGTAAGAACTTTTGCAAATACCTTTTTGTTACTTTATTCGCAATATTTTCCTTCAAATATCAAATCTATTAATAAAGTATAGTTCTTTTAATATCTTTAAAAGAATAAAGTATAGTTGGAAATTTCAAATAATAACTACTAAACACTAAAAAGAAGTAACAAAATGGTGTTCTTTATTTTGTGTGTTTTTGTGTATTTACTATATCAACAAATATTTTAATTATTTTTAAGGATTCCCAAGGAAATTTAATTAGAACATGGAACGATATTCGTTTAACAAATTCCATATATAAAGATGAGATTCAATTAACTGGAGATTTTCCTGCTTTAGGTGAATGGACAATTAATGTAATAGTTATGAAAGAAACCCATGTCAAAACATTCGAAGTTGATGAATATATTGTACCGAAATATAAAATTTCAATTGAAACAGCTAAGCACACGTTTTATAAAGATGGCAAAATTACAGCAATAATACGCGCTAAAGAACATTTTGGAAAATCAATTAAAGGTGAAGTAACTGTAGCAATTTATCCTAAATTTTATCAATCATTGCAACCATTTATACTTGGTTTAATAACACGAAAAGTTGTGCCATTAGATGGAAAAGCATATATAGAATTTGATATTAAAGATGAATTAAATTTTAAAGAAGATTACAGACGTGATATATTATTAGAAGCTACTGTAGAAGAACAATATACCGGTAGAAAACAAAATACATCCACTGTAGTTTCATTATATCGTGACCGGTATAGTATTGAAGCTGTTCGAATACCAAAATATTATGTACCAAATGTTCCATTCGATATTTTAATTAAAGTTTCACAACAAGATGGAACACCTATTCAAGATCCAGCCAATCTTGTATCAGCATATTATACAGATAGTCCTAGCAGCGAAGAACTTAAGAATAAAACTGAAGTTAAATTAAATAATTTTGGAATGGCTACACTACAATTTGTAATTCCAGATACTGAAACAGCTGATCAACAAGCTATCATTGTAAATATTATGAATACATTACTTTGATTAAGTAAATAAAAAATTTAGAATGTATTAAGAAAATTAATTTTTCAATAGGTTAAATACTTAGATGTTACGTCAGAAGTTGGCACAATAGAAAGAAAACAAAGCCGTAGTGAAAACTTTATACAAGCAGAAATTTTAAACGAAAAGTAAGATTTTTGAAATTACAAAAAAGAAATGACTATGAAAATTTTTGATATTTTAGACCAACTGTTAATCAAGAAGTCAACATTGTTGTTAGATCAAATGAGCTAATGAAGTATTTCATGTATCAAATTGTTGGACGTGGCGACATTATAACTTCAAGAACTATTAATGTATTTTTAACCTATAAAATATGATTACTACATTTAACTTTAAATATTTTTATTAGGTTGATAATTCAAATTATCATAGCTTTAAATTCTTGGCAACTTTTGCAATGGTTCCGAAAGCAAATCTAATTGTTTCTTATGTAGATAGCACAGGAGAATTGATTTTTGATGAACAAGTGATCGATTTTGGTGACGATTTGTGGAATTTCGTTCATATTGAAGCACCTGAAAAATCGTCTCCAGGGCAAGAAGTAGATATAACAATTACTACAAAACCCTACTCATACATTATGTTAACGGCTGTTGATCAAAGTGCTGTCGATATAAGATGTTGTGAAAATGATATTACTAAGGATATGATAAATGATGAGCTAAGTAAATATGATGCAGATACTGAAATGACTAATCGGGGCAGCCCTGGTCATGATTCAGGTTTAATAATACTAACAAATTCCGACTATTTTGCAATCAAATGTAAGATTTTATAATTTTATTCAGAAGTTATAAAAATATTCACTCACACATTCGTCTGTTAATTATTTCTAGCTGATTCCACAAAAGCTCCACCCACCACATTAAATGTTGTTGAAAGTGACGAAAAACTTACAAAAAAAACTGATATCGGTCCAGCTCATACCTTTGATGTGAACACCAAACCACCTTTAGCAGGTCCATATGCTTTCAGTAGAATTCCAAAACCATTTTGGAATCGTCCCAGAGTACATGTTATGGGTGATGTAATGGATACATGGTTATTTATGAATATTTCATCAGGGTAATTATTCAAAAATTTTCAATTACGAATTCTATTGAAAAATTGCCTTCCGTGTTTTTCTATAGAAATGATGGACGTGTAACAGTTCAACAAAAGCTTCCCAATTCCATGAATTCTTGGATGGTTACGGCGTTTTCAGTTGATCCCATTACTGGTTTGGGTATCCCAAAAAATACCAGATCTATAGAATATTTCAGATCTTTTTATATAACTACGGAATTACCTTATTCAATAAAAAAAGGTAACCTATATCAATATATCAATAAATAATTGGGTTTAAAATGAATATTGTAGGTGAAATTATTTCAATTCCTTTTGTTGTTTTTAATAATCAAAACAAGGAAATCGAAACTGAAGTAACTCTATATAATGTTGCACGTGAATTTGATATAGTTCAAATTAGTAATGAATTAGAACCAAATACATCAAGTAAATACAACCAATTTTACAAACAAAATTACTCAAAATGGTTTTTTCTGAACAAAACTTAATAATAATTTCAGCTGTTGAGTTATACAGTCGTCAATCTCTAAGAATCCCAGCGAACTCTGCTCAATCTGTTTCATTTATGATACAAACCAAAAGAATTGGACCTGTTATGATTAAAGCTACAGCTAATACCCCGCTTTCCGGTGATACAATCGAGAAAATTTTGATGGTTGAACCTGAAGGAACCCCAATAATGGTGACTCGAGGAATCCTTTTGGATTTACGTTCTGGAAAACCAATCAAAGAAAATATAACTATAGGAATTCCTAAAAATGCTATACCTGATTCTTCATATATTGAAGTTTCTGTCGTTGGCGATCTTTTAGCATCTGCAATAAAAAGCCCAGAGAAACTTTTAGACAAACCAGATGGTAGCGGTGAACAAAATATGGCAAAATTTATGCCCAATTTAATGGTACTACATTATTTACAAAAAGCAAACTATGGAAGACCAGAAATTGAAATGAAAGCAATAAAGTATTTGGAACTTGGTTACCAGAGGCAACTTTTTTATAGGCATTCAGATGGATCATTTAGTGAATTCGGAAGTGCAACTGATAAAGTCGGAAGTACTTGGTTGACGGCATATGTTGCACGAGCATTTAAACAAGCTGAAAGTTATATTGAAATAGATCATACAATTGTTAGTAGAGCTTTACAATATTTAGCAAAAATTCAAGCACCAGATGGTCGTTTTCCAGAGCTAGGTGATGTAACAATACGTTTCGAAGATGATGGAATTAGTTTAACAGCATTTACTTTATTAGCATTTTTGGAAAATTCAGTGAGTACATATTAAACTAACACAATTTCATTAGCTTATTTAAGTAATTGCTTTTCGTTCTTTAATTTTAGAATAACATTCCAGAACATAGAAATGTAATTAGCAATGCTATAAATTATTTAGTCAAAAGTTTATCAACCACAAATGATGTATATCCGCTCGCAATTTCAGCATATGCTCTATCAGTTGCAAATCATAATACTAAAAATTTGGTAGTTCAACGTCTTGATTCTTTGGCAACTTATGAAGGTGAAATAAAAAAGAAAAATTGAATTGAATATCCTAAATATATATACAAATGCATTTTAGGTGACAAAAAATGGTGGTCTAAACCATATCCAGTCTCTGAAAAGAAAAGTCCTTGGTACAATAGTACTCGTTCAATTAATAATGAAATAACTGCTTATGCTGCTTTGGCGCTCTTAGAAAATAACTATATATCAAATGCAATTCCAGTTTTAAAATGGTTAGTTGATCAAAGAACTAAAATGGGATCATTTGTATCATCCCAGGATACAGTTGTTGGGTTACAAGCATTAATTAAATTTTCGGAAAGAGTACCAGATATTCAACCAAACGTTCAAGTAACATTTGAACCGAATGATGGATCAGAAACTAGAATTAGTGTTAACAATGGTAATGCTCTTGTACTTCAAACAACTCAGGTTAGTTTCAACAAAATATATTTCATGCACATATAAGATATAACATACATATATACAATATATCATGCGTCTTATTTATTTATAGCTGCCAAATAATATTAAAAATGTAACGGTTAAAGCATCTGGTAGCGGTTTGGCACTGGCCCAAGTTTCATACAAGTATAACACCAATATTACTGGCGCATGGCCTCGTTTTTCATTAGATCCACAAGTTAATCGAATTTCACATGCAAATTATTTACATTTGTCCATTTGTGCAAGGTATAAAAAATCTATTTTTATGAAAAATTATTTTCTAAAATTGGAAAATTTTTTTGCTTCATAATTTTTAGTTTTGTGTCAGTTCCCGGTGAAAATAATAGATCAAATATGGCAATAATGGAAGTAAATTTACCAAGTGGTTTTACAGTCGATTTGGATACACTACCATCATTAGAAGCGAACGAAAGAATAAAGGTCATTGTTAAATTTCAAACATTCATTAAAAAATTTACATATTAAATTAAAATTTTATTTTTTTTCTTATAGAAAGTCGAAACTCGAATGCGAAATACGGTTGTTGTAATATATTTCGACTATTTAGGTCGTAGAGAAATTTGCCCAACTCTTGATGCTTACAAAACATATAAAGTAACAAAACATCGACCAGTACCTGTCATTATATATGACGTTTATGATAGTGGTAAGTTTTTATTAATTTTCGAATATACAAAAATTTTTTTCATATGCATACATTTAAAATTTTATTGCAATGCTACATATTAAATGTATTTTTAGCACGAAAAGCCAGAATGTTTTATAGGGCACCGAAATCAACACTATGTGATATTTGTGAAGGTTCAAGTTGTGGAAAATCATGTGGACCACAAGAACAGCGGCAATCCAGAGTACTTGTTGATTTCGATGAAAAACTAATTAAGGCTAAAACGGGCGGTGGGGCACAATCAATATTTTCAACGACGTTTTCTACAACAATTTTAATAGCATTATTTATAGCAAGAATAATTACTTAATTATTACATACATGTACATATGTTAATTTATAGTAACATAATTTTTACAGTTTAAAATTATAATGCCATCTGAATAAAAAAAAGTATTTTGTTTGATTGTTAAGTTAAAAAATAAGTTTACTAGGTTATGTAAACGCAAAATTAAATTTTTAATAGAGTGTACAATATGATTTTGTTGTAAAAGAAAATTTTTAAAAATCGAATACTTAAAATTTTTAAATAACTTACTAATTAAAATTATTATTTTTCTCAATTATGTAATTTTTTTCCCTTAAAAATAAATTCCATACAAATTTTATTGATAAAATTAAAATAAAAGTACATGAAATAAAAAAGAGCTTTAATATGTTATTTAAAAAAATTTATTATTTAATGTAATATAATTTTTATAATGTTACTAATTTATGAATTGAAAATTAAGAAATTTTATTGAGAGTTTATTTGAAATTCAGAAAATATAAAATATTTAAACAGATAGAATTTTAATAATTTATAAATTTAATTTATTGAGAATGTTAAATTCAATTATGTTTATTTTAAATATATATTTAAGTTTTTAAAATTTTAAATATGTTTTAAAAAAATTTGTTTTCAAACCATTATTTTAAAAAATATTCAATTAAATAAATTTTTTTTTTTAATTTTAAAAAATAATTATTAATAATACCAAGTTAAAATAATACTAAGTTTTAATAATAATTATTAATAAACCCAAGTTATTTAACTAAATAACAATATTTTTGTAAATAACAACATAATTTTTATACATAAAAACACAAAAACAAAATTAAAAAAAAAATTAGTTAAAAAGGGAAATGAAAATACCGTTTTATTTGTTTAAAATGATGAAAAATAATTCCAAATTTTTTTTTCAGTTACTCGAATAAATGTTTTTTCTTTATTATTTGATATTTTTTTATCTAAGTTTTTTTTAAATTTAGTGTCATTTGCTAAGTTGTTTAGTTTTTAATTAAATTCGTCTAAAAAAATAAAAATCTATGATGAAAGCTACTAGATTTGAGATCCATAAAATACCCGCTTCTTTTGAATTCGAATAATTTTTACTTGTACTATTACATCTTGTTGAACCAAGTCAAGAAAAACTGAAAGGGTTCGAGATTTTGTAAAATCCCTTGTGAACACAAGTAATGAAATGTAAATTAAAAAGAAAATAACTATCTACATAATCATTTATAGTTTCACTTATATAAAACGCAAACGAATCCCACATGAATTGTTAGAAAATTCACTTGAATTCGGAATATAGTTTCACTAGTAGAGAATCTCTTTCTACCAAGTTCAACTGAATATTAATATTAAAACATGAATATGCACTTTAATTCGTATTTAAATTTTAAAATTTTGAACAGCAATCAAATGTAAGATTTTAATTTCACGCATGTTATGTCAAAAAACCATGTGTATTCATTTAATTCTTTCCTCATTTAAATAAGAATTTCAAACTAATGTGCTAATGACAAAACAAATTTATTTGAGAAAAATAATTACAAACATTTTTATTCTTACATTTTATTTCAAAAAAATTCATATATCTATGTATACATTTTTAAATGGAACGCTGTGTTGTGTATACTTAAAAAGCTAATTATGAGTTTTAATATACCTAAAAAGAAAATAAAATAAATAATTTTGAAACAATTAATAAAAGCAACTATGTTATTCATAATCAATAATGTCTTACTCTTCAACATCATCTATTATGACTTCATACGACATGTTATTTTTTTCCAATATTGAAAGCAAGTTAGTGGCATTCTCAGGTGACACCATTATATCAGCTAATTTACTTTTCTGACGTAATTGCCAAAATGAATACTGAAATCAAGGTGATTACCATTCAATTACTATAAATACTCAAAAAAAAAATATAAGTAAATTATCTTACATTTCCAGAACCTGACTCTATTTGCATTTTACGTAAAGTTTCAAATTGCTCATCAGAATTGAAATTTACCCGGTAAACTTTATATCCCTTGTAAAAACTTCGATCATTAGTTGGCTTACCTTTAGATTCATTTATTAATCTAAAATTATTAACTAATAATTTTAAATTTTAAATTTTATTTTTAAAAAATTTACTCTTCAACATCTTCACAAACACATTTATAACTTAAATTTTCTTGATCTAGTACATTAAATAAATTTGATATTTTACTAGGTCCAACCATTATATCAGCAATTTTACGAGAACGTGATAAATGCAAAACATTGTACTGTTAAAAACACAAAAGTTATTTTAAAAATTACCGTACTGAAAATCTTTATATTTTTAACTTACATCCGATGTTTCACCTGATTCCAATAGCATTTGGTTTAAAATTTTAAATTGTTCATCAGTTGTAAATTGAACCTCATAAATTTTATAACCCTTATAACTTTTAGGTTTTTCATTTAAATTTCTGGCGGTTTTAGGTATTGTGCTGTAATTCAAAATTTATATTTATTGTATATGGTGTATAGATTTTAAAAGAAAATATTTGATTTACCCTTCAACATCTTCAACAATGCATTCATATTTAAAATTATATTTAGTTAAAAAATTTAGAAAGTCGGCAGCTTTCGTTGGGGCTAGCATAATATCAGCAAATTTATCAAAATGAGAAAGATGCCAGAATGTGAACTAATTAAAGAAAATTTTTTTAGTAATACATTTAATATTTCAAAAAAAAATTAAATCTAATTACATCACCGGCTCCTGATTCAAATTGCATCTTACGCAATATTTCGAATTGTTCTTCGTTATCAAATGTCACCTTGTATACCTTATAACCCCGATAGCTTTTACGTTGATTTTCAATAACAGCCCTTGGCATATAATTTTTCAAAGTTCTATAAACAAAATTTTGTTTTTAATTTATAACTTATAAAATTGCTTTTAAATTTCTTATTTTAAAAATATTTCTACAAATATGAATTTCAAATATTTTACTGACTCATCATTCTGTATTTCATATAAAAATTCCCATTGAATAGATAATTCTCTTAATAAATCAAAAAATGGTTTTTCATCTTTTGGTGAAACAACTATTTCAGCCCAAGTTTCATTCGGATCTACATATAACCATAATACTTTCTAAAAAAATTAAATTAGTAAATTTACATGTTTTAAAATTTTAAATCAATTTATTCGATTTTAATTAAAATTTTTAACCAATAAAATTTTGTTTACCTCAAACCTTGTGATCATTGCATCACGTAAATCCCTTAATTGAATATTTTCAATAAAATGAACACGATAAACTTTATGGCCAACAAGATTATTTGTCTGTGCAATAGCAATAATAGTTAAAAAACCAAGTAGAGATATGAAAACTTTCATGATGTTTTTTCTTTACAATTATTTCCAAGAAAGATAGCCAAAAAATAAAGTTAACCGTACAGATGAAACTTTGAAAAAGTACTGCAAAATTTAAAAGTTGAGAATCAGTATTTATATTAACATAAGATAGGGGTGCCCTTCTTAAGTGGACACTTGTAAAAAGAAAAAACCTTCCAAAGAAAATAATTTTAATTATTGATAATTTTTATTTATTTTAGCTTTTTTTTAAGAATTATGAGTATTCAATATACAAAATTGAACAAAATCATTTCAAATATTTCATTCAATAAGACAATAGTTGATAACAGATAACAAAGAGTGTTTATTAAAAGGTGGGCATACACAGTAGGCACAAAAAATTTTCAAAAAATTTTTTAAAACACTTAAGTACTTTAACTTACGAAAAAATATTATTTTAAATAATTTTATAGCTAATAAATTAATTGTATAAAAGTCATTCACCCTTATAGATATGCTTTATAAGCAATTATTTGTCAATTAATTTAAAATAACAACAACCAAGTTTAATAAAATGCATGAAAAACGAACCACTCCTGCATAGAATTTGAAATATAGTTTTGATTTTACATTAATTTTACATTAAAAGAGCATTATAGCATTAATTGGCACATTCAAAACTTCCGTTTCAATTTACAATTGTAGCTTTAAAAGGTTATTAACTTCTATTATAAAGTACTAAACCTTATTGCAAAATTAGTTTTAGTTGCAGTTTTAATTTGCTTCCAGTTTCTGAGTTCTATATAGAAAACGCATAATAATATTTCAAAGCCCCAAATTGCTATAAGAGTTCGTAATATTCAAAAATTCATTACATATATTAATAAAAAAGAAAATAAACTGAAGAATGATAAAAAAAATTAATTATGACTTACATTTTAAATAACCAACTATATTTATATTTTAATATTAATTTCAAATAATTTTATAAAATTCTAAACTTTAAATCAGAGTGCAAAAATGTCTACACTAAATACGTTAAATAATTCATGGCAGAGGAAATTAATAACTAAAATTTCAAAAAAAAAAACAATTTTATTTAATTCTATTGCAAACGTTCTAAATTTCTAATAGGAAAAACTTGTTTTATTTACTAATTTTTACTTATATTTACTTATATAATTGTATTATAATTAAACACTATACATTTTTTAATACGACAAAATTACCCGTGATTTTAATTTATAATAAAAAACTATCACAATTAAAATTTATTCATTTTATATGGAACATTTTATTGCGGATAGTTTATAAAAAACCGAAAAATATAAGGTATTTTCAAATCTATACATTTTATATTCGTTTTCACTGAATTTCATTGTTTTATTTAGAAGCACTCCATTTAATATTTAAATTAGATCACATCATAGCGCATGCATGACTAACTTGTCATATTGTTTAAATTAAAAGATTTCAGTACAAAAAAAATATTTTTTAAGTAAAATGAAAACATACTAGAATATTAAAACTTAAATGTTCTTGTACCATAAACCAAATAGGAGGATCGATAAATATTTACATAAAAATAATTTAGCACTTGAAATATACCTTCAATTATAAATAATTAAACCCGTAAGAAATGTTTTTCTATTCTCCTTGTGGTATAAACTATTCTCAAATGGTCAAAATTAAAAAATTATTGTTTTGTTACTTTTCTCTGCGGTGTGAATGTACATACTTCTAAATTTTATTAAAATCCTCTCCTTTCGCCCCACTTTTTCATATTAAACAATTTTTTTATAACATTAAATTGTTTTCATTGAATTTCGCCCATGCACTTTAAATATTTTTACACACATTATAAAATTGTTTTTCAGTTTGTTTTATAAATTTCTTTTAATTACCAGTAGTTACAAAAACGATAAACGAATTTTTATTTTAAAATAGTAAAATTTAATTTTTACTCGTAATTTCCCCTTGCGAATTTAAATTTATATCTATTAATAATAAATCTTTTATATATTTTAAATTAATTATTACATACATTATTATTGTAGTACATTTTATTTATATTTAAATCAATTTTGTTTAGAAAATTTTAAAATACCCTATAATTTGTGTGATTTATTGTTTTTATGTTGTATATCTGCATATAAATGTACTGACGTATAAACAGACCCATAAATTATGTCACCGTTTAATATTCAATAGTATCAACCATATAAAAATAAGGTCAATACCTTATCATACTCATCATACATTCATACAAACAAATAGATAAAATATGATGAAGTAAAACAACGTCTATATAAATTTATATGCATATATGTAATTTATTTTAGCCCAAATGTATGCAATTTGAATTTTCAAATTTATCTCTCATTCATAACCAAGAAGCATTAAACTTTCTAAAGCTTTTTTATTTTCTAAATATGCAAGTAACAACCAAAATATTTACTCTTGATAAGATTTTAATTTTTTGCTTTTAATTTGTTAAGTGAAAAAAAAATTATATGCATACAAAAGTATCCACAATTCACATATTTTATTACGCTAATTTCAGAAGCAGCATTACCATATTGATTTTACGAAAGATATGAAAAATTTTGTCAAAAAATCTGAAAAATCCGACAACATAAAAAGAAAAAAAAAATTACCTTAAGTTCAGGTAAAAAAACAGACTTTTATATTTAATTTAAGCATATTTTCGTTGTCATATATTTTATTGTCTTTTAATCAATAAATGTTTAATAAAACAAAAAAATATAAATCATTTCAGTTTTTGAAACGCTCAATATACCTTATGTTTATCAAAAAATAATCTTATTACAATTAAATTTTCAAAAATGCCTAGAATAATGTTGGCGAAAAATTATTTAGTTAAGTTTTTATACACTCTTGAATTGAAATTATAACGAGTATATTTGTTTTTTTGTGTTAAATCGTTATAAGATAAATAATATTGTATTTATTATGTTTGAATTAACATTTTCAATCTATTTTTGGCTAATTATGACAGAAAAAGTTCATCAGATAATTCTAGCAATTTAGAATATCTAGTAATATAAAAATTCAGATAAATCTAGTAATATAGGAACGCTGTTCAGAAGGAAATTTTAAAATTAAAAACCTGTTATAGTGTTACAAATTTTCATCTATTTTTCCATACTAATTTAAGCGTCTAATTCAATATATTGAATATTACTTATTTCATTCATTTCATATCACGTAAACGATTCAAGGGAAACTAAAAAAATTTTTTATAATTAATTTTTATAACATTTTCTCTCATTTCAGTTTTATTTCAGACATCATTGAGATAACTTCAACTTGAAAGTAAAGTGCAGATGACATTCTCATAAAAATGTTATTTTATTTAATATCAGCTGTTTTAATTAGTTTGATAACAATTCTTTATGGATTTATTAAATATCGTTTTACATATTGGGAACGTAAACAAATTCCACATAAAAAACCAAAATTCCCTAAAGGTAATATGACTGGAAATTTTTTAATTGATTTAAAAAATCTTTATGCAAATTTGAAAAATGAGAAAAATCAATTTTTTGGGGCGTATTTTTCATTAGCACCTGTTGCAATAATCACTGATTTAAATCTTATTCGATTAATATTAATTAAAGATTTTGAATATTTCTCAAATCGTGGAATGTATCATAATGAAAAGTATGATCCACTATCAGCAAATTTAGTGACAATAGATGCCGATAAATGGAAAAATCAAAGAACAAAAATTTCACCGACATTTTCATCTGGTAAAATGAAATTTATGTTTCCCACAATCAAAGCAATTGGACAAAGATTAACAGCTCATATTGAAAAATTCGAAGAAAAAGATCTTGATATTTATGAAATTGCTTCTCGTTATACTATCGATGTAATTGGAGCTGTCGCATTTGGTATAGAATGCGATAGTTTGTCAAATCCAAATTCAGATTTCTATAAATATGGTATTAAAGGAAATGAAAAACGTGAAGGTCGTAACCCTTTAAAAATGATGTTAAAAATACAAGCACCAAATTTAGCAAGATATTTGGGTATTAAAGATACACCAAATGATGTTATAGAATTTTTTGTACAAACTGTTGATAATACAATCAATTATAGAAAAAAAAATAATGTTAGAAGAAATGATTTTATGGATATTATGATCGAAATGAAAAATCAATCGAAATTAAGTTTCAATGAAATAATAGCAAATTGTTATATGTTTTTTAGTGTCGGTTATGATACATCATCTATAACATTAGCATTTTGTATTTATGAACTTGTAATGAATAGTGAAATACAGGATAAAATTAGAAAGGAAATCCGATCAGTATTAGATAAACATAACGGAGATTTATCATGGGAAGCTCTAATGGAAATGCCATATTTAGAACAAGTTTTAAAAGGTATGTTTTTATTAATTCTTCTAAAACCAAATGAGTAATAATTTTGTTAATCAATTCTTAAACCAATTGACCGAATATTCTTTTTACATTTGTAGAAACTTTAAGAAAATACCCAGTTCTGGCAATGTTAGGACGAGTAGCAACTAAAAATTATAAAATTCCAAATTCTAATTATATTATTGAAAAAGGTATTCCAGTAATCATTCCAATTTATGAAATTCATCATGATGAAAATATTTATCCGAATTCAAAAGTTTTTGATCCTGAACGATTTTCTGACATTAATGTGGAAAAAAGACATCCAATGGCTTTTCTTGGATTTGGTGATGGTCCCAGGAATTGTATTGGAATGAGATTTGCAAAATTACAAACTAAAATAGCTCTTATATCAATTTTAAACTCATATAAGTTATTCAAAAGTGATAAATTACAAATTCCTTTGATTTATAATACAAAAAGATTTCTTTTGTCACCACAAACAAAAGTTTGGATAAAATTTAAAAAATTGTAACTACAATTAAATTTACACTTCGTCTATTTAAAAAAAAAAGTCTGTAAATAATACTTTTTATGGAGCATCTGAATTAAACGAAAGAATAAATATTCTGCATTATTATACAAAGTTAACATACCAATATAGAAGTATCTATTCATATATGTATTATTCAAAACTATTTCATTAATTATATTTAATCTTGAAATTAGATAACTTCTACTCTACATATGGTAAATAGCTAACTACTAAGTTTAAATTAGACATTTTATCAACAACAAATTTTCTTCAACAAATAAATATTTCATAAAAACAAACTTTAATAAGATTATAATCACCGGTACTCATGCACCAGAAATACCTACTTAAAAACACATAAACTGAATGAAGTGATAAAGAATTTATTTAAAATTTATAATTAAGATAAGTAAATTAATTGCTTTAAAAAAGTTTAAAATAAAAACATACATGATTTTATGTAGTTATTAAGTAAAAATTATTAAATTATATTCTTTTAAAGTACGTAGTTAAAGATCAAACGCATATATAGAACTTAATGTGTCACCCTCCAGTACTTCATACGTTTAACTTTTTTATTTTAAACCACAAACCGTGTTTGCTTTGTCTTAGAACAGCTGTTTCATTTAAAACAATTGGCACTTTTAAATTATCACCAGGATGAATTTCAAAATTTCTTAATAATGTCGCTAAACCTAATTTTGCTTGCATTTTACCAAATCTCATGCCAATACAATTCCTTGGCCCATCACCAAATGGTATAAAAGACATTTGGTGTCGATTTTGCATTTCTTCAGCTGTAAATCTTTCTGGCATAAATTCATTGGGGTTCTTATAATATTTTGGATCTCTATGAATGTCGGAAATTGGTATAGTTATTTGTGAATTAGCAGGTATGATGTAATCTGTATTTAAAACTTTATAGTCTTTAACACAATGCCTATGTAACTCTATCAAAGGTGGATACATACGAAGCGTTTCATTAATTACTTGTTCCAAATATACCATTTCTTCTAAACAATCATATGACATTTTACCATCATGCTTCTCTAAAATTTCAATTATTTCATTTCTTGCTTTATTTTGTACCTCTTGATTTAAGCACATTTCATATAATGCAAAACCCATTGTTGTTGAAGTTGTTTCAAAACCAGCAATAAAGAAAACAAATGTATGAGCAGCAATTTCTCCGAATTCCAAACCATTAGGATTTGCATCAGTTCTTTTCATAGCTAACAATAAATCCATGAAATCATTTCTTTTAATATTATTATTAGTTCTATAATCCATTGTTTGTCGAACAATTTGAAAGCAAAATTTTTCAACATCAACCGGTATATTACGTATACCAAAGAATCTAGCAATGTCTGGTAAATTTCTCCTTAAAGCTCTAAAGAAAAAATTTGATTGAATATTTGTAACAGATTTCCTTCCAAATTCACGAAATTCAGCATTTGGATCTCTTAAACTATTACATTCAACACCGAATGCAACATTACCGATAACATCTGTACCATATCTTGCCAAATATTCTTTCATTTCGATTTCATTGCTTGTATTAGATGCTTCACTTAAAACATCAGCCAAACATTCTGTAATTTTTAATACAGTTGAAAACATATATTTCATTTTACCAGATGTAAATGTTGGTGATAATTTAGATCTTTGATCTTTCCAACCCTCTTTATCCATAGCAAATAAATGTGCTGATAACGGATCATTTTTTTTATTGTGATAAAGTCCACGTTCTGGGAACGTATGAAAATCTTTAATTAAAACATTTTTTATGAGATCTAAATCCTTTAGATAAACTGTTGGATTAAACATTAAATACATTCCGAAAATTGGTTCATTTTTAAATTCATTATATAATTTTGTAACATCCGACATATAATTTTTTGTTAAATTTCCCATTAGTGTGTATGGTTGCCGATGCGGTATTTTGTGTCGTTTGAAAAATGTTATTTGACGATAAATAAATAAAATTAATATTGTAAGGATTGCCACTAAAATGGTAGTAATCCAATTGATGACATTTAAAATCATGATTGAATTTTTTTCTCGAATTTAGAAAAAACACACGTTATTAGACCGCAACTTAATAGTCAACTAACTGTATTTTAAAATTTTCGTTAACATTTAAATACTCCAAACAATATAAAAATGTGGTTACTATTTGTATTTTGTTTTAAAAATTGCGATGAGAATGCTACATTTTATCAAAAAGATAATTTAAAATTTAATTTTGTTATAATGTAGATAAGATTTTAATTTTTTCAACAGTTTTTTTGACTGAAAAAATGTTTTCCATTATTTAGGTGTGCATTTAAAAAATAAATCATGCAAATGTACTAGTAAATAATGAATGTACAACAAAAAAATATAATTATATTTCGTCACCTAGAGATGACTCTTAAAAATTGTAGCGATATCAGAATAACATGAATTAAAGCCGAGAATAATGACGTATAGAAACAATTGATAGGTAGAAAATTTTGCAAGAAACAAATCAATAGTGCAAACGAATCTTCTATTATTTCAAAAAATTTCGGAAGAAGCAATAATATTTTTTAACTTTGAGGCTTCTTGAAAAATTGATGTTTTTGTGTATTGTTTTTGAAACTTTTTAAAAATAATCACCATAATTATTCTCATAAGTAATGGGGCTCAGGTTAGCTTGTCGAATGAAAAGTTAAAGACTGATAATTTGATTATAGTAAAGTTATCCCCGGAAAATGATTGTTTATAAATTTGTTGCTGTTAAGGTAACTGATCACAAAGCGACAAAAAATGGTATTAACAAAATTATTAATTAAATTTTTCTAAAATACAGCAATAGTAATCAGCAAAACGGGCCATTTTGAAATGTGTTAACTGCTGCACCAGCCACGTGAATGTATAATATTAAACAAACTTAAAAAAGCTTATTAGAAATCGGTATTCCGAGATTGTTACGGATAAAGTATTTTGTGATTAACGAGGGAGAGAGCTTGGTATCTATTGATTATTTGAGAATTATTAAATATGTTAACTGCTAGATAATATTCGAATTCGATACTTTCGATCTATTTAAACCACACCGTAATATAGGTCTCGCATGAATTTAATTTAGCAAACTAAAATAAAAACAATTTAATTTATAAAAAACTTTATTAATTAAAAATTTATTATCTGATATCTACCTATAAAAATTTACTTCTTATTTTACCTAAACAAAAACACTTATTTAAAAAATTTTATTTCTTTCTTTTTAATAGCTAATAATAATTGGGAAAATTTTCTTTTATAATTATCTTCTCTAATTTCAGTTGAATTAAAATGTTTACTAAAATTTCTTTTAAATAAATAACAAATAGGATTATTAAAAAATTTAAATGGCAACATAATTTTCTTTGATTTAACAACAATACTTTTATTATTATTGTTACCAATTTTATTTTTATAATTTGTATTTAAAAAATTTCTAAATAATTTGAATGATTTTATAAATTTTGTAATGTTATATGATTTATTGAGTAGATTTTTATTACAATTTTTACATAAATTAATATTTTTGTTTTCAATATTTAAGAATTTTTTCCATTTTGGTTTCTTAGTGAAATTTAACAATTCATCGAGGTTATAGTATATGAAACAAAAATCTTTTGTTAATTCACACATTATTTTTATTTCATCAATTTTTTCCAATATTAAATTAAAAAACTGAAATTTATATTTTGTAATTTTCTTCATTTTATTTAAACAAACATCTAATCATGATTCAATTTTATTTACTTTAAACCATAGTCCTGATTTTGATTGCCTTAATACAGCATTTTCATCTAATTCAATTGGTATTGTTAAATTTTTTCCAGGTTTAAAAATAAATTTTTTTAATAATATTGCTAGACCAAGTTTTGCTTGCATTTTACCAAATCTCATGCCAATACAATTTCGTGGACCATCACCAAATGGTATAAAAGACATTGGATGACGATTTTTCATTTCATCACTATGAAAACGTTCTGGTATAAATTTATCTGGATCATCAAATAAATTTGGATCACGTTGTATTAATGAAATTGGTATAACAATTCTCATACGTTTTTCTATTATTAAATTTGTATCCTCAATTTCATAATCTTTAACAGCTCTTCTATTTAATTCAATAACTGGGGGATACATACGAAGAGTTTCTATATGGCACAAATATAGTTATAAAAAAAATTAATACCTTATATGTACGAAATTTTCTTTATGTAATGCAAAATATTGTAAAATATCTTTAAAACCGAATATTTTCTACATAAAAACAACATCAACTCAAATTCTAAAATTTAATAGCTTATATGTATATATTTAGATATTCATTAATCACTATAAGTACCACTTATCAAATATAATAAAAAATACGATTCAGACGACGCTTTAAAGACAATCAGCTAAACTTGATAAAATACTATTTCCTCGAAACAAAATATTTGATTTCATACAACATCGCATACACGCAAATGTACACATTTGTATTGAAAATATTAACGATCCACGTATACATAATTAAATTTTGCTTCCAATACAATCTAAAATTTGGAGAGCAATATGTCACTATAGAATTTTTGGACATATTGCACTATGAAGTTAATTCAAAAATTCTATAACTTTTTTTAAAAAACATATCTCACATAAATCATGAGAAAGCTCTTATAATCAAAATTTTGAAGTTCGTGTAATAAATGAGTGTATACACTTGAAGAAAAAAGCTTACTAAAAGGTGATAATTTTTAATTATTTTGGACTCACTCACTTACATATGTACATATTTTTGAATATTATTTTATAATACCCTATTAATATTAATTATATTTTTTATTTTAATTTTGTCTCACCATTAATTACTTGTTCCAAATATACCATTTCTTCTAAACAATCATATGACATTTTACCATCATGTTTCTCCAAAATTTCATTTACTTCATTTCTTGCTTTATTTTGTACCTCTTGATTTATACACATTTCATATAGAGCAAAACCCATTGTTGTTGAAGTTGTTTCAAAACCAGCAATAAAGAAAACAAATGTGTGAGCAGCAATTTCATCAAAGCCTAAACCATCTGGATTTTTGTCAGTTTTTCTCATTTCTAATAATAAATCCATAAAATCATTTTTCTTTATTTGACCATCTTGTCGATAATTCATTGTTTCACGTACAATACGGAAACAAAATTGTTGTACATCAATTGATTGATTTCGAATTTTAAAAAAACGTGCTATTTGTGGAAAATTTGCTTTTAGAATTCTACCAAAAAAATTTCCAACTGATGCATTAACTGCTTTTCTACCAAATTCACGAAATTCGGCATTTGGATCTTTTAAACTATTACACTCAATACCGAATGCAACATTACCGATAACATCTGTACCATATCTAGCCAAATATTCTTTCATTTCAATTTCATTATCATTTTTATTTAAAATTATAGCATCATTTAAGGCTTCAGCTAAACGATTTGTTATTTTATCGACAACCGAGAACATATATTTCATTTTACCAGATGTAAATGTTGGTGATAATTTTGATCTCTGTTCCTTCCAACCTTCTTTATCCATATTAAATAAATGTACTGATAGTGGATCATCTTTTTTATTTGTATAAAAACCACGTTCAGGAAATGTATGAAAATCTTTTATTAAAATTTTTTTTATTAAATCTAGATTTTTTATAACAATTGTTGGATTAAATAATATATACATTCCGAATATTGGTTTGGAATCATTTTTAAAACATTCATATAATCTTTTTACATCTGATAAATATTTTCCAGTCATATTTCCTTTAAGGAATTTTGGCTTTTCATATGGTATACCATGATTTTCAAAATAATTCATTCGATTATAAATATAATACAGAATTCCTGTAACCAATACAGTTAAAATTGTAAAGATCCAATTTAAAAGACTCCACGTGATTATCATCTTAATGTATATATAAATATGTATGTATATATATTAATTTTAAAGCTAGAGAAAATTTTGGAATATTAAAATTAATTCTTATAGGGACAAGAGTTCTGAATTAACTAAAATATAATCAGTTTCTTTAATTAATTTTTATATTCTTTAAATTAAAAACTATATTTCAGTGTTTCATGTTTACAAGATAACATTTGATAGTGAACTGATAAAAAAATTCATTTGTTTTCTTTTATTATTATACAATTGTTAAGAGCATGTATAAAAAAATATACAAATTTAAAATAAAAATATCGCAGACTATTACATGTACACTAAGGAAAATATTTCAAACTTTCAATCAAAAAAATTTTGTGAATAATAAATAAAGCCCTGAAATCAAACCAAAAACCAAAAATATTTTAACCAATGAATTTGTTATTCCAAAAATTTTAAATAATCTCTATACTAAACTCCAACACCATTGTAATAAGGAACTAGTAAATCAATCTCGAAAGCAAACTATAATTATATTGATCCAAAAATTATTCTAATTTATTATTTTTTTTTCTCTCTGTTTTTATTTAATTTATAAATTAAAATAAAATATTATGTATAAAAAAAGTTTTGTTCACCCGCTTCAACAATTCGATATAGAACTAAATTAATAAATAGTTGCCATTTCACTAATCCATACAGAAAATTTCTCTCAGTATTTAGTGACAAGAAACAATACAAAAAAAAATTTTTTTGATCCAAAAATACCTTATATACATGTGTAAACAAAAAGCTCTTAATAAATAAAATTCACTGTTTTTACCTACCTACCTATGTACATGTATGTTTACAAATTACATATATGAATGCTCATATATGATTAATAAAACACCTATATGTACGTATAAATCAGATTACCTTTATATTATAAAATTTATAATATGCCTGTAAAGAGCGTCAATTAAACAAATTAAAGAAATGTTTTAATTGTAAACTTTTTTATCTTTCATATTAAAAATATTATTAACACAAAATAATACTAAATATTTTTCTAGCATAATACAATATCAAGAAAAATATAAATAAAAATTTTAAATGACCTTGAACATTAGTCAAGATTTTAATTTTGTTTTTTATAACTTTAATATTTTTTTTTATAAAGATTTTATAATTCTTATAAGGTGTTATATAGTGATTTACTATTATTTGATAAATTACATATAATTAAGACGCTGTAAATCCATTCAAATAAATTTGTTCATATATTTGCTATCCTATTCCCTGGTGGGTAGGGGAAGTAGAAACACGTTAAGAGAGAAAAGAAAAACAAAGTCTGAAGAAAACCCAAAAAGTAAAACCTCTAAAGGCAATGTAAAAAATTCATTTTCTGTTTTATCAGAAAACTGGATCAATAATGGATTCGCGTATGAACAATTTGGAAACCCTGTGTGAGGAGCTGAACAGAATATAGTTTCAAATGGCACCAGGAAAGACAAAATAGGTATGGTTGTGTACGGAACAGATGAGGAAGAATTGGCTAGAGAAACCAATTGAATTTTTAAAACCAAAAGAAATTCAAAGAAGATAAAATTCAAGATTCACCACAAACGGAACCAGTAATAGAAATGAAGCACTAAAGCAAAAAAATATTCACCAAGTATTGACAATACTCAACTTAAAAAAAACAATCTTCCGCCGGTAACTGTGAGTAATATAACTAATTGCACGCAGTTAATAAGGATCCTCAAAGAGGAAAATATTGACGTAAAACAAATGTTGAAAATTAAAACGAACAATTAAATAAAGCTGTTAATAAAGCCACAGGATATTAAGTGTGAACTTATCCAAAGAGGTTTCGAATTCGTAGATGTCATAAATAAAACTAAAAAATAGAAAATGACTTGAATACTATTATAAAGTTACCCCTTTTTATGTTGTCGATTATACCGAAGACATAAATAAAATATATAAAATAAAATATCTTTAGCACATGAGACTAAAAGTTGAATCTCCTAGAAGTAATGGGTCCATCCCGTGATGCAAGAGATGCCAGAGGATACACATACACAAAGATAATCATAGAACGGCAGAATGTAATAAAACAATTAATTTTCAAGCCAGGTGTGTAAACTGCAACGGAGTACACCCTGCCCCTATCATTCTACTAGCAGTCTGACTTATTAGCCTACTGATGCCAACAAAGCCCCGGATCTTATTAAGTTTTTTATAACTAAAAGATTTGCGTGAAATTCTTTAAATTTAGAAAATGATTTTAATATGAATTTCGATCACTCTGCTTTCATATTAACTCTTCGATCACTTCTTTGTTTTTCTTCAGGGAATGTAGACAAAAAAACGGTAAACTAATGTTTAGTCAGTTTGACTATTTTTGGGAGTTTAAGACCTTCCAAATGCGTTTTAGGTTGGGTTATAGTCCATCAGTATTCATAGGTCTGACGACAGTTTGGTTTCGCCTATTTTTTTTTTCGATAATTTTAAACATAATAAATTTTTTAAGAATTTTGAATTAATTAGAATTTGAGTAAAATTATAATAATTTATTTAAAACTCTATATACGAGTGCACTACGACTGTTCCAAATATGTAGTTGCTAAAAGTAGCAAAGCCGCAAAGAGAATTCTCAATTTTCTTTTCTCTCTTAACGACCTCTATGAGTTAAGATAAAAAAAAAGAAATTAACTCAACTGCCGAAATCGATTTAGAAGTTTGTAAATAATTTTTTATGTCTAATTAATTGAAATTACGGGTTATAATAATTTTGCTAAATATTCTTAGTCTGTTGAATCAAATTTTACTTCTTTGGAAATATTTTTAAACTATAACATTAGGGTTTATTGTTTATTAAATTATTTTAAAAAACATATTTTCAATTTTATTTATTTTTAAACTAATTACTACAATAATTTTGATAATTTAATATTTTAATTTTTTTTTAAATTAATCATTTTCTCTTGTTTTCAAGTAATTTATATAAGATGTTAACAAATTGTCAATTTTATATCCTAAAGTGGTTGTACAAAGTAATTTTGAAGCACCGATCATATTGCCAAAACGTATATGAAAGAATGTATTTCCAGAGCTCCAAAAATTTAAATCTTGATAACCATAGGATGCCAACATTTCCTAAATACGAAAAAAAAAGAAATCAAAATAAAATACATGAAATTCAAAAAAGCATATTTACTTTTGATCTAGGATCAATAATGGTAAATCCGTTTCGATTAATTGCTATTAAAATTGCTTCGGGCAAAGAAGCATCATTTGTTTGTTTAACAACGAAGAAAGTTGATCCAAAAGTTTCTTGATGTGAAATTTCTTTTAAAAATTTATTTTTTGCTTCGACCTCATTCAAATGATTTATGCAATTTAATTCTTTTATTATAACTCTTTTCCAATCATCTGGCTTTTGTAAATAAGCAATATCTTCCGGAATCAATTTAGATAAAATATCTTGCGTTTTCTGTCCTGCTTGGAAATTAGTACCAAACTTAATTAAATATATTAAAGCACCAAGTTTTGCTGCTTCTTCTTTATTAATTTTATAATATCCCATTAAATATTTCGGTAATTCTTGATAAAAATGAAAAATTAAATCAGCGATAGCATCACGACCAATTTGTATATTAATCCACAATTTTCTCATAAAATATATTTGATATTTAAAATGTAAATTTGAATCACCAGAACGTGAAGGCATTGTATCTTTTACCCACTTTTTTATTTCAACTAAGAAATCAAATATAAATTCATCTTCTGGTATAGAAAATGCTTTGTCAGATATTTTTATGAATAAACTAAAACCTTCAGTTGATTTTAAACTCATTCTTTTTGCTATATCAGCCATTAAATCGGAAGCACGAGTTGATGATTGTATTTCGAATGCTTGATCTGTATCATCTGGAAAATATATTTTATGATATATATGTTCACTGCGATTTTGTATTGCTTCAACTTCTACGATATATGGTGGATATTTTCGTTGACCAACAGATAAAGTTTTACGTACACGTTTTAATGATTCTAAAGCAATAGGATGAGTACGTGTTCTTAGAAATTCAGTTAATTCTTTTAGAACTAATGTTCCAGGTGTCATAATACCAGTTGCTAACCACATTAAATCCCATGCCCGTTCTTCACTGTAAAATATATTATTTTCTGTTAATTGTTTCATTATTTGACAATAAACTTCATCTCGTAAATCTTCATTAGCTAATGGTTCTTTAAAGATATGATCGGTATTAACAGAAACCATTGCACGTCCAGTTTCACCCATATACTAAAATTTATAAGAATTAAATAAATTAATATTGCATATACAAATTTTTACTAGTATACCTTTAAAATGTAACTAAATATTCCAACAGCAATTTCAAAAAGTTTCGTTTCCTTCTGAAGTTTCTTTAGTAAAGGAGCCCGAATTATGTCTCGCGAATGCTTCCATAAAGTTTCATTTTTTTCCCTAATAGCACGCATTGATTGAGAATTATATTTAGATCTAAAATTCAGATAAAACTTTTTAAAAATATTTTCATTAAATAATTTAATTTTTGCACGTCAATTGTTACCCTATATTTGCTCGGAAATGGAATTCAGCAAATTTACGTAATGTATACATTTTTTGACGTTGTAACGTGTTATATTTAGCTTTAAGATTTCTTTTAGACGTAACAATTGATCCTTCTCTAAATATCTTTAATATGCTTTCCGTTGGCACCATTATAGTTGGTAAAATATAGATCATATCAGCAGCAAATAAACCTTGTTTTCCATTACATTCACCTTTAAACCATGAAGATGGTGGTGCTTTCATTATTTCCGTACCATTTATGCCTTTAGAGAACTTTATGAAATCACCCTTGTGAAAATTTAAATATTCATCAGATTTCTCCGAACTGTTTAAATAATCATTTGTAGCTACAGCATATATTGAGCGGGCTTTTAAATTCTCAAGAATTGATGAAATTAATTCTGAAATATCTTTCGCTTCAAAACATTTAAATGTATAATTCTCTTTTTGGATTGTTTCTATGGAAAATTCATTTATTGTAATATTTGAGTCAATTGCATCTGATTCTTGAAGATTCACTGCAACAATTTCAGGATATGAATATTCAGCCTAAATCAAATAATTTGTGTTATTTTTTTCTTCGAAATTTTTCGTTTTTAAAAAAAAATAAAAGTATCACCTGAACTTGTTCACTTTCATCAATCAAAAATATACCAACAGAATTTACAGCAATTATAATATTATCAGTTATTAATTGTGCTCCAGATACTCTGACAGTTTCAAAAAATCTTGAGAATAACATTGGCCAATTAAGCTGGGCAAATACTACAATATCTTCCTTAGCATTGCTTTGTGGAATTTTATTCTTTACATAATCGTTTCTATTAAAAGCTTCAGTAATAATACGTTCCCAATTTTTTAATGCTTTATCTCCCGATTTTAATAAATCCTTTGGTAAATATTCTGGTAAACATTCTAATAAAATCTAAAAAAAAATTTAAATAATTTAATTTACATATGGCATAAAATTCCATATAATTATACCTTTGGATTCAGCACATGTCCATGGTCAGCATAATATTGTAAAGCACATATCATAGCCAAATCTTTTTCATTTTTACAACGATATTCACCAAAATTTATTCCACGGACAATCTTTTCATGACGGATAATGAAATTAAAAACAAAATTATGATTTAAAATTAATAAATTTATACTTGGTTGCTTATAAGATATTTTCACAGCAAATTTTCATAAATTTTGAGATAATCTTTTCATTCACAGGACTTTCTAAGTATTGAAAATTAAAATTTGCATTATTCTTATTAAACTCTCAACTTTAGTTTTATTAGAACTTTTAAGTTTGATTTTTAAATTCTAAATAAAACAAAGTAAAACAAATAAAATGCAACAGTTAGGAACATTAAAAAATAATTTTCATTTTTGACAGCTTTCATTTTTATAAAAAATCTAAAGGTTTTTTTTATTAAACTTTTAAAATGACTACAAATTGCTTACTTGTTTATATATTAAATTTGTTGCAATTTGATCTATAGATGGATTATACCAGGGTGAGAAAATTTCTTTTCTTAAATACAATTTACAAACAGTTTTTCGTTCACTAACACCACGTTCCTTTGCATATTGTTCACAATTAGAGATCGCATCCATAATATGTTCTCGTCCACCACCCAATGATAAAACTTTATCAAATGATGTTACAAATATTGAAAAACCAAAATGATCTAAAATCCCTACATTATTAGCGATCTGAGTGATAGCTTCTTTAGCAGTAGATGCTGAATCCACTTGTATTTTTTTTATTGAACCATCCATTAAAAATACGTTTAATGTAACAACATCTTTATTACGATTTGCTCGTAATTCCAAATATGATGGAGGTTGAGTCCGAGTACCATTCTAAAATATGATATACATACATTCATGGTCGTTTTTGACAAATTCTTTTTAAAAATGCTTGCTACATTTAAAACACGTATTATAATTTACCAATAAAGTTCTTTCTAATAAATTTTCACAATAAGGAGAGTATAATTCCGGACCACATTGAATAAAACGACGTAAATATTTTTCGAAACGAGATGATGGTGGAAAACTCCCCAAACATAATGAAAGTAAAACCCAACCTCTTGCAAATGATGTTTGATATGGGTTGTTTGTTAATTGTTTACAAATTTGACAATAAATTTCATCCCTTAAATGACATTTAATTTTTTTTTATTTACAATTTTTAGCCACCCATGATTATTTGTATAATTGAATACCTTAATTGTGGTTTTAAAATACCGTGTCCAATGATAAAATGAGTTTTTTGTAAATTTGAACTTCTCTGTTCTAACCATTGATGATAATATTCTATTTCTTCGCTATTATCTAATGCTTTTCGTAAAATATCTGGTAATTTCGTTTTTCTTTTTAAAGTTTTTCTAATTAAACGTTGATGGCCAGTTTCATTATCAGTAATGGAACTCAAAGCATCTAAATAATCTTTACTAGAAACTTGATTTTTACTTAAATTTACAGTTAAACGGTGCATAATAGATGGTTTTGATTTTTTTAATGCTTTTGATTTCTTTTCATAAACATCAATTTCATCATCAACATCTTCTTCTTCTTGATCATCATCAAAATCATATTTTGCTTCAGCCATGTCACCCATAAATCTTAATAGAGTTATCCATATTGCCTTAATGGTGAATAATATATATGTACATAAAAATATAAAAATTTAATTGTGATGCATTAAATATATTTAATAATTTATTGAAAAGCATAAAATTGTTGTTATGCAAACCTGTGCTGATATAACATCAACCGGTATATTGTGATCTAATAGAGAATTTTTCAATGGTTTTTTACTATAGTGAAATGACACATCCGTGTTGAAATATATCGCTGCAAATTTAGCAAAACTATATTCACTTAAATCTTCTATAATAATTTGCCTTTTCGGTAATCTTATTGTACCATCTTTAGAAATAGCATGATATGGTTCCGTCAAGGTGTCGCGTTTTCTCTATAATTTTTTTTAAATAACAAGAATTTTATATAATATTAAAATATTTGTATTCACTTGTTATAATTTTATTATTAGCATGTTGAAGAGAAAGCTTTGAAATTATTGTAGTTTAAGTTATATTTCGACTAATATAACTAGTTCAATAATTATATTAAGTTGTATTTGCAAAGATATCAGTTATATTATTTTTTATCTTATTAAAAAAAATACCATTTTTCGCATAAAGTCGACTCCAATATGCTAAAAGATAGTTTTAATTAAATTTTATATTTTCTTTAATTTAATTATAAATCCAAATTTCCTCTTTAAAGTCCCTATTTATTAATTTTATTATAAATTTAAATTAGATTTTTTATAAAATTGAAATCTTTAATTAGCAAAAATTTATATACAATGCCTTGGAATAATTGCGTATGTCCAATAATTTCATATAACTTCAAATCTACTTTACTTATGTATTTATCTTTGATAATGCAATGGAGACAACAGTTTTAAAATTTCAATGAATTTAATGAAAACGAGTTTGATGTTTTAATAATTACATTAATTCTATTATTATTACATATGTATGCATACGAACATATTAACAAACACTATTAAGTATGAAATAATTTACGTACCATTAGCTTCCCAAAAATATTTTGTGTTGAAAATCAACAAAAGTTTTCCTATGTAACTACACATATATATATATACAAAACTAAAGTTTTACATGAGAAAGAAGTTTCCGCTTTTATTTCAAGATGATCAAAATTTTGTCAATGAATAAGTTATGCCAAATTTACCTGTACAACTCTCCCGAAAATTATGAGCATTTAGTGTAAGTAAAGATGAACTCTTGCGAATTCCAAATACAAATTAAATTAAATTTAAGTTGAAAATTTATGTTTAGATTTAAATTAATATGAAAATGATCTGCTGACCACCAGGCAGCGGATTATGTATTTAAAATCTCCAAACATAAGATCACGGCCAATAATTGGTTTTATGTGATTAAACTGTAAAGATGGTGTCACAATAAAATATTAAAATTTCTTGTTTCAAGTTTAACATCTTGACCTTCTATTAATGGGTGTAATAACCTAACCAAAAATTTACATTCCACTTTGAATATTTACATGTATGAGTATGTACATTATTACCTATGTATATTATGTACAGAGTTTTGTAATTTAACATAAATACAAAATTCAGTTAGGAAAATATTTTGCAAATTTTGAATTTTGATGTAAAATGGTGTAAATTTGTGTAATAAATAAACATTGTGTTTTTTTTGCGTATTTTGTGTTTATTTCTTTTCCAATGTTTTAATGTTCTAACTATATTTACTTTACAAATTTATATACAATGAAATAAATATTATTTCAAATTTAATATTATAATATAATTGTATAATATTCTATGCAGAAATGAGTTTAAATAAAATAAAATTTTTTTAATAAATTCGAGAATAATTTGTAAATGAAATGATCTGAATATAAAAGAGTATGACTATATATAATATACTTTTGTAAAATTTTATATACAATTTTTTAAATAAAAATTTAAATTATACTATATATTACTAAAAATAATTTTTTTTTAATTTTTTTAGCGTAATAAATAATTTTGAAATTTATTTAATAATTTAATTACCAAGCCAATTTTTATACTTTAATAATACCGTAAGCAAATATTTTAAATGAAATTGAAAACAAATTTTATATTATATAAGGAATATATACGAGTATATAAAATGAGGAAATTTTATATATCATATGAAAATAACTACATTTATTTAAAATTATAATTTAAAAGTTATTATTCTTACGAAATATATAGAAAAAGTTTCGTTAAAGTCTCGAGTTTTTAAACTTATAAAATTCCAAAAGCATAAACTGTATTGAGGTGCCGAAATTAAAGTTGACTATATAGTGAAATTAAGCTAATTGTCACCGAAGCTTTACTTTTAACTGTGCATTTGTAAAGCTATAGGACCGATTAGTTTTTTTTTTAATGTTATATTTGAAATCACATTCGCGATTCATATGAATAAAAGCCAACTGGTCTAGACAATAACTTACTCGGTATTATTTTTTTCATACGACTTATCTCTTCAAAGTAGACTAACATATCGCTTACACTTTCTGATTCATTTTCCAAAAATTCAAATGCTCTATCGACAACTCTTCCATGATCCTCAGATGTTATCACTGAATTATCACCTTTTTGACTTCGTCTTGCACTTTCTTTATTTGTTGTTATTAATGTTGTAATTTGTTTATTTAATTCCATTAAACGTTTTTGGTAAATAATATCAGCTTCGTTTTTCCAATTTGATTTTCCCGATTTTTTAAGTTCTTGTTCATCTAATGCCCTTTGCACTCTTATTTCTTTCAATTGTTGACTATACTTTGGCAAAATATTATTAAAATGTCTACGAAAGACGTTACCACGACAATGTGCTTGCAATTTTATGATACGATCTCGTTTTTGTTTATAATTTAATGTATTTTCACGGGACTTAATACATGCTTGCAAACGATTAAAACCACGTCTCATTACTACAAAACGTTTACGTAATTTATATCCACGCCATGTTTTTTGTATCATAGTTGCTGCATTACGATATTTTTGTAAATAGCGTTTAAATAAAACACGACGAAATCCCCGTTGTATTGTTATTATATGTTTTAAATAAATTCTTGTTCTTTCAGATTCTAATAGAATATCATCAGCATCCTTAAGAAATATTTTATTATTACCAAATTGATAATCAGATTCTTGTGGTAAAATTCTACTACAAATTTTTTTAGAAGCCTCTACACAATCAGTTTTATGAGCAGGTGCTATACCACTTGTTAAATGCCGGTACCTTTCAACAAATTCAAAATAAGTATGACGTATTGGATATCCTAGACGACGAATTCTTGCTGTTTCCATCATACCTGAATAACGTAATTGGCGAACACACAATCCTTTATCGAAAACCTAAAACAGAATAAAAGGAAACAAATAATTAATAATATAATTAATTAATAACAAAATAAATATTATTTTTTACATTTGGCATTTTATTTTCATTTGGTTTTATGCAACGAACAAATGATGGATGACACGCTAATAATGTTTTCATCAATAAATCCAATGAACTACGAAATTGAAATGAAAGGGTCACTGCTTTTTTAGTTGTGTCCAATGCACTTTTATCATTTTCAAATATCTCTAATAAATATGGATTCGTTGTCTTTGAAATCAACTCTTTAAGATCCAAACTGAAAGAATCTCTATTTTTTTCAAGAAAACCTATATAGATACATAAAAGAAATAAGTACATTTTTATAGGTTTTATATAGCAACAAATTATTTACCTTTAGGATTATAATAAACTGTTCCTGCATAATGTTGGATACCGAATATGTGATCATTAGATGATTTAGGTTTTTTGTAAATGGTTTTTGTTCCATGAGTAGAATGAAGCTTTTCAAGTAATGTGTAATCAGTTCCTGTATTTAATTAAACAAAACAAAATCAACATTACCATAAAATTATCATGAGTTTTTATAATTTTTTTTTGAATTTTACCTTTTGGAAATTTGGTCTCCTCATCAATCAGCGACATAATGTTTAAAGTTTTCAAACCAATCAAATCCAAAATATTTTGATTATCAACAAAATCAATCATTTTCCAATTAATACCCTCATTTTGATACTCAGCTTGTTCCAACTTTATTTTTTTTAGCAAATAATAGAAAATAATTTAATAACCATTTGCCCTAAAAAACTAAACAAGGAAAAATTAAAAACAAGTAAAAACTTACCTTAAAAATGTGTTTTACGAAAAATTGTTGTAAATTCTCATTGGCATAATTTATACATAGTTGCTCGAAACTATTTGAATGGAAATTTTCAAAACCAAAAATATCCAAAACGCCAATCGATTGAAATTTTTTGTTATTATGAACGTCTTTAAAAATGGTTTCATTTATTTTATCTACAATTCTCAAAAAAATTCTTCCATAAATTGCTTTCACAAATGCATCGCGACCATCAATTGCTGCGTCTTTAGATAAAGAAGTAATAACTCTTTCACCTTGTACAAATAAAGTTTTTTTAGTTAAAGCTTCGCATAAACTATGCTTTTGCATTCCCAAAAAATTTGCTATCCTTGTAACATTCGTGTTATCGTTAATTTCAGATGAATCCATATTTTGTGTTACAGTTCCTTTAATTTTTAAATTTCCTAAATGCAAAATTGCTGCCAATAAACGAAATATATTCCAAACTTCTTCTTCTCTAAATGCTAAAACTTGTAATGCAGATCGTATATCAGTTAATTCTTTAGCATCATCACGGCCCTCACATATAACGTTACCACCTTGAGTCAAATAATAATATTTTGTAGCATCTTCTAATTCTAATTTTCTTTTCTCATCTTTATTAAGACCCGCTAACATCGAATAGAATATATGATAATTACGTTCATTTTTAGTCTGTGCAACTAATCTTGATTTCTCTAACAAATATTGTTCAATTCTTGCTCCTTGTATTGCTCCAGTATTGTTAAAGTAAATATCAATGTATTTACCAAAACGTGAACTGTTATCGTTGCGGATTGTTTTCGCGTTACCAAAACCTTCCATAATTGGATTTGCTTCAATTATTTGCTGTTCTATCCATGAATGTTTGCCACTTATTGCTGCTAAATATTGCAATAATAATTTTGTACTTTCAGTTTTTCCAGCACCAGATTCACCACTAATAACAATACATTGATTACATGATTCCCGTTTCATCTCTTGGAATGCATTATCACCGATTGCAAAAATATGTGGTGGTAACTCACCAATTTTTTTATTACGATAATTTCTTATTTCACGATTTGTATATATTGGAAGAACTTCATATGGATTTATGGCAACTAACATTGCACCAGTGTATGTCTAAAAAAATTTAAAAATAACTCTTCGAATAATGCTACTTTGGATTAGTTCAAATTCTTTTTTTTTTACAAAATTATTTATTCTTGTGTATGCATGTATGTACTTACATAAATTTTCTTATTCTTATACCGTATGTGTAGATTTCGTAGAATTGCAAATTCTTGTAGATCGCCTAATGTTATCATATCTTCAACACCATTTTGTGATGTAACATGCATTCCTTTAATTATATCGGATGATGCTATCCATACTTCGTTCCCTTCGTCATCTTTGATTAGTGTACGATTTTTATCGGTGCGTAATATGCGTCCACCAGTTGGAACTGAAAACTCATCTAAATGATTTGATGGTCGAACCCAAACATAATCAACCTGAAGATTTAAAAATTGCATTATTCATATTTTTGAAAACTTTGGAAATAAAATTTTGATTATTTATGTAATTTCGAATTGAAAAATAATACTAAAAAAAAAAAAAAAATTTTAAAAGTTTTGACTCATTGATTTTATGATTATAATTTTTTTTATTTTTAAAAGCACTTTACAAAAATTCACTTTAACATTTTGAAATTCCCATAGGAACATAATAACTGATTGAATCACTATTTTTTAATAATGAAATTTCATTTATGTATGTATAATGAAGTGCAAGAATTCTTATCGCTCTTATCAATATATAAAAATTAATTTTATCGCAGCCTACAACAAAAATCTTTTGTGAATTATGTTGCCATTAAAAAAGTCTAATCATAAATATTTTAAGAGCTTAAGCCCAATTGGCAATGCGTACAAATACAGTTAGTTTTAAATATACATAACCAATATACAGCTACATATATGTAAGTACATAAGTACAAAAGGTTTCATGACCGAAACTGCCTCTAAAATTAAAGAAAAATAACACTTTTACTAGATGAAATACAGAAGAAATTTTTAACATAAAAAATGTACAAGTACTAGAGTATGCCCCAGTACATAATTATATATGTATTTCGTTGAATATTTAAACTAAAATTCAGTTACTATACATAAATTATTAATTTATAAATAAACAAGTGTATAATATTATATAACCAAAATAATTATATACATATGTAAGTAAATTTATTAAATTTAATAAAAAACAAAACTTGTTCTTATCGTAAGAGAGCAAAAAAAAATATTAGAGTAGGTACTTCATTAGTTTCCTTAGTAATACCTAAATATAGATTAATCCGTATTATTAAAAGATTCTTATGTATCGCAAACTTTGATTTAAAATATCATTCTAATGATAACTGAAATACTTATGTGACGTATTAATTTGTTGGGTTTGTTACTAAATTTTGTGTTTAGGTGTAACTGAATGGTTGGTGTTTATCTGTTTTATGTAATGTAAACTTATTTGACTCCAAATCACTATGACTTGGTTTAATTTAATAATGTTTAATACTTTAACTTTATTCAACAATTTTACGGAAAAATATCTTTATAATTACATACTACAAACTAAATTCAACGTAAGACAAGTTAATTTAATGTATCTAAATCCACTTCCATTAATTTTTGAATGACAAATATTTACATATGTATGTTTGATTACAGTAGATATAATTTGTTGTCCAATACGAACTACATTGACATTTTATTTGGTGTTCAAAATTTATCTTAATTGTTATATAAGGACTTTTCATAAACGCAGTATATTGCCACACATAAAAACGAAAACTTAAATCATAAATTTTTATGTTCACAAAGAAGTGTTGCTATAACTTAATTTGCTCATAAACTTACTAGTTTTTTTGCAATATAGGCAAGTTGGTATGTTTATCGCAGTTAAATCGTATAAAACTATAAACTGCCTCAGTTTTATAGAATCATATTACGTTTTTGTACTACAAATTTCGTACATAATACAAGTACATTTTAAAAATTTGTTATACGAACTGTTATACTTATTAATATACATAATTGTTATATATGTACATATATAGTTAACACAAGCTTCAATAGAACGTATTTTCAACATACTCGTATAGGCAATAAAAAAATTTTATAAACATACATGATTATACACAATATTTTCAATAATTAAAAAATCAAATTAAATATTTTATCAAAAAATAAAATCTAATATCAGTAAATTGATAAAATTTGCTGTTACATGTCATTTCATACACACACATATTTTTATATTATATTTGTATTTTTTTGTGATTTTTTAATGAACTTACATGTTCCTTTTTTGAAGTGGCCATGCTAATTATATTTGATATTGTTGCTTTTTTTATATTATTTATTTTTTAATATCAAACCTCAATTATTATTAAATGAAAATAATATACAATAAATTCTGGAACTTATATTTAAAACATTTCAAATAATTTTTGAAATATTATTTTTTTTTTAATATTTTTTAATGATCGCATAAAACTTAAAGTAAGAAATTCCGAATTGAACTGAGTAATTAATAAAAAAATTTTATTCAATAAACCTATCAGTAAAGAAAAAAAAAATAATCAAAGTTTTGATAAAAAAAATTGTTCTACAATTGAAAAAAGGTATTTATTGAATACAATTAGATAAAAAAAATTTATTTTGATTACAACTCAGTTACAAAAATTTTTAATGTTATACTGTAGGTATTTTTAATGTAGGTATAAATATGGGTATTTGTATGATGATATATATATATATATATATATATGTGAATGTGTAACTATTATTAATAATATGACTTATGTATATATTATTATTATTAATTTATATTTGTAAAATAATATTTGTATAGATTAGATACAGAGAGCACGAACATCTCTATGAAATATGTTTGATATCTATAATATTCAATTCAGCATTGAATAATATTGGTATATATATTTGCACAATATACAAAGAAAAGAATATTGAATAGACACTTCTTAGAGACCTAAGAAGTGAACACAACAAAATTATATTTCCCTTAAATTGTACAGAAAAATGCACCTGACTTATATTGGACTTCCAAAAATTTACCAGTTTAACATACACCAATTTGTCATCACTAAACTTCAATCCAATTTAAATTTTAACCTTTGTCCGTATTATTGCAATAAGTTTAAATTTCTTAAAAACAGTCTTTCTTATCTTTATATAGGTAATATTTTAATTAGCAATTAGCATTCCGACAATTCTTTTATAATTCTTTATAAAAAAAACTCAGACGCTTGTTAACGCTTATTTAAATCCAAGACAAAGTCTTGAGTTTAAAAACGTTTCCATTTTACTAACAGTGTGAGCATGTACTGTGTAAATTTTTTCCTAATTAGTTTTTTTAAATAAAGATTCTTTCACAATCATAAAAAATATAAATAGTTAGAATACTCTTACGAGTATTAATCATGTAACGCCTTTTGTAAAATTTACCTTTTTCAAATTTTTTTAACATCTACAGGTAAATGAATACATTATTAATTAAAGTGTGAATGCAGATTAAAATGCGTTTCCCAAAAACTGATGTTTTATTTCACAAATTTAGTGTAATCATTAAGAAAGGAAAAGTGAAAGGAACATACTTGCAATTTAAAAAATAAATCAAACCGCACGAAGTTCACGTTTTTCGTAAATACAACTTGAGATAAACCAAGTTTTCTAAATTTTAACCGCTCAAATAAAACGGAAATGGACTCATGAATCTATATTCACCAGAATAAAAACGCTTCCACTTTCACATATTATGTATATGAATTTTTGGAAATGTCAGAACTATTAATTATGGCATCAAATAAATAATTGTCAAATTGGCAGTTGTCAAAAGTCAATCTTATCGAAGTTTTTTTTTTTTTTGTAGAAAAATTTAATAAAAAAATATTACCAATATAATACACTCAATTATTTATTGGGCATACTATTTTATAGTTGAAAGGAATTTAAATAATTCTGGGCTACATTAAGAAAATTATTTACAAATTCAAATACTTTAAATGTCTGCTGGTACCTCACAGGTAAATTTTGGATTGTTTAATTTTTATGATGCAATGTTTCCCAATAAAGCGTATTTTGATTTTAATACTCACATATATTTAAATTTTTGTACAGGGCCCTAAACTCTTAAATGGGTTCAAGCATTTTACCCGTTTTGATAAAGGATTAGGTGCTCAATTACCAGAGGCTTATAGAAAGTTTTGGAGAGAATGGAAAAACGCTAAGCCAACAGCAGTTCATTATATACCAAAAGAAGGGACGTGGGAAAGAGACGAGTTTACTGGGCTTGTAAAACCAATTCAAGATGTACCAATTCCTTTAATTGATGTACCAGAATCAAATAGAGGAATATGGGGTGGTGAAGCAGTAATCAAGGGATTTCAGAAACGTAATCAATATAAAAGAAGAGTGCCACATTTTTGGGTTCCACTTTTAAGACGTTCTGCAGTGTATAGTGCCGTTTTAGACGAATATATGTCAATGGTTGTAACTGAAAGAACCATAAATTTAATATTCGAAAGCCACGGATTTGACCATTATTTATTGAAGACCCCAGCTTGTGACTTACGTTCAATATTAGCATTAAAACTCAAGGCAAAAATTTTGCAAAGTTTATCAAGTGGTTGCCCAAATTTAAAAGACCAACCTGACAAACAAGCTTATGTTCTAAAAGAATATGGAAAATATCTAGAACAGGTTAGCGAAAATTAATTAAAATTTTGATCATTTATACTGTAAAGTTGAATTTTTAGTACACTAACGAAGAAATAGAATGGTACGGATTAACATTTAACGAGGCGATAAATAAATTGAAAGACCAAATAAAAGCGGAAAACCCTGTGGTTCCTCATAAAATTGAATTTCGTAAGCAGTTAATTGAGCAATTGAAAAATGCAAAACTTACCGAAGGTGACCAAATTCTCAAAAGTGAAAAATTAGAAGCGGTTAATATAAAGTAAGTTCCATTTTTTTTATTATTAAATTAATTACCAAGATCATTTTTAGTGAATCTTCGTCTAGTTGGTTTTCTAAAATGAACCCATTTGGAAGAAAGCATGAAAGCTAATTAAAAAGGGAAATCTTAGAGAAACTTAATATATTGAGTTCGATTGTTTGAAATGTTAGGACTAATTTGTTAATAAAAGCAAAACAATATTTATCAGCGTTTGTTTTTCTTTGTTTATATTTTCCTTTTGCGAGGTATGCATAAGGTAATTAAAAAAATAATGTAATACGTAATAAGGATGTTTAATAGTTCCTAGTTGGTGGAACCGAAAATTGTTACTTAGAATGCTTACAGAGAGCACATGTTAACAAATTTTTGTTTCTATGCCTTAACATGTTAAAAAAAACAATTTGCTTAAAAATTTTTAATATTTATATAAATCCTTGTAATAATCTATGTACCTAATGTCATTCATATTTATAACTTTATTGCCAGCTCCGGATATGGCCATGTAATTTAATTTTTTACAATACGTCACATTGTAAATGGCTGGCAAATCACTTTCAATTTTTCCAACCTCTTCTCCATTTAAAGCATAGTATAAAATATTTTTTGACTCGCCAGCTATCATTACAGTTTCATCTATAAAATCACAATAATGTATTTTTCCAGGGAACGGGAAAGCTTGAATCATTTCGGAAGAAGGTAAATGCCAAAGCGAAGCCTGCGTTCCGCCTCCGCATATTAGCCAGTCGTTATATACGGCAACACTCCCTTGCCAATTCCCAAATTCTGGTCTGTATAATTTTTGCTCTTTATATGGTTTAATTTTCTTCAGAATCTGTTTAGTATTTATGTCCCAACAAATTATTTGACCATCTTCAGCAGCAGAATACAAATTTATTTCATATAACTGAATACAATGAATGTAATTAGTGTGTCCTTTGAATTCGAACAAAATAGTTTTTGATTTTACACATATCTGGTAAATGCTATTATTCCCACATCCAATAAATATGCTGTCATTAGAATCGTCTGACAAAATACAATTGATATCGCCGCAACCACTAATTTCTATTTGAAAATATGTTTTGTTGACTTCTACCTTTTCATTTAGCCATTTATACGCAGATATTAAGGAATCTGTTCCAACTAAAATTAAGTCTTTATAAAATAATAAACTCAGTATTGGTCCAAGATTTAAAGAATAGCATTCAGTATCTGCAGTCTCACATCCCTCACTTAAATTTTGTACAAACAGATCTCCGTAATTATTTCCGTAAAACATCCATTTCCCATCGGAAGAAATTGTTTGAGATAGAACCGTATTGTAAAGTACCTTTAACTTATCCGATACCATAATTCTTTGTAAATATTATTTAAAAAAATATTTTAACCAATTTTGCCGAAAAAATTTTGTTTATGCACAAAAACAAAACGCCAAATCGTATTTTGACTTTTTGAAGTTTTTCTTTTGCGAACTTTACTGTCAGCTGCCATATGTTTGAACTTCAACTTAAAATTTTTAATACATCAAGATGACATTCAGAAAAACGTTTTGTGTTTCAAAAAACTTTTGATTTGTGTCTACACTGTGGGTTATTCTAGATTTAGTTTGGTTTTTGAAAGTCCACATCCTTGGTTGGTGGTCATTTCCCACAAATATGCTGGATTCAAATGTATTTTTCAGCCCATTAAAAACAGCCAATGACCGTCAACCAAATTTGTAAACAATAAAAATAAACATAAAAACTAAAGGAAAACCGCGACATCTATTGCCAACATTACACAAATTTCCCAAAAATTTTTCTCTATTTTCAAAAACTAATTTTTTCGTTTTCGTTCCGTTCCGTTTAATGAAAAACAAACATCCATAAAAATAAATATCTATTTGCTTTCAACACAGTTGCTTTATTATTTTAAAAATCACAGCAATTTTTTTTCAATACTTTTATAACCGTTAATTGCAATGCATTATTATACGTACTTTAAAATATTTTGCAATCTGTACATAAGGAATTATATAAACATTATTATGTAAATTTTGACCTAATTTGACAAACTCCACCACTATCACTAAAAACTAAATTACAAACATTTTCTACACTATACCATAGTAAAGAACCGTAACGTCTAGCTGTGAAATCAATAGTTGATGATGCCTCACAAATTAAAAATAGACATTGTGTCCGATAATTAAAAATGACTGCTTCCTCAGATGTAACCTTTCCACTGGTTGTAAAACCATATAAAGCCCGCCAAATTTGATGGTTACCTGCTTCCACAGCTGTGCTGCCTACTACGATATAACGATTTCGTATAGGCATTGGAGTTTCGCTTCTCTCAATTTTAACTTGTGAATATAAAAATTTATTGTTAAAATTTGGTGGAATATTGAATCTGTCAAGGCCATAATTCTGATGAAAAAACACTGTATCAAAAATAAAACTTGTAGATCTGTAACGGTCTTCGAGTGTCTCGACATATTCTGTTAAGGTATTTTGTTGTAAAGGCATTATAATTTCATCTATTCCAACCATAGCTAAATGTTTAAAACCATCTTTGAATGTTCCACGATACATACAATCATTGTAATATGCCAAAATGTTAGCATATTTAACTTCACTTTGATTCAAGCCTCTATAAAAATTCCAATCCATTTTCTCAACTACATCTTTTTCAACATAATAATCAAGCAATTTATGTACATCATCAGTCGCTTTTATTATATAAAAATAGAATTTTTCAGATCCTAATAATTTATAAAGCTCAATAAATTCAGCAATACGAAGAACATTTCGATAATGAACTGGTAGTGGAAACACACATACTGCTAAGTATTTATAATTATATCTTAAAATATTAGATGCTACTGGATATCTAAAAGCACAAAAAAATTATTTATTTTATGTTAAAACTATTTTTAATTACATATGCAATAAACTTACGTAATTGGGATAAAAGCGGGTTGTTCTACAGTTAACATATTACTCTCATACGATAAAGCTATAGAATATGGCAAGTCTACAATTTTACTATTATTAACATTTATAAGAGGGCACATAATTGTGAAGGCAGCAAATTCTAAGTCTTCATGTTCTGTAATAGCATTAACTTCACCTGGTGTTACAGTCATAGTTTCATTGTCATCAAATCTATTGCAAAATAAAAATATAAAGTTAAAAATTAACATTATATTAGGTGTATACATAGACACAAAAATATTAAAAGTAAATTATCGTACTTACTTATAGATGCAAACAATTTCATCATCATCTATATCCAAAGGTAATATTGCAAAAGTTCTAATTGTTCCATATGATTTATTTTCCTCGTCAAAATCTGCACTATCTGAAATTTGTTTATTTTTTTTTAATATTTCTATAATTATTGTACATTTAAAAATATGCATATGTATATATATATATGTATATATATATTACTTAAAGTTTCTACTCTCGGATCAAAATACGCTGAATATTGTTGATGTCTTAAATCTGGATCACCTATATAAATCCATTTATAAAAGCTCTCATTACCACTTTGCATAGGTCTTATAAATGTTAAAGATTTTTGTACTTCTTTCAGAATTGCGGTTCTTTGTTCGTACTAAAATAAATATTAAATGTATAATTGAAATTAGTGTGTTGTTTATTAATTCGTACTAATAACTTAAGTTTTAATTAACTACAGGCTTCGATACTAAAGAGTCTATATTAATAATAATTATAATAATGCAAAGATTTACAGGAATAAATTTAACTCCGATGCAGTTCTACCTCTCGCGTGTAAAAATATAAAAATGAATAGTCAAAAGTATTTAAATACTTTAAAAGTGCAATAATTTCGAATGTAAATATATTATTATGATGTTGAAATATTGCAATTGCATAGTATATTCCGAAAATTCATATAGTTTCCAAGTGTCACAAGACTGTATTTAAAATCGTAATTTGGTAAAGGAAAATAAAATTCTCAAATTTTAAATATTCTAAAATAAAATGCATATATGCAATATATTTTGCACAAAAAATATACATTTAATCAGTTATATTTTCCTAAAATATTAATATCACTTTATTAAGAGGAAGTTAATATCACTTCCTCTTAATAATAGGAATGCATTTTACCATTAAAACTAAAATTATAAAAAAAAACACAATTTTAATGATTATCTAGAATTATATTATTCTTAAATATACCTTTAACTTTATTATAACGTAAATATATGTATATGTGTCTGCAAAACACAATATCAATGGATAACATTATATCTCTAATACAATACTACATACGTATGTATGCATATGGATCCTTATTATTGATATTTTCTTCATTGTTTTCATACTTTAGTTAAAAGCCTTAACCTTCAAAGTTGGTTTTTTTATATATGACAAATATATTCCAAATATATTCAGAGGTTTATATAAATTCCATGTATAATAACACATACACAATATATTAAAGCACATTGAATTGCATATAGATTTACCTGTGTCTACTGATATATTAAATATTATTATTAGCTATTATTTCCAGTTTATGTATATGCACATTGATTGAGTTGGTAAACAAAATTGTGCCAAAATATTTTTATTATTATACGTATACCCGTAAATCTTAATATAGAAAAAAAACTACATACTTAGCTTTATTATACAAATTAATCAATACTTATTATATTAAAAATGGAAACGGTTACTGAACATAAAGAACATAGTTAATGTAATATTCCGCAAGTTTACAAGTAGGTACCGTACATATTATATGTAATTAAAATTTATATTAAATGAAACCAATTTTAATGAGAAAAATTTAAAATTGATAACAAAAATTGAATAACCGATTTAGTAAATTTAAAAATAAATTTAACCATTTATGCAAATAGAATTAATTTCACAAAGCAGATAAATATTTTACTTATTCAACGAAACGCAAATATATATACTCGGATACGTAATTTTTTTGCAAAATTTTGAAAAAGTTGAAAGTCAGTTACTTATGTCTATACTTGGCTCATATTTTTTGAATGTAAACTTTTTACATGCCTTATTTATACATATGTTGGTATACATAAAATTATATCTACATAATGTATTTGGGTATAAGTATTCTGCAGATATCAAACACATTATTATTACTCTTCAACAACTGTACATGTATTAGAGTTTTTTTCAAATATACATATATTCACAAATTGACTAATGACAAATATTTGACAAACAATTAATAAATATAATTTAGATTACATCACTATTGTATAAGTACAATTAACATCTAAAACACTAGGGTATCATAAAGAGGTTTGATTGAATATTTTTATTAAACCCAAACGATTTTGTAGATATAATGATATAATTTTACTTTAACATATATTATGCACATATTCAAGTTATATATATTCAAGGAGCCTAAAAACTCAACAGCAATGCTATAAATTTTGTTCCTAAATAATTATACACTTCATTACGATTCATTTATTATTTTTAATTGATATAATAAGATGTCACAGTGACATTTTAATTGATAATTGAGTTAATTCACTTGACATTAATAATTAATTTATTCCTGTATAATAAAATATTACTAAAATTATAATCCAGAAATATTTTGAAATTTCAGTTTAATGCGTATCATTAATTTCAAATTTAAAAACAAATTATTCATATATGTACAAACGACTAGTCGTACAAACATATTTAAATATTTTAACTTTATACCGAATAGAATTAAGTATAATTGTATTCAAAGAAATAGTAAAACTTTCAAAAAATATTTCCTATACATATGTATATGTATATACCTACCACCCTCTGGTTTTATTATTAGCAATTAAATTACCATAGCAAAAACAAAATTGATAATTTTTATTAATTTAAACGAAATTCAGATCAATATTCTTGTAGAAAACACGCGTTCAATTCACTGTAGACAAAATTTTTTTCGTATATATTTTCTATTTCTCATTTAAAATATTTTGCATGTATAAAAAATATTAAACAATTAAATTTATAATTAAATGTCCTTTATTTCATATAAAATATGTAATAAAAAAAAATAGAGAAGCAAAAAAAATTCATTAAATTAAAAATTCATAAAATTCGAATGTCAAGTCCATGAAATTAAAAAATGTTCAATTTTGCAATTTAAAAAATTCAAAACAAAAGTATATTTAAATATTTTATTATATGCATGTATCCCGTCCCAATGTGTATGTATGTATATATATTTAAAATAAAATGTAGATATAAAAAACATTACGAAATATTGTATACCACTTTATATGCACAAAATATAACATTATAATAAATTTACGTTTGTATAACAAAAAAATATATAGAAGAACTTACAATAATATGTTTGAGTGTAAAATATAATAATAAAGATATTAAACCCGTAACAATTCCCGATTTAATTAAATAAATCCATTTTCCCATTTTTTTTTAATATTTTATTTTATTTAAAAAAATTTTTTTTTTTTTTGATAAAATATTTCTTTGCAATTAACGAAAATTAATTAATATTTTTAATTTTCTCTTAAAAATAATTTTAATTTTAATATTATTTTTATAATAACAATATTACCGCACCGCCATTATATTAACATTTTCTTTCAATAATCTTAGCGGAACTAAAACGAAAATTTGTTATAGTATTTATTTTTTTTAATATTTATAAATTTTCGTATACTTCATATTGGTACGAGTACGCTGTACCTACCACCCATGTGAGAAAAATAAATAATTTAAAGATATTATAAATTTAAGTTTACGTTTTTGATAAAAAAAATCTAATCGAAAAAAAATTTTTTGTACTTATAGCTAATGCCCTTTACACATCAAATTTAAAACAATTTCATTCTAAATTAAACTATTTTGAAATGTCATTAAATTTCATTAACTAAAACGAAAAAATCAGAATTTTTTGGTAGTAATAAATACTTTGAACTGTGATGAATAATACCTGTTATTCACCACATAGCGTATTTGTATTTCAATTTACACAAGTTGACTTTAAACAAAAATACTTATTAATACGTCGCGCTTGCGAAAATTAGTTAATCTTCTTAATTTATAATAAACATATATACACATATCTTGTGTCAATTTGATTTAGCAATTGCAATATTATTTTGTCAAAGTTGAAGTCAGATATAAATGCATTTTGATAGACATTTTCAACTATGATGTACATAATGTCTTTAACTTACTCAGTTCTAGAATTTAAAAATTAATTTATTGAAAATATTTTTAATAACAAATGTTATGCATTTTATTTAATTGATTATATTGCTGATTTTCTAAAAAACCAATCACCATTCAATGATCTGACAGTTTACAAGATTTAATACGTACATAATTTTGGTTCTTAATTTTTTATACACCTATATGCATATATATTTTATATAATAATATTTTCTCTCAAAATATCTCAGAAATTTTTAATATTCTTATTATTTTCAACTTTTATATTTATTGTGATTGTTTTTCTCTATGTAAAAAATTACTTTGAGTGCCAAAAAATAAAAAACAAATAAGACGAAAATATAAAAGAAATATCTATATACAAAATAGAAACTTAACTATAACATTCTGCTGTTTTTACTAAGATATGAGAAATTTATAGTGAATCTATAAATATTACAAATATTTTTTTTTTATTTTTGTGTACAAATATAAAATATAAAATATATTTGTACATAAGTTAGTACTTATTTATAATGAATGAACCTAATATAACATCAAAATATTTGCATGAATGAAGTATAAAGAAACAAAACATTTGCATATATAGAATTTTGTGTTTTGTATACAAATATACACACATATGTGCATACATCTGTATAATAATATTTATTATAAAAGTGTACATAGTTATAAACATATACATATTCATACAAAACATGCCAATTTGCATAAAATTGTAGAACATTGTTATTCTACATGTCATCAATATATTTATTAACGGTATTTTCCTTGTCGCTGGTCGTTATTTCATTTTAAGTTTTTTTACTTATTTTGTTTTTCTCTTTTAACATTAATGATTTTTGAAAAAAAAACATTGGTCCTATAAGCTATACGTTATATACCTATATACAAATTCATATTATGTAGGTATATAGGTATATAACGTATATTTATATGTTGCATAGGTGCATTTTATATTTACGTATATGTTTTCAGACATTTCTCACAAAAATTAGAAAAAATATGCTTCGGTATTTGTTTCGTTCCATTCCATCCGCCCAGCCGTGCCTCGTTTTTGTAAACTATTTTGTTTTTAAAATTTTTGACGTTGTAAAATATGTACGTTTCCAATTTTGTAGAAATTATCAAAGATTTTATTTAATTGGAACAAAATATTTATTCATCTCACTCCCCTTCAAAGTTATCAGATCCCAAAAGTAGCACTCAGCTTTCCTAAGTTTCTATAAAATCAAAAAAATTTAAAGTATAAAATGTCTTGCCATCAAAAAAATGGGTTCATTTACCTCAATTCCATTAATCATTGGTGAACGAATTTGAGCGTTACGTTAATATTATATTTCTTCAAATATTTATTTGAATCCTAAAAGTATGCAATAATTGTTTATTTTATAAAACAATTTTGACAATAATATATTGTATTTTCACTTATTAAAAGAAAATGTGCCACTTAACAAACCATTGGTTTAATTCGAATTTATTGTAAGTACATTAGGATCGATATAAATTCATATACACACACAATGCATAAATAAAAAAAGTGAAATTATTATAGATAATTTATTTGAAATAAATGTAATGTAATATTCATAGTAATAGAATACTATTCTTATAAGTAATGCCCCTAAATAGTAATAAAATTCTCGAAAATATGAGTAATAGGACGCAAGAATATTTTAATTTTTCTTCTCATTATAATAAAATAAAAGATTTTTCATTAGTTATTCAAAAATCAGCGTAACAATAGACAACACATAGAAATTTTTTATTATTTTTTCCGAAGAAAAGTAGATTTTTTTGCATGTTAAATTTTCTTTTTCTGGAAAAAGAAACACAACCTCATATACATACATCTTTGAATTTTTAAATTACATACTATTTTTAAAATTAAATTTTTTTTTCTCGAATTGGACTTTAACCAGCGACCTAGCGAATACTCTAACTATTTCTGAACTATGGTTTCTGGTACAAGTCCTTTTATGGGAGAAAATTTTTTGGGTCATCCATCTGTATGATGTAATTTTTATTGTTGATTTTAACATTCGCAATTTACGTAAAAAAAGTTTTGTCTAAAATTTTCTTTTAAAACGCAACATTAAAATATAATTTTTTGCTTATTTTATTATACCTAATTATTTTATTATAAGCAGTTATTCTTAAAAAATAAATAGGCTATATAGAAAAAAATAGAAAAATAAATTTCGCGTGCAATTTTTTATTAGAGAATTACTTATGTAATTTAATTTGAACTAAAAATAACTTTTAGATTTTTATTTTATTTTTATTATGTTTAATGAGTACGTACATATAAAAATGTTGGGACTACAATTAAATTATAACAACAAAAATAAAACAAAAAAAATAGTCATTTCCAAAAACAAAGAAAAATTAGTACAACCTATACATAAATAATGAACATAAAAATTGTAAGTTATTAAATTACGATTAGATTTACTGCAAAAAAAAAATATTTTTAAAATATAACCTCATTTTAAACACAAATATGACGAAGAATAAAAGATTGACTTCATAAAAAGAATATGAATTATTGGTTATTTAAGAATCGAAAGTGTAACCAAAATTCACAATCAAACCTTAAAGCTATTTCACCCAGTCAAATTAGGATATAACGTATATTGAGTGAATCTTTTATCTTGCTCTAAATTTCACCAAAAACTTTAAAAAAATTAAACAAAACAGTTTTTGCAATAAACTTTAAGAACTTTATACAATTAATTAATCACGTACAAATTCAAAAAATTTTCAATTCTAATTTTAAGAACAAAATTTGAGAAAAAATCATATTTCAATCAAATTTAATTAATTTAATTTTTAATAAATGTTTGTATCGTTGTGGCCACAACTATATACATATCATGTATGTACATACATACTCGTATAAGCATTCATAATGCTTTATATTGTATAGGTACTTAACAATTTTTAAAAAATATTATTCACATATTATTATGCTTATAGATGAGTATGGTTGCTCCTTACTTTCATTCAACATTTTGTAATACTACCAATAATTTTTATTCAAAACTATCATACGCATATGTCGTCGGCTGAGAAAGAAAACAGCGTATAACATTTATACGTCGTTATCCGATTTTATCACCATTGGATTCTCCATAGTCGATTCTATAAGTTGAGTTACTTTATATTTCTCTAGCTTTTCATTTTAACATACTTTTTAAATAAAAACGAAAATATTGTATAAAGCATTTTTAGAAACTAATTAATAACAAAATAGCGTAAAATGCGTTTACTTTGTTTTATTGCCAAACCGTAACTTTTTACAAAATTTAAAATAACGTAATGAATTCTTACACTATTTTGGTAGAAAATTTATCATTCAGTTGTTAATTTCAATACCAAATAAAAAAGTGTATGTTACTTTTACACGCTTTTTAAATTTTAATAAAAAAAATTTTTGCAATAAACTGAAAAGTAAAACGGTGTAAGAATTTGATACACTGTTTCATATTGTCTTATACACTACTTTAATTTTGAATTTTGAATCGTCTTCCCTGGCAAACAATGCAATAAAACAGCGTACAAAACAAACGTACATATGTACATTATACTTGTTTAATTTTGTTTAATTCTATATGCATCTTCATGTATAAGACAAATATTTTTAACAAATAAGTATTCTGTTGGATTTTGTTGATCAGTACAGAACTTAAAGTTATAACTTTTTTAATAAGTGAAGCAAATAATTAATAATTTAAGGCAAAATTTTATACTCACAACAATTAAAATAATTTTGTTGTGTTACGTAAAAAGAAAAGGAATAAAAATTTTAATGATGAAGAAGTGGTAACGTTTTTCGAGAAGTCACCAGAAAATTCTATTACACACTTTTCTTCTGGCTCTGATGACAATTATGAGCCTAGCAAGAGTTCAGCATCTGAAACGGGTGAAGCGGAACCAGAAAAACTTACAGAATGTTTTATAGACTAAACGTTTGATAATGAAACCATTACATCTACATCAGCGGAAACACTACTCGAAAAAATTTTATAAAGTACTAATCTAAGTGAAAATGTAAAAAAGCAATAAAAAAAATTAAAAAAGAAAGAATTCAAAGCAAAAGAACGTTACAACGGAATTTGCAACTGCCAACACAATTGCGTTGAAAAATTTCCTTAAGATGCAAGAATTAATAGTAATAATTCGTATTGAAAGCTGGGTGATTATGGAAAGAAAAGATTATTTCTAAAACATACTCTCACACACAAAGTATATACAAGAAAACGACCGCGAATGTCTCGAAAAAATTTTACGCCTTGTTATACATTGTATGGTAAAACCGTTTGCAAGAAAGCTTAACTTAAGCATTATAAAATACACATAAAAGTTGGCTAGCATACTTATAAAAGAATCTTTAATACAAAATTTAATAACTCGTTTCATGTGCGCAATATGAAAACATGATCAATCAATCTTAGTTAGAAACATTCAGTAGCATTTTATCAAAACTTGGCAGAAAAAGCCTCATCTAAAAATAATTTATCTAAATTAAACGAACCAAGCTATTCAGAAGACGAGATTGAAGAGCTACAATTAAATTTTAGAACTAAGTTTCAAAATTTCAAGTAGAAATAATGTACATTTGAATTATCTTTTATGTTAATATTATTTATTTTTGTTTACGACTTTTCATGTTACATTAATATCGATAAAAATACCTGTTTATATTTTCATACGTTGAGTTAAAGTATGTAATGTTAATTTGGTTTCTCAAATTATATTAATTTTTTACAAAATAAAATAACGTATAAATAAAAATGAAATGGTGTATACCATACAAAAAAATTAAAATGAAACAGTGTATAACTTTCTTCATACAATTTCTACCAAAAATAAAATAGTGTAAGAAGTACCAAGAAATTTCAAACCTCTAATTTTCTAAGATCTACAAAAATTTATTTAATCAAATTTATGCAAATAAACTATTTATTCCCCCAATAATGTTTAACATAACTTTTCAGGATAGTCAAAGATGACAACCGGAAGATTTTAGATTCGAAACTTCATTTTTATTTTGCAAAAAACTTCAAACGCGATTTACTCAAAACTATACCTTTTTTTATACACTGTTTTATTTCTCAGCCGACGATGTATATACATCAATATGTTATGTATGTATATCTAATAAGCAATAATAAATTATAATATAGCAATGTATGTATGCATGTATGGAATATTAAACCGAATTGAAGATCAACAGGTATTTTGTATTTATATTATTTACTACATTATTTTCCGTTTTTATTGCTAAGGATAACAAAACAACAAATGAAATTAACAAACATTCTAAAATTCAACAGGTTTTTTATTATTACATACATGCGAGTCGGGGATTTGTACATGCATGTATGTATGTATGTATGTCCGGAAAAAGTAAAATATTATGTATAAACATTTTTCCACGCTTGATACAAATGATATTATAAAACTAGAAATCCAATTAGAAGCGCGTTTTCAAATTTTGTACACCTGTTAAATCACTAAAATGAAACTTGTACACGCAACTATGTAATATAATTATTATTAGTTACATACGTGTATGTAACGCTATCTTTAGGAGAAAATATCACAAAATAATATTTTTTATAATTATCGAATGATTTGTATACAATTTATAATTTAATATAATTTCGTATAAATGAACAAATATAATTTCGTTTGGGAGAAAATTTTATTTTAAAACTCTTTTTTTTATATTGCAAATTTGTTTAAATAAATTATGTCTGCAAGTATAAGCATTCGAATTCAATATCACAATTAATATTCAAAAATATTTTAAATGAGTATCGTTCAGTAAGTTGCTATAAATCTTAATATTTTGTGTCTTACATTTGTTTTTCCAAAAAACACTCAATATTTTTATAAAATATCAAGTAATATTGAAAATAAGCTAAATTATGTCGCTAAACATTTCTAATGTTGCTATATACCTATGTAACAATTTTCAAAATATTATGTACGTCATATTTTAAAAAAGTTGGTAAACATTCATAATAACATTTTCTATATACATTTATTATTATTGTAAAATGTATTTAGTTTGATCAATACAATGTTAATCAATCCTAGACACATTTACATATACACATATTTATTAATTTTGATGTAATAAGTATATACGAATGCTCTTCATCGACTTTTTTTTAGATAAGTAATATTAAATGCAGAATTTTCATTTTAGTCATGCTAGTCGAGTTGAAAATAGCAGCATACTTTAAAAATTAGGGAATAAAAAAATATATATAAAAATTTTTTTCTCGTTTTTTCTTCCCATTAATCTACAAAAAAAAAAATTTATTTTTTGTTTTTCTTTTGGAATTTTCCTTTTATCAGAAATTGAGAGTGATTTTTCTCAATTAGGTTTTCAATTTCATAAAAAAATTTTTAATATTAGTGTTTAATAATAATAATAACTATATAATATTATATTTGTATAAAATATGGAAGAATTAAAAGATGTTAGCATTCATCATACTGCCATAAAGTTAGCTGGAGAATTGAAATCAATGAAAATGTACGAATCTTTGTATAAAACAGTACAGGTGAGATCAAAATTATTTCTAGAACAATTTCTAAAAAATATTATTCACATATTATTATGTGTATAGCTTTGGTTGCTCCTTACTTTCATATGCATGTATACATAATGTGAATAAATAATTTAATTTGTAAGAAATGTATATAGATAAAATTCAAATTAAATTTTTCCTAAAATTGTCCTTAAAATTACACAACTATGACGAAAAGTTGAAAAACACTAAGTTATAAATTGAAATATTATAAATTGAATATTAATTCCTTTACAGTTATTAAAAAAATTCTCATTTCTTTGTTTTTAATTTTAATTTTATATTAACATGTTTGATCAATGACGACGACATTATTGTGTATAAATGAAATATGCAAGTACATATATCCCCCAAAAAAATGAAAAAACACCAAGAGTAAAACAAAAATCCTCTAAAAATCAATAGAAACGGAAATAAAAAATTTTTTCGGTTCATTTTCTTCTTTTTCTTGTACTTATTGGTATACAAACCCTCTTAACAAATCAACAAAATAATTCTTAGGTTCTGCTCTGATTCCAAATTTATTCATATTTATTAGTTATTTTAGGGTTCTTTTTTAACATTTTTCTAATTCTAAAGGTTGAAATTTCGTTTTATTATTTTATTTTTTTCTTCTTTTTTTTATATATTTTGTAGAAGTTATAAAATTTGATTGAAACTTAATGGAAATAAAATTGAAAGTTTTGTTTTTACCTTTTATTTTTATGCATACCTACCTACATAAACCGTTTAGTGATGTGCTCAATAAAAAACGCGTAAAGAAAACTTAACAAAAATATTTTTTAAATATACTATTATTATGCCTGGAAAATTATAAGCAGAAATTTATTATTATTATTTATTTATCAAAATTATCGTACATAAAGTATAAAGAAATAAAAGGAAAAACTATAATATGTCAGAGAAAATAGAAATTCTACAAAAACATCAAGGTATTTCCAATAAAAAATTGAAAATATTATATGTGAGATTTTTAACATAATATTGCAAATGTATATGTACATATGTATGTACATATATGCGCGTAAGTATAGGTACGAGTTCAAAAAAATTCGATTGTACTTGCAATGAAATGATAGGGTAGGTACTTAACCTCAATAGAATAGAATAAAAATAAATGAACTTTATTTACCTGTCATAACAAAAACTTTGTCAGTTATAATTTCAACTTTCATTCAATAAAATTTTATCTAATGTAAGAATCTTAAGCGTAAAAGAAAGTTCAACACCACTATATAAAAGTTTTAAATATTTATGTATATAGGATTTGTAATATACGAGTAGATACATGGTATATACAAGTTTGTTATTATAAATTTATTCCTATGTGTGTTGAACTTTTTAACTGTTCCTTAATCAATGAGAATACAAATCACGTTATATTTTTTTTACATATTTTATAACAACTCACATATATACATATATATTAATGGATACGAAAAGTCAATGTTCCCTGTCATATTACTATAGTTATGAATTTTTAATTTTAATATAATACGCGTTTAAATTTAATAAAAACAAACACATTTTAGATTTAAGTACCTTATAATAGGAACGAACGTGTTAAAATGATAACTCAATTCATTTTCGTAGCAACATGCACATTGTAAAAGAATTGTTAACGGAATTACAATTTTAACAATAAATTTTAAGTCAGGCAGTTGCACGGATATTATTAACATTAAATTTTTTCCTATGCTTTGTATGCTATCAATTTCAATTTTCAAAAAATGCTTTATTTATTTATTTTCTTTTTTACATTATAATTTAAACTTAATATAGCTTAGGACTACTTTCAAATTTTTTTTCAATTTTTTCTTTACTGGCCCTCTGCTGGAGCTTTGTATGCTATCAATGTGACATCTCCTTTTTAATTGACTTTAATTTATAATCTTTTCTCTTTTTCTTATTTTATTTTTATTTTTTTTTATGTTTATTTAAGTTAATGTTGATTTCTTCATTTATATTTATAGAAAATAGTATGTAAACCAAATGTAGATAAATATGATATGAAAAATACATTAGAAGAGGCTATTAAATCAAGTGGATTAGAAATTGAAATAAGAAATTTAGTTTATCATTTAATTCGAAATTCAAATAAAAATGAAACAAAAACGACAATACCATCAAATGATCCATTAAATTATTTGAAACGTGCTGGTATGCTGTGGGATCGACGTGTTAAAAAATCTTTAAACGCAATGTGCACTGAATTAAAAGTACCCATACATGGTCAACATAGAATTACAGCTGAACGAGAAGAAATCTTAACAAAGTGGGATGAATTAAGTAATTTTCAAATAGGTGATTATATAACAATTTAGTAAATTATTATTATTATTATTATTATTATTATTATTATATACAAACAACAATTAAAATCAAATTTACATATGTAGATTTAACAAATTATCGACCGGTATATGCTCCTAAGGATCTTTTAGACGTCCTACTATCACTTAAGGGTCCAACTAAAAGTAACGATAGCGAGTATGTACACTGTTATCATATTTATGCTATAACAAATGCTAATACTCAGTTTGAATATTTTATTTTGCAGAAATATTCCGAAATGGGAATTTTCTCATATAGCTTTAACAGTCAAAAATCTCTTTGAATTGGTATATGTTCTTAATTTTTAGTCGTTCCTTCATTTTTTAGATTTAATTTAATATAAAATTTTAACAGAGAACTCATTATTCTGAATTATTAAGAAGCGATTTTAATGCTGACTTGACAAATCATTGTAAAAAAGTTTTATCTTATAAACATTCACCATTATGCCAACAACTTTTAAGACAAGGGAATACTCCAGCACCATATCGAGGAGAATTGTGGTCATATGTTTTAGGCAGTAATATATATACGCACGTAAATTTTTAAAAATTCAAAAGAAAACCTATAACAATATCTTAATTATATAACACTTTGTTTTTCATAGCAATCACAATATTGGGAACTCCTAAAAACAAATGTTCTAAATATTGATCATATTGTTGATAAATTAGTTTTTAAAGATATTCAATTAACGGCTTCCAATGATGATCAATATTTTGTTTTCGAGGATGTTTTATACCAAGTAATGTTATGCTTTTCTCGTGATACAGAAATTGCTGAATTGATACATGTTGAACCTTATATGATTAAAGGTAAACAATATGAGGGACCACCTTCTGGTGTAGTACCATTCCACGGCATTTGTATGTATGGTAAAAACAAAATAATAGATTAAGTTTATTAAAATATTATAGAAAAAAAAAAAAATTTATTTTTAAATTTTAGCTGCACCGTTTTGTTATTTATTTGATTGCCCGCGATCATTATATTTTACTTTTCGAGCTTTTTATATACGTTACTGCCACAGATTAACAACTATTAATACTCACCCACAAGTAAATGCTTTTTTTAATTATTTAATTAGACAAAATATAAAAATATTAATTTATAGGGTATTGTAAGCTTGTGTCTTCTATTTGAAAAACTCCTTCAAACTCACGAACCATTATTGTGGTCGCATTTCAGGGAACTTCAAATTTCGCCGTAAGTATATTGTAATTTTTACTTTTCTTCTAAATGTTTTATAGTTTTATTACATGTTATATATTTTTTTGTTATAGAATTCGAATTGTGTTCAAATGGCTGATGCGCGCTTTTAGCGGACATTTAATGCCAGACCAATTGTTGATTTTATGGGATTTAGTAAGGATAAACTTTGCGATTTAAAATTATTTTACTTAATTTGAATTTGAATTATATTTTATGTTAATTAAAAACATATTATAATATTAAATTATAAGAATGTGATTTTTAATTTCATAAATATTTTTAGGTCCTAGGATTCGATAGTTTAGAAATTCTTTCTTTATTTTCAATTATAATACTTAGTTTTCGTAAGGAAAGCCTTATGCAAGTTGTTACATTGGACAGTATTGAAGCTGTTCTTTCAGATTTATCATCAATAAAAGTTCTCCCATTAATTCAGCTTGCTTTAAGTCGTGATTAATCATTATTGACTTATGAAAATAAAATAATTAATTTAAGTAGAGAAATTTAATGTAATATATAAAATATAGTACAATATTTTAATATAAAAATCTGCGTTTTATTAAATTTACTTGTACGTAAATTTAAAATTATTGATAAAATTGTTTTGTTTGTTTTCTATTTTGATTATTATTTAATATAAAATGTTTTAAAATTTTTATAAGAAATATACAATATTATTAAACTTAAAACTTGGCTTTTATTTTACATAAATTTCTTTGTCGAAGCTGTTCCTTCCAATCAGATTCTAAGCGAACATATGATCCACCATGCAATATGCCTGTATTGACAGAGCCATGATCATTGCCATTTTTCCTACTCACAATTGACATTATTTGTTTCATTACTTTTTCCTCATACTCTCTTTGATTATCCTGATTGCTTCGCGCTGAAACTTCACCACACCAATATCGACCATATGTTTTTGATCCCCTTGCAGTTCTAAAATATTATTTTTTACTTTTACAAAACATGATCGCTTAATCTAATTTAATAAAAACAACCTGCGGCGTCGATTATTTTTATAATTTCTTTCGCTACTGCTTTCAGATTCACAACCATCAGTACTACCAGATAATTGCCTATTTGAAAATTTCCCTTTAGCCATTGGAAATGAATCACTTGAGTCTAAAAATAACGAATATGTATTAAAATATTATAAAAGTGTATTTCTAAAACCTGATTCAGAACTTGACTCAGGATAAGATATTGGTGTTTTTCCTCTACGAATAAATTTTGAGTTACTTTCATCTACGTGCACAACGGGCAGCAACCCTTGACGACATTTTGTAGGCTTACATACAAGGAGAATTAATAATTATCACGTATGTACGAAACTACGAGTAGTTAGTTTTTACCATTAATGATATTCCAGTCCATATTGGTTCATATGCTACTCCACATTGTGTAGCTGTTTTCATTTTTGGCGATTCCGTTAGGCAACCGCCTTCAGCTGCAATTTGAGCTAATGCCAAAACAGCACGATCACGATCGCTCTCTACCAAAACACTATGCTCCCGGAATTGGCAACCCTTTCGAAAAGAACACAGTTGCCATGAATAATTTTATTATAAATAATTATAATTTCTTACATTAGGTCCAATTAATGATTCAAATCTAAAAGCTTGCTGCCCACAACATGGAAACCTCCCAGCGGGACCGGGAGCATGTCCTTCAGTTATTGGGCCTAAAAATTGCGCTGGTTCTGGATGAAAAAGACACCAGTTCATCTAAAATGTACATTTTTTAGAAAAGCTTAATATTTTCCTTAATTTAAAGAGTTTTAAGATCTAATACCTGATATACTGGAAAATGCGTTTCACAAATACAGCAGTATAGAAAATGGCAGTGACCCCATAGTTTCCAATACACTTTTCTCCAACTTTTAAGTTCTTTGTACAATGTTACAATATAATGATTAATGTCCCACTGCTGATCTTTTATATGTTGACTAACTAATTGTCCCCAGCGATTTATGCGGATATTGGAGGCCGTGCAATATACATATGTAGCAGCTGCTTGAGTTAAATATTTACCGCATCTGAAAATTTACGCATCATTTTAAATACTTATATTACAATAGAAATATCTTACTTCTGACATCTAAAAATGCCAGCTAAACTAAAGTAATGGCCACGCAAGGCTTGTGGTTCGGGCTCCATCAAAGATTGTATTAATTTTGTCCATAATCTAGGTGTAACGCGTTCTTTTTTATCTTTAACCATTTCTAATTCTAAATTTGTAAACATTGCGGCTAATCTTATAATAATCGCATCATTTAAACAAGATAAGTTTGTTGAAGTTCTCACAACATCGTTTAAACGAGAATGGCAAAATGAGAGACAATCCAAAAGTAATGGTTCCATCTATGATATATTTGGAGTTAATTTCTAACATGTTAATATTGAAACTTAGTTACCTGCAAAAAGCTGGCTGACACCAAAATTGGTATGACATTCGAGGCATCCAACTGCGGTGAATTACTATTTCCGTCAAGGGATGATTGATTTATATCCTTTTTGACCCATTTCATTAACCATTCAAAAATTTGTATATCGCAATGTACTGATATATCCATGTCCTCCAATTTTTGGCCACCGGTTACGTCCGCAAAATATCTCATTTTATTAACTAATAAATTTTGCGGACAACTAAAATCTTTTGATGTACTTTTCACTTCATCGCATACATGTATTATGACCTCGGATCTATAATTGATAATAATATTCAAACAGCATTTTCATTAAGTTTTTATAAAACACAAATTACTCTCCGCATTTCCTATTTTCATTAGAATCTCTGCTGCCTAATCCAGAAGCTAGCGATTTTCTTCTTAAAGTTGTTTTGTTTTCCTTAACTTTATATACTGTGTCGGCAGTTTTCGGTGCTTTATGCTTTTCCGTATTTTCACTTTTTCCCATTATGCTTTCATTTCCCTCTTGTGCAGACGGAACTTCAACAATATCTACCGAAGCATGAAGAACATTACGTTGCTGATGCTGTCCCGTTTTACTAGAATTGCTATTATTATTTGAGTTTACATTTGAAGTTTCCTTTGGTTTTGAAACCGTTTTAAATCCTGATTTGTTTGCATTTAAATTTGTTGCATTGCTATTAACGTTGTTACTGTTGTTAATGTTGTTAATATTATTTGAATTATTATTCGGATTCGAAAATATATTTCCAGTCGTTATGTTACTAGCATTCGAATTGTTCAATGTATAATGTAGCAAAGCAGATGGCGGGTGCGCTGGACAAATGTGAGGTAAAATTGAATCAATTATACCCTCATCAATGAACTGATCAAGTTTTTTTTTTAAACTTGGATGAATTCCCTTGCTATATAGTGAACTAGAAGTTGATGACGCTCCTGCCACTGCTGCGTCTAACTTACCTCTGTTTAAACAATTTTTTAAAGTTCCGGCAACACTCGGTAAAGCACGTTTTCTTAATATTGAAGCTGCTGTTTCTATTCTATTCGATTGTCCTGACACATTATTTGTATTAGCTGACAATTGATTATCGTATATTATTGATAATTCGTTAACACGTTGTTTGATTGTATCACCAAGAATTTTATTTATCATACTGTTATTAGCTATATCATTTAAATCGGGATCTCCAAAGTACTTGGATTCACCAAAAAATATTATATCATGAATTTGACAGGCAAGTTTTAAAAACTCCAAAAATTCACTCATTGAAATTTCATCTTCAGCAGATTTTGTATTGTTTTCAGTATTTTTTTCAGGTTGCGATACTTTTTCGGTCGGAATGTTAGTTTTTTTAATTTCGTCGGGTACTGTTTTAATATTTTCGGTTTCTTTATTCATCTTTATTTAATGTTCCTGCTTCGAAGGTTTTTTTTGTTAATGAATTAAGTTTATTATAAATTATATAAAATATTTACTTTTAAATTTTTCTATTATAAAATTATATATATTTCTTTTTAGCAATGTTTTACCAGATTTGATATAGGTCAGGTGAAATTACAAATTGCCCTTTATATTAACTACAAATGAAAAATACTTTTTACCAGCAAGTTTTTCAAACTCTATTGGTAACCATGTTATTAATAATGTTAACTAAGCAACCGATTCGATTTCCTATACCCAGAGAATATAATATTATTCTTAGTTCAGTTTTCAGTTTATAATAATCAAAGTAAAGCTATCCACTGTTGACTTTATTGAAAAAGCTCTTGAAGAAACTTTAATCGTATTTCGGCCAGGTAATATCAGTCAAAAGTAAGGCGCGAAATTTCTAATATTCTTTACTTTTTCAATGTTATAATTTGCATGAAGGGCAAATTCTTTCGGATTTTATGCTATTTAAAATTCTGTTGTATGATATTAATTAGAAGTTATTCTAGATTATATGAATTTAAAGGAGGCGTTATATATTCTTATGTAACTAACTTTATATTTTGCATATTGAAATAGAAACCTAGAAATTGAAAACTTATAATCGCAAGTTACAAAATATTGGTTAATTTTTGGTTTTTTTCATTTTTCTAGGTTAAATTTTTTAATATAAAATTTATATTTAAATAATTATTAATAGTTGCACATTTATTCTTGAGGGTGGGAAAAAACGTGGGCAACTCTTTGCTTTATTTTAAAACCAAGTGGCTCTTCAAAACATTTATATTGCAAATTATTGTAATTTTTGTATTTCCGATTTTATAAAATTGAAAAAAAAAAAACCTTCCATAGTTAAATCGTTAACCAGCCTCGGTAAAATTATATGCATAGAAATTATGACTTAATTTTATTTTAAATAAAAAATGTTTTGAATACACATACTTACATATTTCAAAAGTTCAAGAAAACAAAAACACCAAATAACATATGTACATACTCAATTACATTAACATTGTAGTAATTTGAAGGCGAATACGAGAAAAAAATTAAATAAGCATTTTGATAAATCAAAAGCGTCCACGACGAGAATTTTTGTATATTTTTCAGGGAATTGCCATTTGGTGAAAATTGTAATGCGGCTCCTTTTTACCTTGTATTTGCCCACTCCTGTCTTTTGAACATTATTTTACTTTATCATTTTTTCTATTGTATGCTATATTTTTATTTAATAAATGAATACTATAGATTAGATGTACATACATTTGTACATATGTATACTGATTAGTAAAAGTAGAATTTTATTAGCATAATAATTATGATATCTTTATTTAGCAAATTTTATTAAACTAAAAGAGTTTTAAAAAACTTTTAATGCAAAATAAAATCATTCATAAGTGAAATGGGTAAGTGGGCACTATTATTAATTATTATATAAAGAAGTCAACTTTATATAAATACATATATATGTATACTCGCATACATACATTTATACAAAAAAGATCGATTTAAATTTTAAGTAAAAATGTGTATAATACTTACATAGTTTGATATAGAATACATCGCCGTACAAGGCATAACTTTCTCTTTCCCAAAAGTTTAATAAATATTAAAAATTATTTAATTATATGCAATCGTATTATTAATTATAAATTTCGTGTATTTCACTCAGTTTTACGAAGTTGATATAATTGTATCACGAAAATAACATCAATTTCAGATACTTAATTGACAAATTTTTCTCAAATTTACTTCGGTTATTTATTATACTTTAATAAGCAATATATTATATAATATATACTGTGAGTCGAATTGAAAAATCTAAAACCAATAATTGTATTTCTATTATATTGAATCGTATTCATTATTTAATTAAATTTAATTAAGCCAAAAATATTTTTTGATCTATTAATAATAAACTTCAAATTAAATGTAATTTTCATGTCAAATATGACCATATTTAGAAGTTGCGTTAATCAACTCAAATTCATTTAATTGACCTATACGCACTCCTACATGCAAACAATTAATTTGTCAATAAAAATTATAATAGACATTGTGGAACAGACTTCTTGGTGAAGAGTAAATTCTTATAAAAAGCTGATACAATAAAAATATAATTTTAGGCAGTAATGAAATAATTTTATATATTTAAACTTTCAGAACCGAAATCGGAATGAAATTCTTTTCTTTCGCTTATAAAATATATTTTGTTATTATTTACTTTAATTTAGTTCAATGTACTAATTATCAAAATAAAATAATTGAAATTTTAAAATATGAAAGTTTAAAACGTTCAACAAATAGTCTACTAATATTTTCAAATAAAAATACAAATTTAATAGACATTAAAAATATTTATAACAATTTACATTTTTTTAATATAATTTTAATGGAAACTTCTAAAACCGATATAATTTTCCAACAAACAACTATTAATCGAAATTTATTAATTATTATAATCAGTAAAAATATTAAAACATTAAAATTTGATTTAGAATGTATAACAAACTCCTTGACCGGTTTACATAATTTAAATATGATTGGAATTATTTTAGAAAATGAAAATGGAGTTAAAAATAATCTCCAAGTGCTTGAATCGTTTTTTAATTGGATTTTTAAAAAAAGATTTTTAAATTTTATTTTATTATATGAAAAATTTTATGAACAGAAATTGATTTTCATTGGTTATGATTGCTACCCGAATATAAAAATTAATTTTTTGACAAATACTACAGAATTGTTTCCCGATAAAACAAGAAATCTTCATAAAATTGTATTAAGGTCAGAAGTAAAACAAGATGTTCCAAGAACTTTTTTTTATAAAGATAGCAATGGAAAAAAAATTATTAAAGGATTAGGACCTGAAATATTTTTTCTATTTATAAAATTTATAAATGCAACTTTTGAAGATACGAGTATAAGCTTAAATAATTCAAGTGATTCAGAAACTCTTAATGTTATAGATGCAGTAAAATTTGTTAATTCTGGACAAACTGAAATTCATTTTCATTCATATGTTACCGAATCAATATTTCCAAATATATTTTATATTAATTATTCGTACCCTTATAAATATTCTCCATGGTGTTATATGATACCATATAGTAAAGAAATACCCTTATCATATTATTTACTTTTACCATTTAATTTAAGATTATGGTTATTCATTGGATGCAGCCTATTAATTTTAATCAGTTCAAAAATATTAGTATATTTTAGAATATATAACAAATTCAAAATTGAATATATATTTAATGCTATAGAGATTACATATTGTGAAATATTATATTTAACTTCAAATGATTGTGTTGAAAGAATGAAAAATTTCTGGATTTATAAAATAATTAAAATTAATTCTTTTTTTAGTGGATTTATAATTACAACACTCTATATGACAGCATTATCAGCATTTTTAATAACAAATGTATATGAACCGCAAATTGAAAATCTTAATGATCTTATACGTAAGGGTAAAAAAATAATGATAATTACCTATGAGGTAGAAAAATTTAAAACACTTGATATATATCCAAAAATTAAGCATCTTTTTCATCCAGTTAAAAATGATGATTTTTATAAACATAGAACAGATTTGAATGATACATATATTTATACTGCAAATACAGATCGACAATATTTTCTTTTACAGCAACAAAAATATTCAAAAAGACCAATTTTTCTTCCACCTAAAATTTGTATTTTAGATTCATATTTGGCTTTTATTGTATATCGTGACACACCGTTGCTTAAAACTTTTAATTTATATTTACGATGGACTTCAGAATTCGGATTACATCAATATTGGGAAAGTAGAAGCATAGAAAGTGCATTTAAAATGGGTATTTTGAAGAAAATTAAAAATCATACGTTACATAATTTTCGATTTAATTTACAGCATTTAAAATTAATTTTTCAACTTTTAATTGTAATGTATTTTTTTTGTATATTAGTTTTTCTTTATGAATTATTTTATTACAGAAATTTCCATAAAATTATTGTAATTACAGAAAAGCTATAAATAAAATAAAAGTAAAATTTTTCTTTCACAAAAATTTTAAAAGTTAATTAAAACTTATACGAAATTAAACGAAATTAATTTTTGAATAAAACACATTTTTCTTATCATTTATATATTATCTTCATTTATTTTTCTTTTTTTTTTATTTTATATAGTTATATTATATTACTTACATCGTTATATATATATATATGTATATTCATATGTACATTTTATATTTTTTAAATTTTATTTCAATATACATGAATATATTAAAAATTTTTACAACGAACGACAACAATATAATAAATTTGTTTTTAATATTTAAAATTACATATAAAAACAAAATAACAATATAATATGTAAGTTTAAAAATATTTAAAAAAATTTTTACAATATTTAAAAATAAACAAAGAAAAATAGAAAACAAAAATTACAAATAATAATTACACCTGTGTGAAATACAAAATCATAACAAAATTTTTATTATAAAGCTATAAAATTAACAATGATTATTAATATTGCTCTTTGGTTAACAACATGAACAGAATAGTTTGGCATTTTACAATTTTATAATTCAATTTTTTTAAATAAAGAATTTTCTGATTGTTTTATATTAAAATAAAAATAATATTAGTTATTTTTTTTAATATTTAATCTAACAATATAAATTCTATATATTATTGCAATGTTGAGATATTTTTATTTACTGCTAAATGAGTTAAAACAGTTAAATTTAACTGTGTTAATAACACAGTTATTTTTAACTATGCATTATAGTTATTTACATCATGAACTAATTCGAAAAATTATATTTTAAAGCGCGTTATAATTTAGTAATGGTAGAGAACTACTGAAAATAATGCCTAAATGCCGGACGTTAAGAGATTTTTTTGCTTTCTTAATAAAATATAATTAAATTTTTTATTTAAATTACAATTTTTAAATAAGTTCATATTACCGGATATTATGAAATGTTGCAAATTTTTATTTAAAAAATAAATAAAAGACTGAAGTGTAATCGCACTAAGAAATATAGTCACCCATATGCTCGTAGACGCATCATTTGATGTAATCTAAATCAATTTTGAAATTTGAAATTTTAGATCTTTAGCGTCTAAGAGAATATTAGTGAATATTAAAATTGAAAGCATTTACATTTACCGACTTAACGAATTTACCATTATATAAACTACAAATCAGAATTTGTTTTGAATTTCTTAATATTATTTTAACAACAATTATTTAAGCGACAAAAATAAAAAAAAAATTTTAAAACTATAATCGTAACATCTGAATTAACTATTCTTAAATTTCTGATTCTTTAATTAATTTATTCATTTTTCAATCGCAATTTAAGACCATTTGAGATATGTATTGGTTTAAGATTTTTTTTAAAACTATCAAATATTAATGAAAACTACACAAATTGCATTTAAGTAATTTTTTTGTTGTTTTTTTTTTCAATATAGCTAAGCACTCATGGTATTTTTCTTTTTTTTTTCTTTTGTTAAAAATTAAAAATTCAAATATTACTTTTTTCAAATCGCAAAGATAAAAATAACACAAGATTCTATTAAATTTCTAAATTAAATTTCGTTTTAAGCTTAGCATTAACATAATCAATTCTTTGAATTTTGAAGGTAACAAAAAACAAATTTAATGCACTTAAGAAAAAGGAAACAATAATTAAATTTTAATAAAATAAAATGATTTTTCATATATTTTATGTTTTTCCAAATTTTTTTTTATTTTAATTACGAAGGACTCTTCTCGAACCCTTAATTTGAATCCATTTTAATATATTGCATCCTCAAATTTATTTTAAAATTGGAAAAATAAAAAAAATTTTAATAATTTATATACATACATACATTAATTTCTTTAAACTTTAGTTTAACTTAATTATGATTTTTTCTTTTTTATAATACATGCGTAATTAAAAATCATGCTTCATGGAATTATAAATATTTTAGGCCATAATCCAATTGTTAAACTTAAACTTATTTCGACGTTTATAATATACTGATGAAAATTTGCTAATAATCGTAATTATAAACCAAGTTTTATTTTGAATTTTTATAAATTTCGTATTAGAATAGATTAATACAAATAATGAATTTTTTAATATTTTAAACAAGAAACAGTGTTTGCATAATTAAAATATTCATATATACATAAGTATATTAAAAAAAAACTGAACGAATTTTATAAGAAAAAAATTTTTCAAACCTGTCTTTTTTTAACGAAAATTTTTGCAAACATTAAATTATTTATAAAATCAATAAAGTTTTAAACCTTAAAGCATATTTATAAATTTATTATTCAATTCACTTTCTACTACAAAATCAGTCATATGTTCGTTCTATATTTGGTAATGGGTTGGGAAATTCAACTAAACAAGCCAAAAGTAAAATTCTAATGAAATAAAACTAAAAGCTAAGTAACTACAAGTTTTGCAATTTCCGACGTCAACATTATAATAAAACTGCATTTTTAAAATACACAGTTTACAAGCTTTTTAAATTTCTTATAATTTGCGTACTAGATATTAAAATCTTTATTAAAATAAATCTGCTTATTTGCAATATTCTGTTAGATGTATCACTTGAAGTGATGAGATATTATTAAAAATTACTGTGGTTTCCATTAGAGAATTTCAAATTTCGGAATTGATTTTATTCAGAAAATTACAAAAGTTTTGAATGACAACCAATCACTTCAAGGGATGCAATTAATAGAATATGCCTAATTACTAAAGAAAAGAACTAATATATTTTTTAAATCAATTTCCAAAATATATATTTCTAGATAAAATGAACTATTCGTATCCGAACTTAAACATGTTTTAAAATGGTGGTAATACATATTTGCCCTATGAAATTCAAGGATAATTAAATTTAAGTCACAACAAAGTTCTATTAATTATATTTCAATTAAAAATATGTATATATTTTAATAAGTGTAAAGAGAATTTACATTGGCATTAAGATACTAATTTAACTTTAAAAATTTTTTATAACTAAATAAATATTAATTCTGAGAAAAAAGAAATTTTTTAAGAATCGTAATAATTTGCCCTGTAAAAACCGATTAATTTTTTTTTATGTTGATGCTTTTACGTTCATATACACGTATGTAATATGCACAAATATATTTTTGATTAATATTAAAAATGACTGTTTAAAATAATTAAGTAATATAAAGTTAACAATTATTTTTATTAAAAAAGCTGGTTGCAGCGCTTAATTAAAACTTCTTAATTATAAACTTTAATAAAACTGCTTCTTGCTTTTAAAATAGACATTGCAAAGAAGGACACTATGTTAATTATAAATTCCTTATCAAATGTAAATATATTGTGTGAATTAATGCCAAATATATTCCATTAGATCGCCAAGAGAAAATTATTTTCCGAAGAAACCAAATTTTAAATAATGACTAACATTTTTAAATAATGCCTATTTTGTAAATAATGGGAATTAATTGATTGACGTACAAATATTTTTTTTTAATTTTGAATTACCCTTCTTCCCAATTTTGAATTACCCATATTAAATAATATTTGAAATTTTTAAATATTACTTAAATTTAAAGTCGTATTTCATCCTTTTAAATGGTGCGTTTAAGCGAATATGGTTATATATGATTTTTGTAGTTATTTAGAAATTTCATCACTACTACATTTTGAAAACGGGTATCTTCGGAATTCACCGACGCATAAGACACATTGTATCATCATCTGAAATATCAACAAAAAAATTTGACGATATGTTATGTTTGATGTTTTTATTTATTTGATGTTGTGTCTGCGAAAATCCAAAATTTTTTTGATGCTTAAAAGGTTTTTATGTTTTTTAATTAAAATGAATTGGAACAAAAAATTTTCTTATTAAAGTAATTAGTGAAATCAAATAATACAATGCATCAGATTTTTAAGTTTTTAAATGTAAAATAAGACAATGTGTTTAAAAAAAAGAATTGAAAAAAAATTTAATTTTTTTTCGATTTTGAAAAAATCGTACAACTTTTATTTGGTGATTCCAAACAAACCTAACAAACAATAAATTTTTTACCAAAATCATTTATTGGATTCAGAGTCTTAACTTTCAAAAAAAGTAACCGATTTAGGTATGCCTGAATTATATTTTCTAGTAATTTTACCAAATTTAAATGTAATATATTCAAATGAAATCAAAATAGTTAAAAATTTATGCAATATCTTTTAAATAAATAATATCCTACTCCTTACGATTTACATAAATTGCATATGTATTAAGTATATTGTAAATTATTTTTAAACAAGTTCGAATATTTAATCTGATGGAATATATTAAGTACTAATTATTTTAGTATTGTTTTTACATACACGTTTTCAATTTTTTTCTTTTTTGGATTGAATATATATTATTTGAAAATTAAAATTTTAGGTACTTTAAATATTATTTGTATAAATAAATTTTTGTATTTATTTCTTTACATTTTTTCTTTACATTTACATTAACGTTTAATTTTCATTTGTTTCCTTTTCTTTAATTTTTATTTATTTTATTTATAGGTTTTTTCTTTTTATTAAGGTTTCTAACTAATTTTAAAATTAAAAATCACATTTTTAACAAATACCATTCACAATATTATGCTTTTAATTTCAAATATCGTGAAAGTTACACATAAATAAAATGCAAACTTGCAAAATTAAATTTAATCTTTTAGTAGGTGTGATCAAGAAAAAGTTAGTAGAGAAATATTTCTATATGTAAAATACATTTATATATTTCTGCATATATATATATATATATATTTATATATAGATATATATATTTATATATATATATTTTATTTCTTTATATGTATATTTTATTTATATATACAAAGATTTTTTTAAAAAATTATGTAATGAGTTGAGTTTGTTAATCTACCTATTTTTCTAAACTATCTTGTTTGTTGAAAATTTATTTTTATAGTCAGTGGAATAACATTTTTATTTGTAAAAATAATTTTTTCCAGTATATATAAAAAAGTTTTTTGTTTTACGGTACCAATATTTATCATTTATCGTTACTAAAAAATTTTTAAAACTTGTGCACAAAAATTCTTAAGTCACATTTATAATTTGGTAATAAATATATTTTTTAATTAATGTGTATAGAAAAGTAATTATTTTATGTTAACCCAATAATTTAAAAAAAAAAAGTTTCTTTGACAAATTCGTTTAAATAATGAACCTACAGAATGAAACCAATACAAAAACAGATATTATGTCTGATATCCTGGAGAAGGAATACAAATTTTTCATTGATATTCTTTGTTTTTAAAAGAAACGTAAACTTTTTGAAATTTTGTGCTGACTTGAAATATTATTAAATCATCGAAAAAAACATCGCACTGCTAAAATTTAAACTGTTTAAAATGAAAGCGCTATTCGCAATTTTTTCTTTCATTTAATATACAATTTTACCAGCAATAAATTGAAATTTTTACATTTTTGTTAAAATTGAATCATTTTCATTTTAAAAATAAAATTTGTTCTATTTGGCTTCTTATAGCAAATTTATATTATGTACGTAAACCTTTATTATATACATATTAGATTTACTTACACAATATGTATATTATGTACATATAATAATAACATAATTTGTTAATTTTATTTTGCAAGTTTTTTCAAAATTTAAAATTCTTTAATTCTAACTATATATATATATATATTTTGTTATGATTATATTTTATATATTTTTGGGATTTTTATAATTTATTTATGGAAATATTTTGTTTTGTTTTTATTATACACAAAAGTATACATTTAAAAAGTATATAGTTATTATATTTAAAAAAATTAAAGGATTTTTAATTATATTTATACAAATTATGAAAACTACGGATTGTTGTTTTCACCACAACACTGAATACAGTCCATGCAGTTATGCTATCTGCTAGTCACCTCTGGTTTTTTAGCATTACCTTGATAAGCTGACAATCGGTTCTAAAAATAAATATGTTTAAAGTAATACTTTATTTTAGTTAAAGTGTACAATAATTCGGAAATATTAAAATAAACTTTTAATTTTTATAATTGTAGAAACTTACATAAGAAATTCAATAATATATAAGTTTTTAAATTCAAATTTAAAGTAAAATATTTAAAGGTCAATACATTTTGTTTCAATCAAATTAAAATTAAAAATTTATAATTATTGGAATTTGGAATAATTTTTATCTACAAAACTAGAATGCAATATAATATGAATGCACCTTGGTAAGTATAATAAATTTCTTGACATTTCTTGACAAATGCAATTTCACAATTCTTATTCCCTAAAATATTCGATTCAGATAAAGTTGCAAATACTTTTGTGCTATAGTTATTTTTAAAAATGAGAGTGAATTTTGAAAATGGTTATTTATAAAACTCACTTACTCTTCATTGAGTGAGTATGTCAAAAGCGCCAACATGTTTGAATTTAATGTTTGTTATCTTTTTTTTGTATTTTTCATTAAAAATCTAATTGACTAGACGTACTAACTTGCAAAAGGATTAAATTTTTATTTGTTATATTTACGTTAAAAAAAGTTTTTACGAAATTAAAATGAAAAAATTTTTAAAATGGCTAATGAACTTCCAACCATTAAAGAAGTAAACAATAATATTAAAAGTTGCGAGTCTTTTCTTCGGATTATCTATTCTCATGCAAAATAATGCAAAAAAAAAGCAAATCATAATTTAAAATAATGAATATATTGTGTATTATTATTAATTTTTTGGTTTAATTTTTAAATCTTTACGCAAGATAATTTCGGACGTATAATACATAAATAAAAATTACAACAAATTTACGTGAAAACAAATCGGAATCAATTGAATAGAAAATTATTTTCTAATTAAATTAATAATAATTCTTATTGAAATAAGAATTATTTCAATTATATTTTTTTAAAATTTTATTCTAACCCCTAACAGATTAAATTGCTTGCAATTAAATGCTTGTTATAAAATTAAATGCTAGGTGAATGTCATTGAAAATGCTGCGTTAGGATTTTTCAAATGGTATAAAGTGACATAATAAGCTTTATATATTATATATACATATATATATTATACTTATAATCAGAAGCATTAAAATTTCTATTTTTCTAACCTTTTTGGAAATTAAGGATGCTTTTTTTTATTTAAACCTTACCGACAATGATGGTTTTAACGATTTTTTAAAAGACTTTTGTTGAAATTTAATTTAAGCTTCAAATTCCAAAATTTGCCCTTTTCTTATGCAAAGTATCTTAATTAATAGAGATATTTATATTATTAAAAATAAATAGAAAAATATATATAAACATACAAATGTGTTAAAAACTTCAATTACCTGTAAAGATTTTATTGTATTCATCAGGGCAATTTTTTCGTCCGTTAACTTTGCAATATCATCCTTGGCTGCTTTTAAATCATTGTTAAGAATTTCAGTATCTTGACGACTTTTCTGCCTAAAAAAGAAATCAATTTATTTATGAAACATAAAATTATGTTAAAACAAAAAAATTTATGTTAAAAATAATTTTTTATTTTAATATTTACCTAACACTTTCAGAATGTTCTCTTGTCAATATTAATTCTTTTCTTAACATTTCATTGTCTAATTTTAACTGACGCATTACTAATTGCATAGACAATAGTTCAAGATCTTTTCCTCGATTTGTAGAGCTTTGATCTGCTCCTTTATATTAAATAAAATGCTATATTATAGATATGATTTAAAAACAAAATCAAAAAATAATTTTACCAATATTGTTAACTACATTTGGTTCAATTCTTAATAATCCACTACTATCCCGTGTTATGAAAAGCTTTGAAATTGCTAAATTAATAGGAACTGGACCTGGTGATGTAATATTAACTGGTGGCCTATCTTCAATTAAATTTAGCCTAACATTCTCTAAATTAATCTATAATTTTTTTTAAAAAAAGAAGACAGGAAAAATACATTAAATTTCAATCAGATTTCAATTCAACAGATTTCAATAAAATTCATTTTTAAAAAATAAGTCGAAAAATAAAAAATTACATTCAACGTCAGAGGAGGTGTAATAACTTCATCTTCCACCAGATCACCTAAGCCTGTAACAGTGCTCATTGAAAGATCCATTGTCAAATCTTTAACTTTAATATCTGCATGGCTAGTAAACCATCTGAATTAAAAAAAAACCAAATTAATAATGTAAATTAAAAAACAAACTTCTTACCTTTGAATAACTTTTTTATCTTTGATTTCTGTTATATTTTCCGGTGGCTCTAAAACTTCTTCCATTCGTAATTGAATCACAGGTGGAGCTTCTGGGTTATATGGTGCTAAATTCCAAGCTCGGCAACGTGCTCCAAATTTTGTCTTCGTTTATATCGTTTCACATTTTGAGAATTTTTCATTTTTTTTTATATGTTTTTTAAGCAAAATAAATAAATAAAATAAAATTGTAGAAATTCCAATATTTTACATAATATATAAAACATATATTTGTTAAAAATTAATATGTATTTATAATAAATATAAAAAAGAATTTTAATTAATAAAATCTGATAACAAAAAACAATCAAATAAATTTATAACAATTAAAAATGAAAATAAAATATATATATATATATATATATATATATATATATATATATATAAGATAAATGCTATGTATGTATATTTATATATATATATATATATATATATATACAATATATATATTTATATGTCTGCGATATTTTTACAATGCATCATAGCTATATGTTTGCTGCAATTTTTAATTGCTCATTAATGTTTGTCTCATATTACTCATATTGACCAAATAAGAAAAATTTCGGATTTTTATTCTACATTTTCAATATAATTATTGTTGATAATCGAAATCAAAGACAAGCTATCATGTTTTGTGAAAAATACCAAAGTTATATAAGCTCATAATTTATACATCACTTTCAAGATAAGAAAGAAGAAAAAGCAGTGCCAGAATATGTGGATAAAAAGTGACAAATTAAAATAGTTTCAAACAAAAAAAAATTATTTTACACATGCAAAACAAAACATTGAGATTTTTCAAAAAGATTTTGTATTTATGTAACATGTAAAATGTATTGTTCTAACATGTTTGCGTTCGGAATTAGTTAGCAGAATATCAACTGTTAGATTAAGGATTCCGAATTAGATAATTTATCTAAGCTAGTTAATTTTTTTGTTAAAGACAAAAATATCGGAAAGTTTCGAAACTATACAGAACTTAATTTTTTAATTATTTAACACTATTCTTAATTTAACGAGAACTTAAGATTTGTTTATAATAAATAACTAGTAATTACTTTGTGTCTCTTAAATTGATTTTCATTCCAGTATACAGTGTATTGTATGTATAATCTATAATATCAATATTAGGTATGAAACTTAATCTCCAAATTTTTTGATTTAGTAAAACATCTAAACATTGAAATGTTTCGCATTTGTATTGTTAATATTAAAAATTACTAGTAACTTGATAAATGACAAATTGAAGACCTATAAATATTATGTATATACATACGAGTATATCATACCTTTACCTGAATTATCTAATAAAGGAACCAATGAAAGATTTACACTTTCTTATAAAATATTAAATGTTACTATTATAATAGAAAAAATTTTACAAAAATTATTGGAATTTAAATAAATAATCGGAGTAAATAAAATCATTAATTAAATCGTGGAGGAGCTTATGCAATTAACATTTCAAAAGTGTTTGAAAAAAGTGAACAAAACTTAAAGACAATAAAATTTGAATTTTAATGTTTTTTAAATATTTTTTTTTAAATAAGTTTTATATAATATTTTATAGAATTTTATTGTTTTATAGTAAATGCGAATGATTGAAGAAAGCTCTAAACCTTTCAGGAAGCTGCTTTATTTCTATTAAAAAATTTTTATTTAATTCGAAAAAAAAATATACTATTGATAAAAATTAAAAAATTATTACATAAAACTGTACGCATGCTATCAATTTCAATCGCATCTAAATACTAGCGTTATGCAGCTTGTTTGCACCTGTTCTTAGGAATAAAATGTATAATTTCAATAAAATTTAAAAAAAAATTCGAAAAATCTTTTAACTGCATAATTTTGTATTGATGTTTAGTAGTATTTTATTTTTTCTTTTTAGAAAACAGCTTCTTTTCTTAAATATTTTCATATTCCGCTTTATATTGTCGCGCATTCGGATATGCATTTTTGCAATATGATTATGTTCGTATACAACGAGCTAAAGAAATTTATACCTTTGAAATATTTAAATTTAATGATTGATCTTTTAAGTATCTTAAAGTTCAAATTAAAATTTATTATAGTATATAGAAAGTTGTATAGAACTGATAAAACTCTTTCTTGCTAATTTTCTGTGAAAATTTGTAGGGTTTGCTAATATTTATTGAAAGGACTTTTAAGTTATTTTTTTTTAAATTTCTCTTTTCATTATTTTTATGATATGTATACACAAATAAAAATATAGTGTTTTAAAATAAAAAATTAAATCAAAATAAAATATTTTTTATAATTTTTAATAACAATAAAATCGTTCTGTATACATTTTCTAGTGATATATGGAAGACAATTTTCGTAGTTACACAATAGAGCTACTTTTTCTGAAAAGTGCTATTTTAAATTAAAAAAAGCAGTTCCTTACGTTATTACAAAAATTGTCTTCTGTGTATCTCTATAACCTATACACACAATGATAAAACTAAACAATTAAACAGAAATAGGTAAAATAAGGTTTAATTGAATTCATTTAAAATGGAATTAACATTAAATAATTTCAAAAGAAATTGCAAAAAATAAAAATGTTTAATTTTAGATCAATTTTCTGTATTACAGAACCATAATAAATTTACGTTTTTTAATTTATTTGAAAAAGAAAACAAATCGCCACAAAATACAAAATAAAAATCTTTAATTTGAATATCAACACGACAAACATATTAACATTAGCTCCTTTATACGTGAAGAATTAAATTTTAATAATTTTTTTTACCGATTAGCGATTTTTTGGTAATAATAGAACCTATTAACCATTGTCTTAATTTTTATTCATATTTACACATTTAAGAACATTTCAAAATGGTAGGTATTGTAAACCTATAATGCTTATTAATTTCTGCTTGAATTTATTAAATACTTTTTTTAAATTTTTCAAGATTTTTTGCTATTAAACTACAACCAAAATTTTAACATAATTATATACCTAACCGATATAGTTCTATTTAAGATATTATTGTAATGCAAAACTATTATTAACCTATAAAAATCAAGATTAAATTCTTAATTGAAATAAAAATTGAAGGTATTCGAAAAAAGAACATCTTCAAGTCTGAGAAAAAAAATTGGAAAACTTCCGATTTACCATTTTCCGCTTTATTTTTGAAACTTTAAAAGAACTTATTTAAAGAATTTATGCTAGAACTGACAACGTTCCATAAAAGTACCATAAAATTTAATAGTTGTGGAATCCAAACTTTGTTTTGCATAATAATCTAATTAATTTTTAAATAATTTTATTTACAATATTTTTATATACATAACGTAAATAACTTAGGTATTTTCAATTTAAATTTTTCGAAAATCATTTTAATTTTGAAATTTTATATAGAATTGTTTTTATGTAAATTATATAATTTTTGCATTCACGTTATGCGATCATATATTTTATAACTTTGTTAATATCTAAATTGATTATATATACATAATATGTAAGTACATAATATATACATGTATATATTTTGAAAAATTTATTAATAATCTGGTTTTTTATATTAAATTTCAAATAATTTTTTTTTTATTTTAGTTGAAAAGGTTACAAATGGCGCTCCTATCTGTTTATTATACTCCTTTACTGAACAAATATGTTTTAAGAATAATGTATAATTGCTGCTTAAAATATTTATTTACAATGTAAAACAATTAAAGTTTTACTATAGTAGATTCTAATTTACAACAGCGCTTAAATATCTTTCCATTAAAACCAAAGAAAAAAAAAAGTAAATAGAAAAAGTAGAAAACACAAAATAAATAAGAAATGTAAAAAATAATTTTAAAATTCTTTTAATTTCAATTTTTCAATAAAAATTATTAAAGGGAATTAAAATAACAATATGAAATTTAACTATTAAGCGTTTTTAATTAATAACGAAACAAGTGAAATTTTTCATAACTATGTATTTTTTATTTTTAATTTATTTTTCCATTTTATTTTTTTTGTTCAATTTTCAGTTCATCATTCAAAACTGTATTTAATATATAGAGCTATATTCAAACAGCCAAAAAATCGAAAAAAGAACGTAAACAGAAAATTTGTGTTCCACATTTTTTGCTTTTTTTCACTTTTAAGGGATAGTTTTTTTTGCTCAATTTTAAATGTTTTTTGATTTGGAAAAACTTTAACATGCAATTTTTAAACACATATATATAGTATATTATAATTTATTCATCTAAATTTTTAGGTCATAATCTTTATTTTCGAATTTTCAAGTCGATTAAAATATTAAAATACCAAAAAAAAATTTTTAATTAAGATTTTCATTGCAACTAAACAAAAGAAAAATAAAAACATTAATTAAATATTTAGTAGCTTTTAGCAAAAAATATATCAGCAGTTAATAGGTTGTTTTTCTCTTTAGAACTTTTGAAATTTAAAAAACCATATAAAAACTATTTTTTTTTTATTTAGAAAATACAAACAGAAAATTAAAAAACAAAAACAAATCGTTGATAATAATTAATAATTATATAATAGAAAAAAATAAAAATTTCAGCTTATTTATAAATAAAACGAAAAATATAATAACTACATTTCTTGAATAAATTTAAAAAAAAAAAATTATTTTCAAAAACAAGATTTTTAAGAATTTTTTTCTTTTCACACGTCGTCAATAACATCCACATTTAAATTTAAAATATTCATCAGACTTGGCGGTTAACATAACAGCAAAATTTAAAACTCTCATTTATTTTTTTTAATCAGTTTCATAAAAACCAACTTGACAAATTAACAACAATTAATATTTTGGTTTAACATTAATAGCACATTTTGTAATAGTAAAATTTTTTGTATAAATTTAAGCAATTTCGGAATATTTTTATATTTTTAAATATGTAGTTTTTCTATTCTGTATAGAAATTACTAAATTTACTTTTCAAAATAACTTGAGTATCTAAATACCGAATAATTAAAATAAATTGAATTTTATTACACTCTTATTTTAAATTATAAATATTATGTACAACGTTTCTTTATTGGGGATACACAAACAGAATCATAACAGAATGTTATTATTAATGGCACTAATGTAATTTATATATGTTTACAATTGACATACGTTAATGTTATAAAGCAATTAAAGAGTGTTATATACAAAATATGTTTTTGCTAATTAGCGAAAGCTAATATTTTTTTTATTTTAGTAAAAAATGAATATTATTTTATTTATATTCATTATTATGTAAAATGGTTTCAATTATGATTTCATGACTGCATCTTGCAAGTCCAAACAATCCCCAATTCGTAACTCAAACAGAGGATAAGAAAAAATTTTCAATTTAATTTTGTTTTGTTTAATTGTGAAAATAATTTTTTTTTTATAATTCAACAAAAAAAAAAACAAAAAAGAAATGTAAAATTAAAGTTAAAAAAATATCAACCAAAAATTAAGAAAATTAAAAAAACAAAAAAACTTTTTTTTAATCAATGGATTTAATTAAATAACAAATTTTTTATGTACCTTTGTTGATTGGTGAACAGTCTTTTTTTTATTGTTATAATTTAGTGTTATTTTTTAAATAATTATTTAATTATTTAGTTCAATATAATGCAATGCCATTTTTAACAGGATTTGTATAAAGTTGAAGTTTTTTTTATTTTTTTCATTTGTTTGTTGAATTTTATTTAAAAATTTTGAGTGTTTTTCGTTTTTTTTTTAATTGATGAATGTTTTTTTTTTTTATATAAATAAAGAGTATATATATTTATATATATTATGTATGCATATTTATATATATATAAATATATATATTTTATTCGAACAGGCACATCCCACAAGTAGCAGAATTAATATTTTTTTTAATGTTTTTTTTGTTTTGTTACAATTATTTGAGATATAAAATTTAATATTTTTTTGTTTCAAATTATCGATTAGAAAAAGAGAAGAAGAAGAGCATGCAAAAAAAGTATATATATAGCAACACATTAACATGATTTTTTTTATAAAATATGTTTAATATTTAAATATATAAAATGATAAATATAATAATACAAGATATATATAATATATATATATATATATATATATATATATATATATATATATATATATATATATATATATATATATATATATGTATATAATTCAATAATATAAAAATGTATAAAATAAATAAATACATGAGAATTTCGTATACATATTATGTACATAAGTACATTAAAATTTGTACATTAATGTATATAGGTATATTTGTATTATAATAATATATGTTATAATTATATCTAAAAAATATTTAGAGTTTATATATATACATATATATATATATATATATATATATATATATATATATATATATATATTTAGGCTTTGTTTTATTTATTAAAAAATAATTAATACAAAAGTTTGTCCTATATTACTTTATTATTATTTTAACTAATAAAATTTTGATAAAGTTTTTGTACATATTTATTGGCTTTATACTGAGAAACAGTATATTAAATATATTGTAAGAAATATTTTATTGCATATCCGCTATGATAAGTATGAAAACAATAGTATGAAAACTCTCTTATTTCACAATTTATTCCACACTTCAAAGTATCATTTCTCTTCATGTATTTCATACAACTGTATGTTGATTTTTTTTAAATTAAATAGGCTTAAATAAAATTACATGTCAGCAGATAGCCAAGTACATACTCATTAATAAGTATATTAATTCTGGCTTAAATCATGTATTTTGAATTCTTTGTTTGCCTTGATTATTGTGCTGCTAATTACAATAGAATTGTAACTTAAACTCTTACTGTTAAAAGACAAATAATACGTACATACTTAAAATATTATTATTTCTCACATTTATTCAAAATACGCTGTTATTACAGCATAATACAAGCTTTCATAAAATTATTAACGAAATAAAAAGTGAAAATAAGTTTAGAATTAAGTGTTTCTAAAGCTACATAAATAAATCTTATTGGTATTTTATGTAGTTGATATTTAAGAAATGATTTGCTTTTTCTGATATCTTTATTACATCTATTATACAAGTTTTGTATCAAAATTTCAAATATAGGACAAGTTTCTTCACAACATTTAAAAAAAAGGTGGACAAATAATTTCAATTAGTTTTTTTTCTACTATAAATAATTTGTAAAAAGAGGAGTATATTAATATTTTTGTATTAAAAAAAAATATTTCAACACTGTGGCACGAATTTTTAGGCGCTTTGCGTTATTCATACCTTACATATTTTGTCTTATTGTGATTAAAGTAGTGTTGCAATTAAAAAAACAATATTAAAAATATTGTATGTATATAAATATACAAAATGTCATTACGTAAAAACAAAATAAGAAAAATACAATTAGAAAAACTACTAAGATTCAAAATTGCTAAAGTTTCCCGTACTTGTAATAAGATTATTAAGATAATTCCGTGCAATGTTATATTTCGTACCACAGTTTGCACATAAGAATGTTTTACAATATGAACAAGTATTGAATTAAAGGCATTGTAGTTCAAGAATTTGATTTTTAAAAATTTTTTTTGTGAAATTTTTTTTTTTTCAATATTAAGAATTTAAAAAAAAATGATATGCTAAATTAATACGCATTTAATTTATATGAGTTAATATTCATTGTTTCATTATAAAAGCAAAATTAAATATTGCATCTTTGAAGTTTAAAAAAGCGTCTCCAAGTGTTAGTAATTTATACTTTTTTACTTTAGAACAACGATACTAAACTTTGTAAAACGGTGTATTTTACAAAGAGTTTGTCGAAATATGTTTCAGAACACTTTCTAAAATATAATCCTTCAATTCAACATTTCATATATACCACATATCACGCAGAAATTTTTTAAAAAAATTAATTAATTTGAAATATAAAACAAATTAAATTATTATAAAAAAGGTAAATTTTTATTATGAAAACACGACTTCCTTTTATATACAAAGAAATAAATTTAATTCAAATTAAGTTAAAAGAAAACTGAAATTTTCTCTTCGGCTTAAAAGCGGACAACAAGAATCGCTTTGTATTATCTCAAAAGTAAAAAAAATTGTTTCACAGTTTAAAAAGATCAAATTTATAGAAAAAAAGTGAAATAAAATCCAATTTAACACTTTTAAGAGCAGTCTACGAAAAGGGCAGATAAACAAAAAGTTGTTAAATCATTTACAAAAATTTGTTTTGATCGTCCAAATTTTTGTGACTTTTTAATTTACGAGTATGTTTTGCTTAAAAAATTTTTGCAGCGCATTTATAAAAAAAACGCTATTTCAAAAAAAAAAGGCAATTATTTCAAAATGAAAACTCTTAGCAATTTACCGAACTAATGATGGTTCAAAATCCAGTTGAAGTTTTTTTTTAGTAAAAAAAATATTTTTACGCTTCCTGCACTTATTGTAAATAGCTCTTATTATAAAGCAAAAATTATCAGAATCGAAAAAAAATATTAATCACATTCAAAGTTAATTTTTACAAATGTGTATACAGTCAACTCATTATTTACACAGCATCTATATGCCTTTTTGATTCAACACCCGGTTTTAGTAGAATGAATTTGAATTTTGTATGAATATTATTAAAATTAAACGATAGAAATGTAATAAAAAAGTTACTAATGCACGTACAATTAATTTCTTCATACCTACAGTGAGTCAAAAAAAGCTTTTATGCAAATATAAAAAGAGCTAGATGCAAAGCTAGATAACAAAAATCTGTATAAAAAAATTTTGATCAACTGTGTTTTCACAATTTTGATCAAGTCTTACTAATTTGTATTAAGCAAATTTATATTAATAAAATAAGAAAATTAAAAAAGAAGTAATGACTATTGAAAAATAATAATTTTAAATATTTTCTATATATCACTGTCTTTTGTACAAATTCCTGTGCAAAATATAGTTATTATTCAATCTTGCATTATTTTTTATAAGGAACCATAATTTGCCATAGGCATCTTATATTATATTACAGTTTTTTGTAGAACGATATTATGACAAACCAAACTACTGTGTAAAAATGAGTTAACTGTACTTAGAGTATATAATTATGAATAGCCAAAGAGAATAAAAAATACATGATTTAAAATTTGCTTTTTTATTTTATTTTATTGAAATATATGGGATTGAAATTCAACCGTTTCATATATGGTTGCATAAAACAAAAACCTTTATTATCCCAAAATTATATTTAAATTAAAATAAATACATATCTGATTTTCAAAACAAATAAAAAAAAATGTACCTGTAATTCATCCCAAGGTATTGCTCCACATTCGTCGCAACTTATTGCTGAAACTTGTAGTTTAAATGACGATTTATAACCTTCATTTTGGCGTATTAGTTCAACTGTTGTTAGCCTATTTTCACAAAATATTTTTCAGATAACAATACTATACAAAATCTTTAAAACGTATTACCTAAATGTCGCCATTGAAACCAGATCTCTCCTTCGCCAGCAACTTCCTTCGGACGGTTCAGATGGGGAGCTCATATTTGTTTTGTAGTTTGACTCTTCGTATACTTCACTAGCGATTTCAACAGGAGATGCTCTGACATTACTGTCATTTGTAAATGGGTTTAATCTGAAATTAATTATAATTACTCAAAATAATATATAAAATTACAAATACATGTATATTATTTTGGATTGTAGACAAATATTGAAAAGAATAACCTAAACATAACATCTATGCAGTCCGTTGTTTTATCGTCTCCCATAACAATTGCAAAATTCTCTGAATCAGAACTAACATCGCTGTATATTGAAAATGTATCGCTTATATCATCACTAATTACGCTACTTCCGGATTTTATTGCAGAATCAATTGATGTCATAAAATTACTAAATCCCCTTTTTACTTTCTTTTCAATTTCTCTTCTTATTGTTGATTCCGTTATCGAACCTTTTTTGTTTGTTGCAACAACACTACTGTTACTGTTACTACCTTTTGTAAACGATGCTGTAACAGGCGATTGAATTGACTGCGAAAATATTCCAGTATCATGGCGGGAGCTTTGACTAATTGTTGAAGAAGTTATCGCGGTTGCATTTTGTATTTGTACGTTATGTCTAAAAGAATAAATAAATAATTTTTAAGCTGAATAATGTATACATTTTTTTGTTTTGTTAATTAATTACCCCCTTGGATTTGGATTTGGTATATGTGTGCCATTACTATCAAAAGGTGGATCGTTCGTAACTGGAGACGGGGTGTCAACACTTCCAAATGGATTTGTACTTTTAACATTGTCAAATGATTGTTGCCACGTTGTATTTGTGACTAAATATTATTTTAAAAGAAGTGTTTTTAACATAAATATATTAATTCAATTTATTTTTAACATTAGTTAAAAAACTTTACTTTCAAATCTATAACTCTTAAAATGTCTATATATTCCTTATTTCATTAACGAATATCATAAGTGTAAATTAAATCAAATAAAATGAAAATTAGAAAACCAACTCATCACAATACAGTGCTCTTACTATTTCAATTTAACAAAATTTTAAAAAAACTTAAAAAATTAAAAAAAAACAAAAATTTAACATGAAAAAATTAAGTTCATATCAATATAAAACTAGTAGCACAAAAGTCAACCATTAATAATATTACTTTCATTTCAAATCGTGCAATAAAGCAAAAATTCTTAAAATAATATTAGAAAATAAGTAGGAAAAAAATAAAATGCAGAATTAAAATAACAAAACATTACATCTTATCAAAATAGACACTACTCGTAAACAGTAATTATATTGTTTAAGCATACTAAGACTAAAAGCAAATTAAATTTAACAAATTAAAATTAAAGAAAAACGTACTTATATGGAATTATTATGAACAATAAAATGATATTGTGAAAATACACTTCATAGTTGTTTTTGAAATCGAATGAAAATTATTGTTAAAATAAAACTACACAGTTTTACCTTGTTGTGTATTAATTTATATTCTGTTCATTAAAGGGTTGTGAAAGAGTTCTGCTTAAATTAAGCTAATAAAGTGCCAAAAAATATTTAAAATTTTTCTAAGTCATTAATGTTATATATAGATAAATCATCATATACATTATGTGTCAAATCTCTATCGATGCATTAAGGAACAAAACAGTTTTTTTAATAAGAATACGATGTGAAGTGGTTTTGTTTTCGAATAGAAAGAATTAAAGGCAAATAATATTTGCATTATGCATAGGCAAATTATAATTTTTGTTTGTACAGATTGGATCTATATCTTATTTCTACTTCCTGTCTATGAAATATTAAAAAAATCATACCCAATCGAAGATAATCACGAAATTATGTTTCTAAATATCAAAAATATTTCATATACTTATACAATATGATGTACATGTGCAATATTAGAAAATAAAATGATTAATTAGTAAATTTGTGTCCTTTTGACGTTATTTTAAACAAAGGTAAATTAAAAAAATACGAACAAAGCATTTCAACTAAAACTCTTACTATTCATGTGTAAATCATCACCCAAACTAGCTGAATCTGGCAGAACACTTTCTGCATCACCACCGCTTGATTCCTTACCCGGTGTTGGGGACGGCATTACCATCGTTATTTCAACTTGAGGCACAACACAACCAAATATTATTGATTTTTTGATATTTTGCTATTACAAACACAAGCAAATTTTAAAAATTAATGAATATGTATGAACATTATATTTTTTTACCTTTTTCAATATTCTTTCTGCGTCTATAGTCAAAAAAGTTGTTAGTTCCGTCATCTCTTCAGCTAAACGCATTAAAAATAATAATTGGTAATGATCAATTTGTATGCTAACTAAATTGGAAACATGTGCTATGGCATGCATATCAGCACATTCAGGAATTTTGTTATTGCTATATGAAGCATATGACTCTTGAATTTTTGAATCAAATTGTGAAAACTTTTGAGGATGAGTCATATTTTTTGACTGGGTTTGTGATTCAGGTAATATTAAAACATTACTATTTTCATAATCTAATTGTGTATTTATCACTGATTGAGCTGACCCTCGCCGTAATGGTATATGGTAATCACTAACAGTTCTCTTAATCTTAAAAAAGAAACGTCAAGCATAAATCCTTTTTCGCAATTTTTTAATAATAGTTTCTTACATTTTCTATATCTTGGCTATTAGATGAACCATGCACCCACAGCGTTATAGGAACTGCATCAACAAACGGAATTGCTTTGTGTGAACCCAATGATTTAGCACCCAAAAAGTCGATCCATACTGGATCGAATTTTATACACCAAACATCACGTGGCTCAGACCACACTACATACCTTGACAAACAGCTTAGTAAATCCCCAATATTCGTTTCAGTACCGCTGTGCTGTTCGTTACAATGCTCTTGTTGGGCAAACTTACTATTTGGTACATCAGTTGCGGCAACATGAGATAATATACGATCTGTCACAATACATAAATCACCATTTGCTGAAGGAAATCCACTACCAAACACCAGACTGCCTTCTTGTAGCGAATCTAAGGCTTGTGCCAAATCAGCTCGTGATGAACCTGTCTCTCTAATATTCGTAAGGACGAATCGAGAAACTTGTATTTGCATTATCTTTGGTCTATCACGTTGTGTCGGTGCATCTATTGCGGATTCTATTACTATTCTTGGCATTATAGCTTCTAGTTTAATATCCATATACATTAAATCTGGTTCATTTGCACTCTTTGCGATTGAATCTCCTGTTGATGTATTACTCATTCCAACACTTGCTTTTAAAAGACTCTCATGTAAATTTAAAGCAAACGAATTTAACCATAAAACGGAAGAGAGATCGAAATGAACTTGAATTGGATTAATGTAACAAAACATTTTGGACGGAGGTACTAATTAAAATAAACATATAAAATAATAATATAAATATATATACACTTATGTGAATACCAAACAAAATTACATGGAAAAATGAAATCTCCTGGATAATAAAAATATGTAAATTCAGCATGAACGAGCGACATCTCTGGTGGAAAGGAATACCGATCTTTGTCGCCTTATCGAGGTAATGAAAAAAAAAGAAAGAAAGAAATTAATTTAAAATAAGTTTAAGTCTCAAATATACTGGCAAAAAAAGGATACAATAACGTGTGAACAACACTTTGAAATTTAATTAGCTCTACTTTTTATTTTTAAAATAAAAACAATAAATAAAAAAAGCATAAAATGGTTTTAAGCAAAATAGAATATATGACCGTTACTTTGAAAACTGTTTAAAACATGTGAACCGTGTTATTTTTTTCATATAAATGTCCGCAGAAAATATTGTTATAGTCTTGTCCTATGCCAATAAAATTAATGTTCTAATACTAAGATCTAATATTCTAATAATAATAGTAACTTTGAAAACACAATTAATCAACAATGGATTTTATCAGTTTCTGTTTGAAGAATCGTTTAAAAATTTCAATAACAAGTAGTAAATGTAGATAAAACTTAATTTCAAAACTCTAAATTATACGTTTGTGTGTTAAATTAATAACTTAAATTTCAATAATCTTTTAATTTACTAGTATCAGAAAAGTTTATATCAAACTGAAAAAAATAAGTAAATATGTAGAATATCAATATAGAAAATATTTTACCAAAATAGTAACTTTTTTGCTTTTAGACTTGCTAATTATCCAAAATTAAAAATATTTGACTTTATTGAAATAAATTTTCTTTACCCGAAATACATATCATTCTGTTACTTTAACTTAGCATTTTTTTTAATCATTTTAAACCAAAGACAATATTAATACATATGTTTACACATACTCATACTCCTTATTCCTTGTCAACATGAAACAAAAATTAAGCATACATATACAAAAAAAATTGTAAATAGGTCATGCTTTCATTCTACATAAATTAAAATAAAAATTAAAGACTTGTAAAGAAAATTTGAAAAATAAAAAGAACTAGAAATGATTACATATTTGAAATATCTGAATTATGTAAAAATATGGAGTTTTTTCTATTTCGCGGAAAATCACCTGATTTAGGTTTCCTTTTTTGTTGAGCTTTTGCATTATAAAAAAAATAGGTTAAAGATAAAATTTTCTTAGTAGTACTTATAACTAAATATTATATTATTTGAAAAACAATAAATATTCCGAGTGCTTACGAAAATAAACTTTAATACCTGCAACAAATTCCTTTTGCATTTGTTTTTTCCCAGATGTTGTTACTCTATAAAGAACAAAATCTCCGATTCTCAGTATTACGCATGCACTCATTAATTTTGCTAAGTTATTAGAAACGGTACGATTAGTTGAGTCATTTTGAGCTCCACTGGCGGTACTGCCTGTTCTGCCCCGCAATGTTTTTGGTGTTGATTGCCCTGATTGTGGAACTGACGAAATATTGGGTGTGCAAATATTATTATCAGTACCAAATGGATGGACATTATGTGATATTATACTAGTTGGTGTTACAGGAACACTACGCTCTAAAGGAGCATGATTCAATGGACGATTCGGCTGACACAAGTTAAGTACAGATTCACGAAAAACATTCAAAGATTGTTCCAACCATAGTGCTGGTGGTATTGAAGCTTCCTTATATTTATGCCAACGTGAACGATCTGCTTTTGCTAAATGGTATGGATAATAATCTGTTTGAAAATCTTTGATTGATATAAGCAACGCCCCACCCTCCTTTAAGTCGGGATACATGGACCGACCATCGCCTTCATCATCGCACAAATGTAAATCAATATGTTTACTAAAAAAATGATAACTTGTTTCACGTATGTCAAACATATTGAAAATTTTTTGAGTTTGAGATTGATGACTTAAATCAACAGCAGGGCCTTGCTGCGATTGTGCTATTTGTGCTTGATATTCAGGTAAATTTTCCAATTTTTTTTGCGCTTTTGTTTTTTGAGTTGTTTGAGTAGTAGATTTTATTAAACCCGACAGGGAATCAACAAAATGTAATGCTGCTTTTAACTGAGAGTCGGTGAGTACCCATAATAAATCTTCCAAAATTAAAAGTAAACAAGATGCAAGTATACTACAATCCGATAAACGTTTTCGAATTGTAATACGGCACGTGGCATTATTAGTTAATAAACGTAACGGGGTTAAACCAGTATCTTGTGTAGAACTAGCTTCAATTCTAACAGTTTGCCATGATAATTCCTTAAATATCAATACAATTCCTTTTTGCACATCTTTAAGTCTTGTCAAACGCAAATCAGCGGTTGACCATTTTGGGGTTTTTGATTCTACTCTTATTCTTGCCACCTTAAAATTATTAAAATTTTAATTACACACACTTCTTTAGTTTTTAAAAATCTCTACCTCAATTGATGATGTAAAAGCAGGACTAGCAAATTTTACATTAACCGTATTGATTATTATCGTTATCCCATCAATGACTTTATGAATAAAACTGTATTTTCCTTGTGGCGTTTGTAGAGCTTGCATCCCACCGGATGCAGTTGGTGTGGTTGCATTAGAATTACTTCTTGTTCCTAGTTCACATGTTTCTATGGCAATTTTTACTTCGTCTAATACCTGCAATACAATTTAACGATTTAAAAATGTGACAAATTTATTATTTATGTATGTATGCATATACATATAAATATTCAAAAAATTAGCTTACTAAAGTTATTGGAACACTTTTCAATTTTGTCCAACTTATCCTAAAAGAAACGTGATTGCACCATGCTGAAGTTAAACGCAACCAAGATGGTAGTTCTAACAAATCGGTTAAAACAACTTCATCTAGTTCCAAATTCGATAAGTCACCTTCACCTCGAAAAGTGCTTAAATTTATTTTATCAGGTGACAAATTTTTAGTGTAACTAAAATAGTAATAAATAAGTAATAAAAAAAAAGTTGTTTCATGTTTTTTTTTTTCAAAAATACAATAAAAAAAACTATATTACATTCTATAACAGTTGGTTTAATACTTAAACCAAAACTGATCAAACTAATTAAAAAAATCTGAATACTATTGTTTTAAAAAGCTAAGACCAAAATTATAAAAAAAGAACAAGTGAATTAATAATATACCTAAAAATTTCTAAGATTTCGTGAGGTTTTCAACTCATTCAATTTTCGTTTCTTATTCTTAAATTTAATAAATCTGATACATTTTGTACAGTTTAAGAAAACCTGTACTGACTACAGAGCATAAAGTTCAATAATGCAACAATTAGTCACCACCACACCCTTATAATGCAACCTATATTTTGAAAGATATCAATATGAGATTTACTAAAATATGAAAGTGAGGACTTAAAACTTAAGGTCAATTCCCTTTTTAATACGTGTCTATTAAGACAATAGAAATATGATAATGTGTTAGCATAATCTGGACAAAAAACCATATAAATATAAAAAAACCAATACGAGAAGTATAAAATAAAATGTATTTAAATCGGAACTACATATTATACATTTTATACATGTTATATATGTACATACATATGTATATAGAACTATAAAATCAAAAAGAATTATATAAAAAAATTTTTTGAATATTTTTTTGTATTACTAAGTTAACGTATAATATTTTGTAGGGACATAATTATGTACATATTATTATAAGATGAAAACTCAGTTGGTGAAAATATATATAATATATATATATGTATGTACATGCTTAGGTACCTACCTACATTTTTTGAAATACAGCAGTATTATATGTAGATACTTTTAAAATTGAATTTCAAATAGATTCATTATACAATGGATTCCTCATTTCAGCAAAATTAAATTAAAATGGCAAAATCCAGTTTCTTTGTTTAAGGCAGGTAAGTACCTATGTACCCATTTACGTTACAAGGGCTGTTAAAAGTTAACATAAATTAATTTGCGCAATATATGTATACACAAATAATAAAGCCAAACATATATTGTTATATAGACAATATATGGATAATAATTTGATTATGTTAATAAAAATCTACTACACGTTATTTGAGCATTACTATACTATAGATAATGAATTAAACACTCTAAAATTTTTAATTGGTGCCAATTTAATATTTGAATACAATTATAAAAATATATTTGAATCACAAAATTTCTGAATTAATTATAATGTTTTTAAATGGAAATTTTTATGATCATTTCTTTTTAATTCTTGAAAAATCAATTTTTCAAAATGTACACCGTATACACAAAAGATTTTTCATGCAGCTATTACAAGTCTTTATTAAGTTAGCATATCTTATATTCACTTACCGTGATAAATGTTTCAGCAACTGATTTTTTATTATAGAAACCATTATCCTATCAGAATAATATAATAACACTATACAAATTAGTTTCAACAAATGTTTTTTAGTTTTTTTTTCTTCACGACATTTTTTGTTTTCAAAAGTTCGTAATATCAATATGCTATGCACAGAATTTTGTTTTTCAAATAATAGTGACGTTTTTCAAAAATTTGACGTTTTTAAAAATTCAAAAGCTTTGTTTACATGAAAAATCAAACTCATCTAATATAGATAGTTTCAGGTGACACCTGTAAGAAAATTTTATAAAATTAAATAGGCCGAATCCCTTATGCCAAAATAGGCTATAGGTGATGTCATTGAATGACATTGTTCATATGCATTTTCGTTGCAATAGCGCTGCGAAAAACAAATTTTAAATTTTTAACAAATTGCAAATTTTTTGCACAACTACGAAACTTATTGTGGAATTTCTAATAATTAAACAATTAGATAAAAAATACATATTGAAAAAAATTTTATTTAGGAAAAGCATACTCTAACGCATATGATAAAAATAACAGAACAAAATCAATTAATTCTCAACACAAACAATTTTTAATGGAAAAAATTCTCAAAGTTTTTCTAATTAGGTTCAAGAAATCGAATATAAAGGTGTTTCTTGAATAAATTTTATGACTCTAAGCTGTGCAGATATTTACCTTTCAAATTATAGAAAAACAACAAAATACGTAGGTTTGCAGCGAACTTTAAAGAGAAAAACTTACAAATAAAGCGCTTATCAAAATCAATTTTTTTAATATTTACTATAATATAATTTTATGAATATACAGCATAAACTTAGCAACATTATTATGACTTTTGTGGAATTGATACTATTTTTGAATTATGTAATTTAAAACAACAAAGAAGCTACGCTATACACGGTGCATACGAAAACATAAAAGTTATACTCAATTTTACAACAGATGGCGGGTCTAACTTATCTGCGTTAAAATTATTAAAAATGACAGCCAGAAATCAAAACAAAAACAGCTGCTAAAGCGAACATCATTGACCATGCCAAAAATCTATTGTCTGTTTGGAACTGTTGAATGATTTTTATTCTAATATTAAAATAGATATTCAAATTCAAAACTAGATAATTTAGTACCAACCAAACGTCAACTAGTATTTAATTATGATTCTCCTAATGAATAATTTAAAAAACCTGTAAGTTTTTACTGTGAAATTTGCATTTGAAAATATTTTTGAAAAACAATTAAAATTTTTAGAGCAGCAGGCTTACTTAGAAACAGTAAGCAATTTTCTACTTCCTCAATCTCACTAAAAGCAATGTCGTGCGTTCAAGTGCCTACAGAAGGCGAACCTCGAAAAATCAAATGGTACCCTTATCCAGTCCACGATTCCAGAAGATGTAATTTTCCAAGAGCTAAAGAAACGAAAAGAATAGTTACGCATGGATTTGAAAAAAGGATGTCAACTCCGAATGGTAGAGCGATACTAATGAGACGTATACTGAAAGGTCGTCATGTTTTATCACATTAATATATTAGGTATTTACATGTACCTACCCATATAGAAATGAATTTAAATAAATTATTTAAAAATTTGAAAAAAGAAAAATATATAATTATTTTCAAAATTCCTCAAAGAAAAATTTAAAGGTATTACTCACAATCTTCGGAGGAAATAGTAACAAATAGAAAAATATTTTTCTCAAATATAGGTTAGTATTTGAAGTTCACACAATATTTAAAAAAATGCAGTACAATAATATAATTATAATAGTATAGAAACTTATAACGCAATATGATACAATAATATAATATGTAATAGTATAAATATATAATTATGTATATAACAGTATAAATACAGAAATAAATACAGAACTGGGCATGTTAATTGTATATTCAATTGTGTAGTTAAGATTTAAACTGTAGTATATAGATAATCAAAATTGTAGGGTTATGAATTTAAACAATTATACATATTCAAATAATAATAAGATTTTTATTTTGATTGTAAAAGCGGTGCAGCGATCATGCTTTCTTAAAATAAACAGGATAAAAAAAATTAGCTGGAATTAGCAAAATCTACTGCCATTTTAAAATCTCTTTTACTGTTTACTGTTTTACGGTATTATAAATCGACAACATTGGTATGAAACACTCTTTCACTCAAATACTTTCGTTATGTCAAAAGTCAAAACAATTTTTATAAACATTAATTGAAGTATTGAGTGAATATTGAGTCAACCAAGTGAGAATTAAACATAGTAGAATTTGTTTTTAGTAACCATGAACAAAAACTTGCAGAAGATTCTAAATTTTAAATTCTCGCAAAAAAGGAACATTTTCTTCAATTATAATCTTAAAGTTAATGAGGCAAATGATAGTAAAAGCACAAAAGATGAGATTAATCATCACGCAAATTTAGCAACAGACTGGTGGAATAAACAAGGCCCAATGAAAGCCCTTCATGCTTTAAATGAATTAAGGGTACCATTTATACGTGATGGAATAGTGGCTAAAAATAATTTATATTTTAGAGAAAATAAAGGCAAAATTTTAGATGGTGTGAATATTCTTGACGTTGGATGTGGCGGGGGTATCTTGTCCGAAAGTTTAGCTAACCTTCACGCTAATGTTACTGGCATTGATTTAGGGGAAGATTTAATTACTGTTGCAAAAGAACACCTAAGGAGCCGCACCAAAAAGTATCAAAATTCATTAAAATATGAAGTAGAATCGATTGAAAAGCATGCTCAAAAAAATGAATCAAAATATGATGCTGTAATTTTATCAGAAGTGATCGAACACATCAATGATAAAGTTGAATTTATAAAGAACTGTGTTGAAACTTTAAGAGTCGGCGGTTCAATATTCATAACTACGCCTAACAAAACAATTTTATCCCGGTTGTTTGTAATTGAGTTTGCTGAAAAGTGTACAAATGTGGTCCCAAAAGGAACTCACACATATGAAAAATTTATCAGCCCATTAGACTTACAAAGAATATTAGATAGTTTTAATTGTAATACAATTATCGTCAATGGAATGTGTTATGACTTTCTTTCTAATAAATGGAAGTGGACTTCAAATTTAGAACTTTGCTACGCTTTACAAGCTGTCAAAATCCGGTAATATAATACATAACAGCTTTAAAGATTATGAATTAATGTAATAAAAAAGTTTAGTTTTGCGATATTTTATTGATCAGTACATAAAGTTTAAAAGTACATTAAAAACTTATGCCCAAAACAATTATATTAACTATTTTAATAGTAAATTCTTAAATAATATATTTTGTTTACATATAAATCAAAATTTCGTCGACTATATTGTTAGTTTTATTTATGTATGTTTAGTTGACCTATGTATGTATATTAAAAATGAAATTACTCTCGCATTGAAAATTTCATTTTTCTAATTTTTAATTTTCGTAGTTTCAAAGAAATTTTTATATCTTAAATTCTTGCAATATTTTGTTCATCTTCAACAAGATGATATTACACATAAAAATGAGCTTTGAAATATTTTTTTCTACTTTTAAATAAAGGCATTTTTTTACTTTGCAAATATATACACCAATCTTCAAATTTTTATGATGCCAATGATTTTTTATCTCACTTATAAGGAAATTTACCAGATTTTAATTTCTCGGAAATAAAATTTATTTTATACTCAATCATTCAATATAAATCTTACATTAATTTCGGAAAACCTGTTAAACAATAATTACTTGATGTGTATAAATTACTATTTCTTAGGTGTTGAATCTCAAAAACTTAGCACTTAACATACAAATACTTTCGCTTTTTTTAGTACGTACTTCAGTTTATGGTTTATTTTTTAATAAATACCTATACTATATCTTTTTTCTCGAATATTTCAAACAATACTATAAAATTTTGCAAACAAAAAATATAAAAATATATGCAATTGTAAAGAAAACGATATATAAAATTTTTTTTAACTAGTTTTATCACTTAAATCGCACAAATTTAGTTGTTTTTCACTTTGTCTTTTTTCACGTTTCTCTTTACGCCATTGCATTATACGCTCTTTTAATTCGGCATGCGGAACTAACATATCTTCCGTTAAAGGTTGACGGTTGAAAGGATCTGTGCTACTATTTAATAAATGTCGTACTATAATTGATCTATCCATTATTGCACCAGACGGTAAACACACCGGATCTAACATCAACGTATCCATTAATGGATCTTTAAACTCGTCAGGAGCATCTGCACATTCGTCTTCAGCTTGCTGATTAGCGACTATAATAGTTATCGGTATATTAAATGATGAATTACAATAATGTGAATAATTTTTTTTACCATAAATATCATGTGCTTTAGCTAATAAAGCTCGAAATTTCTCAACTTCAACTGTAGAACGAATACCTAAACGTTCAATTCGATTTGCTGCATCATCAAACAAATGTTTTTCAAAAGAACGCTCATCGGCTGCTAATGCCTGAGCGAATCTATCACAGTCAAGATGTAAATATATATCAAATATTTGACCCAATAATCGTCTCGGATCCCATCCATATTTAGCTGGATTACGTACTTTTAGATCGTTACATTTTGGACCACATAATTGTTGCAAATTAAAATTGAGCATAGAACTTAAACGATCGACTAACTCAGAACGCATAAAGGGTTCCTTAATATCATTCTAAAAAAATTACATTCTATAATAACGACAATTTCTTTGTGTAAGAAAAAACGTAGAGGAATGCTTACAGTTAAATAATGGAACATTTCTACAGTCTCTCTTGCTAACGTTAAATATGAACGACATTGTCTTTCATCTTGACTCAATTGGGACATTCGATTTTGTTGTTGCTCTGATGTTAATTTCGACCATTCTTTAGTATCCATCATTAGTACCTAAAAATTGATAATATCTCTTTTTTAATCAGATTACAATTCAATAAAACATAATTTTTTTTTGGTTCAGGAGCACTCATTGTTTAACAAAAACCAAAAACCTGTTTGTTCTAAATATATTCATTTTGTATATTATTGTATAAACACTTATAAAATAATACACAATATAAACTTATTAATAGAATGAAAAAACAAAAAACTGATTTTCAAAACCACGTGGGAGATGTGATGAAAAATATATAAACAATAAATACTATACAATATGTTTTTATTGCGAATCTATTTTTAAATTTTATCATCAGATGCTTTTTTAATAAAAAAGTTTTTAAATAATATAAAAGGTATTTTCATATAAAAAAACAAAGCTTCAAATAAATAAGTGCGTTTTCTTCATCACAAATACTAAAACAAAATAAAATAAAAATTTACACGAAATTCGAAGAAAAAAAAAATATCAAAAAGTAAATAAACTAAAAAGAAACGTATAACATAGTCTTAACACAAATCAAAAGAAGCGTAATACAGAATACAAAGAATAATTTGCATCATTTTTAAAATTCGCGTAAGAACATAAAAGAAATTTCAAAATGACATTGATAGTTCAAAATTGTTTCCGCTTTGTAGGTTCGTTTATAACAAAAAAAGGTCTCTTTATTACCTGCACCTGATGAATCCGTTTCAAATACTCTAAACATTCATCAAGCAAAAATGTTGTATCATTCATTAACATGTTGATAAATTTTACAAATTGTTTCCCGCTAGCAGACTCTGTTATCATGACTTGACGATGAATAGGATTTTCCCACATCCCTTTAAATAAATGACTTATATGATACCTAAAACAATGATAAAGAGTTTTTTCAAACGAGTAACGAAAAAATGAGAACTATAATTACCTTATAGTAAATTTATCATAAAATTCAGTACTTTGTCCAGTTGTTTCAATATCAACGTAAAATTTCATAAGAGAGCTTAATAAAACTGTTTGGGCCAATTCGTGATTTAAAATCTGAGTACGTACAAACAAATAACAAAATTGAAAATTGAAAAATTAAAAAAAAATTAACTTACTAATGAGCTTATCTGTGGAAGATTAACTGAAAACACAAATAGTACTTCCACTAATTTGGCAGTGACATATGGATTCTTAATACAATGTGGTGCACAAACACATGTCAATAGCCACGTAACAATTGAATGATCTATTGATGCTTTAATTGATGCGTCTGAACAATGTTGCATTGCAAATAATATGAATTCAGCAATGTCATCGACATACCTTAAATATATATTTTTATAAAAATAAGAATTTCAATCCGAAATGCGTAAAAATTAGTTTGGATTCATTAAAAATTTAGCACATTAAAACTAGTAATTTATACCATTCTGGCAGTGCTGAAAATACATCAGTCGGCTTTAATAATGTTGGATTAGTTTGTGTAATAAAAGGGCCTTCGATTGCACGACCTTCCATCTGATACAAAAGAAATTCACAAACGGTTGAAAAGAAGCTCATACACGATACAAGAAGTCTGGGATCAAGTAAGCATATTTCACTGCACATTTTAGATCTTCAATAACAAAACAAAAAATAAATTTTTAAATAAAATTACTTAAATAAATTTTAATAAAGGGAACTTACCTAGTTAATTTTTTTAATTGTTTCATCCATCTTTCTCTAAACTGGCGATTTCTATGAGCAAGCGGCTTATGCTCCCACTGGGATTTTGTGCGATCGATTTCGTCTATTAATCGTTGCAATTCTTTTATAGCTCTAATTTTTTGACGATAACGCTGTATAGCTGGCATTATTCCTAAGTGATGAGCTTGTAGTGTTAAAAACCAACACTGTGTTTGAAAATTTGGAGGTGCAGCTAAAAATTAATTAGGCTTTTATTAAATAATTTTATAAAACCGATTAGCTTTTAAATTTACTTTCAACTTTTTTAACAAATTCGTTATATTGACTGTCATCAAATCTTAATTTGGTATCTTTCTCTATATCAACCATAGATTCCCAGTGGAAAGGATACAATGGATCTACCCTCGGCAATTTAATTTTCACTGACAATTGCTGTAATACTCCCATTAAATTAAGCATAAATCCATCTCGTGCTAAGGATTTTTCATCGACATGAAATTGGATTCGCCTTGCGTTGCTTTTTAAAATTAATGAAATATACATCAACATACTATTTCTGCTTTCAATATTGACCAAAAACGAATGGAATACTGAATGCATAAACATACGTGTTGTAAACAATTGCTATAATAATGATATAATGTAAGTTTTATAGAATTCAAGATGGACATTTAAAAACTTGTAACGTGATTAAAAGTTACAATAATTGCCTCATTCTTAACATATATACATACTTACATGTCTTAATCGTCCCATCATTGGCGCCAATATAGCGTTTCTCCCATTAGCTTCAGCAAATTTCGTGTTTTCTTCAGCAAACACTGAAACCGATAAAAATGGACCTAAATAACTACATTTAACTATTTCACGCCCTGGTAACGTGGTGCACAATTTTGGATAAAAATTATATTGTTTTGATATTAAATCACATATTGGCCTTGTATTTTCTACTTTATAGGTTACTAGCTGAGATAATAATTGAATTTGATCTAACTGAAGGTTTGTAACAACGATATTACTTTGCATGCGAACAAATAAACCACGCAGAACTGAACCGAAAATATATTCAAAATTTGATTTATTTTTATATGAATCTGCAATTAGTTCTTCGAGAAATTGTATTGGAACAAGATTTTGATACATTAGTTCTAGTAAAGGTGACTGATCAATTTCACTTTTTAAGTTTTTTACTAATTTATCACATAATAATGATACTGTAAAAGCAATTATTTGTTTTCTAGTTGCTTCTATTGTGGCATGAATTTTTCGAATTTCTTCACTCTCTTTTTCAGCTGCATATTTACATAATTCCATACCCGCTCTTTTATGACATTTAAGCAGATATATGAGAGCGGACTTCTTTGCATAATTTAAAGGACCAAGCAAAGGTTTAGATCCGCAGCTATCATCAATATTCCCAGATGTATTTGATATGCTATTATTCGGTGCAGAGGTAGTGGGTTCATCCCTTTTTGAAGCGGGCAATGCTCCAGAATCTTCTGGTATATTGGAAGAACCTACTGATTCCGTCGGTTCGTCCCACTTTTTGATTTTCTTCTTAATTGCTGGGAAACCCAAATTATCTTCGTCTACACTTTCAGTTAAATCTCCATTCATGTACATATTCAATACCTCATAGAGCGCACTTGATACAATGTTATCAAAATTGTAACGGAATATATTTTGCCTTGTAATTTGAGATGTTTCCTCACACTTTATTTCTCCAACACATTGTTCATTCCAATTACAATTTAAAACAGATGATAAAACAATTTCAATACGTTCTTGTAAAGGTATTTCTGGCTGTAAATCAATTGGTGGTGTTGATATTTCATTTGTCTCCATGTTTTCAATTCCAGAATCGCGATCTATTGATTGTTCCTTATTATCTAATTTGTTGGTTATTTTAATCGATAAATTATTTTGTGAAGTAGATATAGACGACTCATCTGTATCCATTTTTTCATTTAGGGATGTACCAGAGGACGTCGTTGAAAGTGATTGAGATGGGCGTTTCGTTGGAGTTGAAGTTATCGTTAGTGATGAAGATGGAGGTGATGATAATGCAGTTGCTGCTGCCAATAAATTTTTAACTAAGCGAGATTCATTTGCAACATTTGTTGGCAAAGAACGGGAAATAGATGCATCTAAAATGACAAAATTTAATATTTTAACTTTTCCATTGCTTGAAATTTGTTGCAATAAGAAAAAGTTCAAATAATATACAAACTTAATTATAATAAACTCTGCGAAGACAGAATTTAAAAATAAATATGATTCACCTTCGGGATCATTAATAGTACTTGTATTATCTGTTGAAGAACTGCTACGAGCTAAGTTAGACGAAGTGTTACTCTCAATAATTCCCAAGGATCGCAACCTTCTGGCACGAATCTACATTATATTTTAATAGTTAATATTTTCTTCCTTTTTTTTTAATTATTTACCTCTTCTGGTGTCAGCTCACTCATTGTATTAATTTATTCTTATTATTATTATTGTCAAATTTATGGACAAATTTATTAAAAAAACTCCTTACTTATTATTATATTTAAAGAAATTTCAACTTTGACTAAATATTCTTCAGTACTAGGTTGATGACATTTATTAAATTTATAGTAACCTCTTTAGTGTACTTTAAACTTTGGTTTTTCTCTTGCAAAGAAAAACAAATAAAATTTTCGATGACCGTTTATTTTCCGAAATTTTTCTTCTTAATCTTTCTTACAACGTAAATAGCACGACTTTTCTTAAATAAAAATGCTTAATAGGTAAATTTTCTTTGTTCTTTTATATCTTGAGATACGTAGGCCAAAAATTGTATAAAAATTAATTGCAGCTTTTTAGAAAATGCGATTCACTACAATTTATTTATTTTCCAAAATAATTACGTGTTACTCAAGTAAACGAAATTAAATTAATAAAAGATTTTCCTTAAAATTTTACAAAAGTCGTCACTGTTTTCTTTCTTCTCTTTAGATATTTAAGATGATTAGATGATTTTTATTTCTGCTTTGTTATAAAAAGCCAACCCTCAAAAATCTCAATGTGATTTTTTAGAAATCTTAACACTTTAAATTTGAAAATACAATTAAAATTTTACTTTACACAAGTTATCAAATATATTTTCAATATACATTAATTTTTTTAATTTTTCTGTACAATTTTTATTTTTTTTCCTTAGAATTTCTAGACTAAACTGCTGTGTGCTGTGGGCGAACAATAAACTTGTTTCTTTAATTTTCTTTTCCTTGGCGCTTCACTCCACTTCACTTTTTTTTATACGTATTTTACGAAAGCATAGCAAAAGTCAAATATAAGCTTTCAAATTTTCAGTGACATCTCTTGCAATTTTTATGAAACTTTTGTATTGTGCCGTGTAAGTTCGATGGATGGTTTCAATGATGGGCCCTCAATTCCCACAAAATTTATGACTAATCCGTTTAATTTTAATGGGCTGAACGACATTTTTTGGGAAATGCCGTCAATCGTCATTTCTCACAAAAATATCATTCAGCCATTTAATTTTTATGGGCTGAATGAAATTTATGTGGAAAGTGACCGTCAATTGTCATTTCTCACAAAAATATCATTCAGTCATTTAATTTTAATGGACTGAAGGAAATTTTTATGGGAAGTGACGGACCATCATTTGAAATGATCGTCATTCTTAAAATTTTATAAAAATTATGCCACTTTGATTTTTCGTCTAATTTGCTACTATCAGAGACCTAAACCAATAGTTTTCACCGAAATGTAGCTCTTTTGATGTTGTACGTGACCATACATACGTCAGAAAGAGATAGACCTAAATTGAATTGAAAATATGTCATCTTTTCTGTCTAATTTATGGTGAAAAATTAAGATGTTCCATAGAGCGCGTAGTAAATTTAGTATCCAAATATTTTATTAATATAATTGTTAAAAAAAGAAGTTTTATTAAGATTTATGTGAATTTATTTTCTGAAAACAATACTTTCTTAAAATATAGAAATAACTTTAAGAAATATTTTGCAATTTTGGCGTAAATTGTGTAAAAAAATGTGAGGAAACAAAATGTTTTAACCACACTGAATTCTTGTATAGTGTAAAAAAAATATTTAAAATCATAGAAAAAAAGGGAAGAAGTAAAGATAAAAAAGCGCCAGTGAGTGAATAATCTTTTAGGGAGTTTATTTGATTAGTTGAGTAAAGTAAAGTTAGGTTTTTGGAAAGGTGAACTGAAAGTGACGTGAACGGGGTCAGTCCATAATAATGGCGTCTCCAAAACATAATAGTATTTCTTCAAATTGTGCAAAAAATTTAGATCCTGATAATAAAAAGAACTTATTACAAAATGAAAATAATATAAAACTAATTAAGAGTGGTGAAAATCACGGAATTAATGGAAACAATAATACGTTAAATGTAAAAGAAAAAAGCAAATATTTGACAGTCGAATCCAAAGGGGGTGAAGGTGATTCTATTGAAAAGAATAAATTAAAATGCAATTTTGTTGCCGGAATGAAAATTGAGTCTAGTAAAAATATAAAAAATGATTCAAATATTGATGTAAAATCGAAATCGCAAAACAATTTACCTAATGATATAACAGCATCAGCAACAACAAATGGTTTTCGTGATATAAAAGTAAATGGTGAATGCAATAACAAAGTGATTAAAGAGGCTGAAGTTAGTAGTGTAAAAATTAATAATAGCTCAACAATTTGCAGTGTAAAACAACAAGAAAGCAACAAACTAAAAGAACAAAGCAAAAGTTCTGCTTCAGCGAATTCTCTGGTGGTAAATAAAAATCATCATAAAGGTAATAATGAATCCAAAATGGAGGGTTCTAAAGCAATATTATCCTCTTCAAAAGACAAAGATTTGCTTAAAATAAAAGAAAAAGATTCCTTGAAACATAGTAGTAATAACAATACACCAATTAAGAAAGACAGCAAAGATAGCTCTGTAAAAGGTAAAATATTGATTTTTGTTTTATAGACATTGCCTTTTTACTTTATTAAAACTTCATTAACATCTACATGCAGATTACAGTATTCATTCAGAAAAATCATTTCCATATGCAACTTTGTTTTACAAAATATCTGTTCTATGCCACAAATATACGAATATAAATAAATACTTATTTTATTTTGCAGATGAAAGTGGGAGAAATCATAAGAAGAAAAAAAAAGAAAAAGATCGCGATAGAGATAGAGATAAAGATCGGGACAAAACAAAAGATAAAGAAAAATCTAAAGAAAAACATAGAGAACGAAAAGAACGAGATAAAGACAAAAGTGAAAAAAGTAAAGAAAAGGAAAAAGTTAAGGATCGTTTAGAAACTTCTGAAAAACATCGGCCGGAAAAATTGACAAAAGCTCGACCCGAAATTGACAGAAGTTCTAGGGAAGATAAAGAGGAGAAAAGGTCTGACAAAAGTAGTTTAGAAAAAGATAAATTAAGCAAGGAAAAGACTGAAAAATATCAGTGTGAAAAAGATCGTAGTCAAAAGGATGTAGATGAAAAAGCATATTCTAAAAAGGAACAAACTCAATTAGACAAGGAACCACGAAATGAAAAAGTTCGTATATCACAAAAATTATTTCTTTTCAGATAAAATAATTATTCTTTTTTTGTTTTTTTTTTAGAATGAAAATCAATTCACATCAGTTAACAAAGTCGTTACGAAAGACCAAGAAAGTTCAGCTAAAGTCTTGTCAACCTCAACAATAGCCTTAACAAGTGCATATTCAGTCGCAAAGAATATTTCAAATATCACAACTCAACCAATATCGTTATTTATTCCAAAAGAAAAATATTCAACAATATCAGAGACCGACACATCTAATAACAATGGTTATACATTAAATTCTGTGCCTTCAAATAAATCCTCATCCGTAGTTAGTAGTTCACAATTACCCGACAATTTATGTAAAACAGAATCAAAAGAACCAATATCAACTATTTCGAAAACTGAAACAAAAGAAATAAAAAATAATAACTCAATAAAAAGCGAACCAAAGGATTATAAAAGTGATATCGATATGCAAATATCTCCAAATATTTCCAAGGCTGACGGAGAACACAACACATCTTTAAATGTATCTTTTCAAGCGCCGGAAATTTCAACTACCAAGCTTGAAATAAAAAAAGAAATAAAAATTGAGCCTCCAGTACTCCCTTTACCAACAGTTAGGTTGGAAATTAAAGAACCACCAAGTACAATCATAGTGAAAAACGAATACAACGCTTCTCCAGCGAAAATAATTAAACTTGAGAAAACTCGTGAAGATGTAACACGCATTCTCAATTTTAATACCAACACAAAAGAGTCTTCTCATAATGAATCTTCAGACCCAAATCTGTTGCAAAATGAAACCGAAAACGCAGTGCCTAAATGTGATCTAAAACTTTTAAATTCCTCGCCAGTTTCTTCGAATCCTTCAGGCGGAAATAATAATAGCAATAACGGCTGCAATAGCAAGGAAAAATCTATTACCTCAAACAGTACATTAAGCCACCCTAAAACATCTGGTCAATTCAATGGTAACATATCAAACCAAAAAGATCCTCCAAGTGTTAGTAGCAAATCTACAAATCAATCAAACGTATTAAAAACAAATGAAGCTAAATCTGAAAATAATGCAAATTCAAGTAGTAATACTAGCAACAGCAGTAGCAAAGATAAAGATAAAGTTAAGAGGTCTGAATCATCTTCTTCAGGCCATCATCATCATCACCATCATTATCATTCTTCCCATCACAGTAGTTCATCATCATCATCATCGAAGAAACCAAGTAGTTCTAGTAATAATTCTGCAAGTGGTTCCAGTAGCTCTCATCATCACAAATCACATTCTTCTTCGTCCTCTTCACGACGGTCAAGTGGTAGTAGAGATTGTTCATCTTGCTACAAACGGTCAAAGGTACGTCGCGCAAGTATTGGTATCCAATGTCAGGGTTCAAAGTTAGATTTTCAAGAAGAAAAAGTACCTGTGAGTCATCGCGGAATTAATTGTGTACAAAATGGCTTAACGGATTTGAAATATGGTCGTTATTTTCACATTGAGCGACATCCGAATGGAGGTGCTTCAATAGTTCGACTTTATCAAGACGAAATTAATCATTTCAATGAAGAGCAAATGAACGAGCTTGTAGAAGAATTTTTTGAGGTTACTTTTGCTGAAGATGAAAATGGCTTTGCTCACCATGTGATGGGTATTGTACATGATGCTGCGTCGTATTTGCCAGATCTCCTAGAACATATGGCAGATAATTACTCAAATTTAACTGTTAAAGCAGCTGTATTAGGAAGAAATTCTGACATTGAAACTTGTACTATGGCTCAATATAACGACCAAGTAAAATGTTAAAATTGTTCTTATTATATACAAAATATTAATTACTGTCTATTGTTTTTAAGGTGGTAAAAAATTATTCTCATGGAACTTTTAGATATGGACCTCTTCATCAAATAAGTCTTGTTGGTAAAGTTCACGAAGAAGTTGGAGGTTATTTCCCAGATTTACTAGCGAGATTGGAAAAAAATCCTTTTTTAAAAAAAGTGTGCAATAATCGACTATATCAATTATTTAAATAATTAAAACGTAATATTTACCCTTTTCAGACAATGCCATGGGGAGAAAAATCAATTCTTCAAACAGATCCTAGAAATTCAAATGACGGTCCAATTTTGTGGATAAGAGCTGGAGAGCAGCTAGTTCCAACAGCTGAACTTAATAGCAAAACTCCACTTAAACGACAAAGGTATATTTTAAGAATATACTTTTTTACTATAAGAATAACATTAAATTCGTCTTATTACAGGACACGTATAAATGAGCTACGCAACCTGCAATATCTTCCACGTTTATCAGAAGCCAGAGAAACAATGATAGAGGACAGAACAAAAGCACATGCGGATCACGTTGGGCACGGTCATGAAAGGATGACTACTGCTGCAGTTGGTTAGTTTTTTAACATTTTTCTTTGTATATAATATTACTACCACTTATAAATTATAAATCTTACTTAATATTGACTTATATTTATAATTTAGGAGTTTTGAAGGCGGTTCATTGTTTGCATCCTTATACTCAAAATCGTGTCACTAAGGATGTTGTTGCGTTTTGTGCCCAAGATTTTAACTATTTGGTAGAAATGCTACAACTCGATTTACATGAGCCACCGATATCACAATGCGTGCAGTGGATAGAAGATGCGAAGTTAAATCAATTACGTCGCGAGGGTATAAGATATGCAAGAATACAATTATATGACAATGACATTTATTTTCTACCACGAAATATAATTCATCAGTTTAGAACAGTAACTGCAGTAACAAGTGTTGGTAAGTAAAGTTTTTAACTTTATTAAAAAAACTTGTCTTTTAACTATAAAGCTTACTTTTAGCTTGGCATATCCGTTTGCGACAATATTATCCAGGTCAAGAAGTTATCAATGAAAAAAATAATCCAATAGTTGCCGAAACACCAAATTACAAAGAAAAGCAAACAATTTTACCGCATTCTGTTACGGCTTCTGAAGATAAAAAAAGCACACCTACAAAAAGAACTCATGATGGAAAGCCTAAAAAAGACAAAAAAATAATATCGGATACAAGACGCTCTAGTGAAAGTGGTAATGAAGAAATATCCAAAGATGAGTACAAGAAAATTATGAAAGAGGAGGCTAAAATAGATATGAGGAAACTGGTCTTAGATCCAAAAATAACAAAATCTGCAACTAAAATTAAATGTTCATCACCACAAAAAGAATATTCCGATACACCTAAAAAATCTTCATCAAACAGAAATAGTAGCCCAAATCGTAAATTGAAGAATTCAAATGACAGCAAAACTGTTGTCATTATGACTAGTGGATCAATCACTGAAGAAGTAGCGAAAAGTCATAAAGTGCATAATATTTCTTTAAACTCAATTCAAAATAATAATGATCACAAAATTTCAGTTTCATTGAATACCGCAAACACACAAAATGAAACATCAATTTCAGGAAGTATAGTAGATTCTGAAAAATCTGATCAGAATTATTCTAAAGTACAAAATTCAAACGAAATTATGCATAATACTTTAATGTCTTTTAGTCAAAATTCTAAGAACTCTGCACAACAACCGCCTATATTTAATTTAAACACTCCAAAAAATGTAACAATAAGTGAACCTATGTTATTATCTCAAATAAGTACTCAAAATGATAGTACAACGGGAAAAGAAAATGTTCAATCATCTACTATGATTATTATAAATCCATGCTCTTATGAATCGCAATCACAAACTTGTAATGTGGAACCAATGAGTATAGATAATGAAAGCTCACCTCGCTCAAACACATTAATTAATACCGTTCTTAATAGTAATATAATAGAATTTAATAGTTCACCTCAACCGTCTGTTATTGTCGAAGAAATTGTTGTTGCAACTGAAGATGAAGGTAAATTAATTACATCGACATCAGAGCGCCAAGATGTTAATAACAGTATACAACAAAATGATATAGTAAGTTCCATAATAGCTGGTATGGAAACAACACCAGATAAAGCAAATAAAAATGATTCAACATCATATTAAATAACAAAATTCAAATGCAATGTATGTATTAATGATGTAAGTATAAAATATTTTGTTCATATATATATATATATTTATATTTATAAGCAAAAATTATATATATAAGCTATATATTATTGTGTATATATACTGAAAAAATATTTTTAATTATTAATTATATTTAGTATTTTATTTTAAATTAAAAAAGTATGTACTTTATATAATTTTAAAAATGCTTTCTTTAAAAAAAAAAAACAATATTTTTAATTAGTAATAAAAAATTGTATTTTATAAAGTTATAAATTTATATATGCGTAAACAAAATTATGCATGTTATGTATGTAAAAAAAGTAGGTCTAATTATTTATATTTGATTAATTTTAATTACACTTTTAAATTTGAAATCTTTAATGTTAAGGATCATATTTATAAAATATAACGAACAGAAATTGTTATGGTAGTAATAAGAACAACAATTATAAACCGGAGCTGGTTCTTCATAATTCCATATGTGTTTAAGAACTATACAAATATTATAGTGTTTGAGAACTACATAAACAGTTCTATATAAATTATAATATTTCTTATACAACTATAGGTATACATAAAATATTGAAAACAAATTGGTTCAACCCCAATTTTTGTTACCAAAATTCAATTTGAAGAGCCAGAATAACATACCTTAAAGATCATTTTAATAATTTATTTGGAATATATTCACATTAAATATGACTTGTGGAAATTATGGTTGGACCACTTTTACTCTTATAATCGCATATAAAATATTTATATTATTTGTATATTTTTAACAAAAAATAAGAAAGGTGTTGGACTGAAAAAAAATATTAATAATAAATACATTATTTAATTTGAATGTGAAGCAAAAAAAAAGAAAGGCACTAAAAAGTATAATATAAAGCATTAAAATGTTTTACCCATATCTTTACAAACTGCTATTTAAGTAATCAAATAAATTATAACTTGTTTACATTTTTTAATCATATTTGTTGCGTTTTGTTTTTAGACTTAATTTTTGTTTACATATTTTTTTTCCGAAGATACTATAAATCAATATTAATAATTATTAAAAAATTTATCTGTTTCAAATATATTATCATTTTCGTACATTCTTATAAAATTGGAAAAGAAAATTAATTTGTGAGGAAAAAATATGTTCTAAAACTCAATATATAAAAATTTCAACCTCTTAATTTTGGTTTGAAATTATTTCTATTTTTATAAGTTTAAATCTTATTTTACACTACTTTTAGTTAACTTTTTTAAACATTTTCAAAATATCAAACTTTTATATAAATCAGATATGCACTTCTATAGACATGATCATCTTAGTTAAGATGTCTAAAGTACATGGTAACAATTGTAATTATGTTTATGTAAGGACATAATCAGTACATTCTAAAAGTAGTAATTCTTAATTTAAGCAGAGAAAAAACGATAAAAATTATGTAATTTTCCAAAAAAAAAAAATATAAATCTTTAATTTTTTCAAAATTATATTAAAATTTAATTTTTATTATTCCTCCAACTTATTTGCTTAAGTATTATTACAAATTGTGTGTAATTTAAATATCCGATTTGAAGAACTCTTTTTCTTAGATTAAGTAAAATTTAAATTAAAATTTTCTGATTAAACCAAATTTATAAAAAGATGATCTCTTAAAAAATTATGAGCTGTCTCACTAAAGCAAAACTTGAAAATTTTATAGTAAAAACAAAAACTATTTGTTTTTTACTTCACGTACTAATATTAATATTGAACCAATGTTTTAAAAAATTAATACTTCTTAATTAATTTATTTAAAAAAAAAAAACATAGTTTTAAGTCTTTAAGAAATTAATAATAGCAAAAACAAATAAATTTAAAAAAAAAAAGTTTTTTTCTTCTACTTGTAATTTTATTATTTTTTTTTACTTAATTTTATTTTTCTTTGTAAATAAACTTTAAATATTTAGTTAATTTTTCTTTCTTTTTTATTTTCCACATATTATTCAAATTTGTTTTTTGTGAAAAAAATCATTATATTCTATTTTTTATATTGTGTAATAAATTAAATTGTTTTATAGTTATATATGTATGTATTTTTTACAAAAAAAATCAAAAGCATAAAAAATACATTTGTTAAAAATTGTGAATGACGATTTTTAAAAGCAAGTTTATTTTTTAACATAAACTATAATTTTAGTATCCTTGTTGATTTCATTTAAAATAGGGATTTTAAAAATAATTACTTAAAATAAAATTTGTTAAAAAGAAATTGTTTAGTCTTAATAAAATTAAATACAAAACACAAACAGAAAAAGAGAACACAAATTGCTAAACTGAAATTTATAAAAAGTTTATATTGTATAAAATGATTAGTTTAAATTATAAACAAAACCTTTTCGAATGGTGATGAAGGAAAATAAATTTTTGAATTAAAATTTTTTTTAAATTTGAGAAAAGTTTTGTTTTAAATATGGCAAAAATTATTGTTTCTTGTAAATATACATATGTACATATATGAAGAAATTTACGAGTTGTATACCATCCACGTTCAAAACAAGCAAAGTTTACGTTTTTTTTAAATAATTTATACTCAATAAAAATAAAATATGCTTTAAAATTAACTATTGAGTATCTTATGAAAAGCAAAATTTTTTTATGGAATTTCAAGATTTTCAAAAGCAAAAACAATTATTTAATATACAAAAATTGATTTTATGAAATATTAATTTCAAAAACTATTTAGACATTTCACATATCGTGTTAATTTTATTGTGTTAATTTTAATTAAATTTCAATGAAAATTTAATCTTAAGAAAAAGAAACGCAAAAGAGAAATAATGAATTATCAAAAATATTAGAAAATTTAAAGCAATTATTTTGTAAAACCTAAAATAATTAAATTTTCTATACATCTTAATACCTATGTTATTAAAAACAGTTTTGATTTACACAATATTATGTATAGAACCATATAAACTTTTATATGAGCTTATTGTTTGAAATTATTGATATTTCATGTTTATTCGTAATCATACAAGAAAATTATATCACATGGCTTTTAATTTAACTTTTTTTTTCGATTTTTAACTCTAAATTTTAATTGCTTCTTTTAATTTTTGCTATATTGTCTCTTTATTTTTGCCGTATTTTAGTATATGCACGTAACATAATTGTATCAAATTTAAATTATTTGTTGTATTTGAAATTTTATTCATTCACACTATAAGAAAAATATATCTAATTTTAAAATTAGTATGAAATTCAATATATTGTTTATAATTCCACCATTCACTAGACTTTAAATAAATCAATAAGCATTACTTGATTTACTATAATTAAATAAGGTTTTAATTTGTTGAGTAGCTTTTACATAACAGTTTTAAAAGTTTAAATTAAAAAATATTAAATTTTTGTTTTATTAATATTTTCGAAAGTGTTTCAAATAGAAGATTATTATTAGTAGTGTATTCGTACATAACGTTTAATAAAACATATTCGCAATATAATTTTTTCATTGTTTTTTATTGTTTACAACTGTTATGTGAAAAGTTAATTGGTATACTATACTTTAAAAAAATCCTGCTCCCCACTTAATTAAAAAACTGTATAGAACTAAATTTATAATTTAATAAATTAATTATAAAGAAAATTTAGATGTAAATTAAACATATAGAAGAAAAGCAAAATGAAATGGAAAAAAAGATGAAGTACACATTGTTTTTAATTAAAAGGCAAATCAATTGAAAATCAAATTAATGTAATATGATATCATTAAAAAAAAAAATAATAATTAATAATTATTTAAAACAAAATCAAATTATAAAGCATTAAAATAAGTTAAAAAATTATTAGCTATTAAAATAAAATGAAGCAGATCAAGAAAAGAATTCGTACATGTAAATATTGTTTTTGATCAAAAATTTAATTACATAGTATATAGAATACAGATATATGTTATTTAAAATAAAGTATATATTATAAAAGAATATATAAAAAAATAATAAAAAGAAAATTAAAAAAATCGCTCTTTTTTCGCTTTGCGTTTTATTACTTGGTAAAATTGAATAGTTTTAGAATACACGAATCTATTAAAATAATAATTGTATATGATGTTATTAAGCAGAAAATACTGTTCTAGAAGTTTCTTTTTCATTTTATAATGAAAATTTGAGACCACTGTAAAGAAACCCGACAAACGGACATTTAGAAAAACTTGGAGAACTTTCTTGTTCGAAAACATAGTTCTCCAAAAATGGTCAGTAAAAAAATTCTTGTACAAAAGCAGGATAAATTCACTATTTAGAATATATAAGATCCACAAAACAGTACGTGCTTTATTTTTAACTAGTTAAACATGTAAATGTAAATGGTTATAAAAATTCAAAATTAAAGGAATTTATATAATTTGTTAAATATTTTTTATATTAAATTTCCAGAGTACCATCATAAATTAACGAATTTTATTTTTTATATGAAAGAGGAAAAAAGAACAATTATATATTCAACAAAATTTCAGCGAAATCATAAGCCGAACACAAACATTTAGGGAAACAGCTAAATTAAAATTATCGGAAATTCCACTCAAAATCCCAAAAAATAAATGTTATCTGAAAGACTAGTCAACGCGTACATTACCTAAATTTATAATTCGTTTTGCCATATCATATTGAAAATAAATAACATTTCTACAATTAACACATATTCGTATTGTTCATACTATTTAATTTCAACAAATTATCTGTATAGATCCAGAATTTTCAACAAAAATAATAAATAAGTACATAATTGATTAGATTTTGCTTTAATTTTTATTCTTTACCCAATATTACTATAAAAAAATATACAATATTTTTTACTATAATGTTATACAATAACTCCATAAAAAAATAAAAAATAAAGTTTAATACAATAAGTCGATTTAAAATTATCAATATATTAATATACAAATATAGATCAGATCTAACGAACCCATTAAAGATAACAATTATTACATTTTTTTTTTTAAAAATAGTATTATATACTCTTTGTATTCATAAAAAAAAATAATACCACAACACTGCATTCTGATTATAAAAATACATTTTGCATTATAATATTTATACATAAAAACAAATAAAAAATATTTGGAGATAAAATAAAATATCGAATAATTAACTATGGTAAGTAAAATTTCTGGATAAAATCAAATTTTCAAAAAATGAATGTAAAATGAACTGTTAAGACGAAAAACCAAAAATTATATTGCACTCAACCTTTAGAATTGGAAATTACTTTAATATTTGTGAGAAATATTTTATGTTACTAACATTATAAGATGTTAAAAATTGGCGGTAAATGTTAAAATAACACAAAATATTAATCAGATATATTATTTTTCATTTTCAAAAACCTTAGGTTTTTTATTTACATTCCATTATTTTTTCAACAAAATTATATTTTGTTAAACCTTTCCAAAATCTCTTCAAATCTTCTGAAATATTTTTATTAAAAATAAGGCACTTGATGTTATGGCCTTCAAGATGTTAAATTTTTTTTATATAAGAACAAACCATTACCAATATTTTTTTTATTTGAAATTTTTGTTGTATTATTTATAAAAAAAAAAAATAATAATAACTTTAGAAACCCATACAAATATAAAAAATTACAGAAGAATTATTTAAATTTTTTTACTTTAGATAATAATAAAATCAGGAATCATGACGCACATAAATAATGTGATTTTCGATTTTATATATATTGCATATCATACTGATCATTAAATTTATTATAAATGTTTTGTAGATTTAAAAATATAAAAAAGAATATAATGAGTTTATTGACTTTCGATCATTTTTAAAACTACGTGTCTATTTGCTAATTATTGTACATAATCCCAGTCCTAGGTTACCTATCCCAGTCTTATTTTTTTTTCTTTTTCTTTTTTTTTTGATAAAAATGCTATTTAATTAATACAGAGACAAAAAACAATATATTAATTTCAATTGTGATGTATTGAAGTTTGATTTGAATATGATTATTGGATTCAATAATAATAACACTTATAATTACTTAATATTAAAAACCTTTTATATCTTCAAATAATTAAATTTTAGGCATGCAAATTTTCAGGTTTATATTCATAAAAAGCTTAATGTTAAGATACACTGTAGGCATTTACTAAAATGATATAAGCCGCAAGCTACTTAATTCTTAAATTGTATTGTAAAAACAAAAATATATCAAACTTAATTTTCTAAATTATTTTTTTTTTTTTTCAAAATATCATTTAATATTATTCTGTAATGCAAATGTACGATACACGTAATTATACGAAATAATACGAAACTAAAAAAATATATCTTGGTTCTCTTAATTCTACTTGTTACCCGATCTAAATCTAAATATTTATTTTTTTTTTCTTAATTTTTGTTAAATTTGATAAAATCAATTTTAGTCAATTATAGCTGATGTACTTACATATATTAAATTTTTTTTTTATTTTTTGGGTATTATTTTGGTAAAACTAATTTCAAATCAAAAAATAAAAATGCATAAAAATGATATCAATAAAGTACTATAAAAGAAACTTTAGAAAGATTTGAAGAGATATCGATTCGTTTTTCTAACTTCATATGTACATATATAAAATTTATCTGCAGATTAATAAAACTTATTGAAAAAGGAAAGATAAGAAACTATGTATTTACAAGTATGTATTTTATCTCCAATTTGTTTGTGATGTTCTAAGTGTTAAACTTATATTATTTTTTAAAATTTAAAATCTATGCTTATAACTTTGATCTTAATTCATCAATTCTGTGTTGTGCTGTTCTTTGCAAATCTAACAATTTCATAGCCAATCCCATGTTTCCTTGAATTTTAACTTTGCCTTGGAAGAATGCTTTTTGTGGAGGCAGTTTACCAGTTATAAGCTCAGCTACATCTTCATCATTTATAATAAAGGTGATATCACATTTATCTTTTCCGTTATATATAATCTTTCCTTTGCCTTCTTTTGCGTTTATTACCCAATATCCAACTTTTCCATCTGGACCATTTGTGACCCTAAAACCATAAACTGCGCGAACTTTCTCAATTAAATTTTCTTTATCTTCTTGCATTGCTTGTTCCAATAATTGCAATAATGGTGTAACCTGAAATCCTTCAGGATTATCAGCAATTGCCTCTGTGGCAGCAGTTAAATTCATTTTTACTCGATTCTTCGCATTGGGAAAACCCAAACGATATAACGCTACAACAACAGCACCTCCTAGACCCAAGTTATGTTGAAGAGCTAGTTTACAATTTGGTACCTGACGTTTATCTGCTTCTCCTCGAAGTTGCCATACTAATTCAGAACATTGTGCTAAACCAGTTGCACCTAAAGGATGTCCTTTGGATATCAAACCACCACTTGGGTTAATTACATATTTTCCACCATAGGTGTTGTCATTTCGGTCAATCATTTCTCCAGCTTTCCCTGGTTCACATAGACCTAATGCTTCGTATGTTATTAATTCGTTAGCCGAAAAACAATCATGCAACTCAACCACATTTACATCTTGCGGTTTATAATTTGCTTTAGCAAAAAGTTTCTCAGCAGCAAGCTTCGTCATATCATAACCCGCAATTTTCATTAAGCTTTGCCCCTTAAATATGGAATTGTATCAAACAAATTTTACTTCTAATAATATTATTTTACCTTTAATGTTGACTCAGGGTCAGTTGCCATTTCCATTCCAACAATTTCAACAGCTTGAGCTTCTAAACCATGACGTCTAACAAAATCCTCTGATGCTAAAATACAAGCTGCTGAACCATCACTTGTTGGGCAACATTGCAACTTGGTTATTACTCCATGAATTTTTGGTGATTTCATTATTTGTTCCAAACTATATTCATCTTGAAATTGGGAATAGCTAAAAATTTAATAAAATAATAGATTTCATTACAAAAACAATGTGTATATTATTATTCATTAATTACGGATTATTAACTGAATGCTTGTGATTTTTGTAAGCAATTTTAGCAAAATGTTCCGGTTTTGTGCCGTATTTTCTCATATGTTCAAGACCAGCGTTGCTAAAGAATTGACACGCCATTGGAGATCCTTCAATATCAGCCATTGTTGACATGACTTCAACATGTTTCTCCATTGGGTTAGCACGATCAAAGTACTAAAATTTGCATTTTATATTTTCATTATTTCGTGAACTTAATATTTTTCATTTTTATTTATCTACCTTTCCAGATAAGGAACCTCTTTCCATTTTTTCAAATCCTAATGCTAAAACACAATCATTATTACCAGTCTCAATTAATTGTTTCGCTAAATATAATGCACTTGATCCGGTCGAGCAATTATTATTAACATTATAAATCGGTATTCCTGTCATACCAACTTCATACAAAGCTCTTTGTCCACTAGTTGAATCACCATAAACATATCCAACACAAGCTTGTTTTATTTCAGAGTAATCAATTTTCGCATCTTTGAGAGCTTTTGTAACAGCTTCTTTAGCCATATCTGGATAACAAACATCTTGACGGCGACCAGGCTTCTCAAACTAATATTAAGATGAATAAATTTATATTATATTTTTATTCTTAATAAAAAGAATAAATCGAGATCTAATATTTTATATATATTTATTACAATTTAACCACACAAGTGTGTGTAATTAATATAAACTGATTCTCAATTTTTCAATACAAATTTAGATAACAAAATTTTTTGATAAAACAAGCTCAAAAACAATGACAATTCAAAATTTTGCAGATAAAAAGTGCGAAATAAATTTGTATAATTTAACGTAATCATATATTATTAAAGATTAATATTACAAAGTTAAAAATGTCTGATTAATTTTATTGAGCTAAATTAGTTCTATTTTAAATAACTTTAGCTTTGAAGTGAGTAGGTACATGAAAATTATATTACTGAAAGAGTTTCTGATAATTCCGATTACAAACGTTTATAAATTTCCTGAATTATCAGATGGCTTTGTATTCTAGAAATGCATAATTTATGTTGCATTGAAGGGAGATAAGGCATATTTATCTTTAAGAATTTCTGGAAAATCTGTAAGAATGAAAATATCGAATAATGGTACCTGGCACCATAAAATATGTAAACGGATACACTCGATTTTTCTTCACAAAGACATTTGAATAGGCACAGGTGCCTATTTAATTTAAGCTTTGAACGACAATTCAAATAACTTACATATAAAACTATGTAAGAAATAATATAAAATACTTTCTTAAACAATAACTAAACTAGTTCCTATTTATAATTAATCTTATGTTTGTACGTATATTATTTGCATAACTTTTATTTTGATTACCCGTGTTGTAAATTTTAAATTATACATATAGTTAATTCTATACAATAGTACATACATATTATTTTCTGTGACTTAACTACAATTAATCAAGTCATAAAATTTATAAACCAGTTTATGATTAAAGTAAATGCATATAATAAATGTTTGTACATATACATATCTATTTTATATATGTAAGTACATAAGTATAGTATATATTTTTACAAGTACATATATTTGTTAATTAGTCAAAGTTTTTATGAACTTTTCATTTTCCACTCGACAAGATAAGCCTAAAAATAGGATTTAATCAAAAATTCATTGTTACTTATTTTTAACTACATATAAACTAAATATTATAATTTTTTTTATGTTTTACAAATTTTATTACGGAATATTCAAGAGTGGAGACGTAAAACTGAAATTGTTCTATATAGATAATTAAAATTTTTAAATATTTTTAAATTCAATGATAATTTCGTTCTACTAATTTTAAAGATTAATAATTCTATTTCATAATTTTTAATTTATTATTGCAAAGAATAATCAAAATATTGAATAATTTAAATAATTATACTATAAAATATTCCAACTTCGTAGACCGAAAAATCTTAATACTTAAAAAATATTTAGATTTTTTTATATTTACCTTGGTCATTCCAACTCCAATAACATAAACCCGTATTTTGGCCATTTTCCTCTGAATTATTTTTATTATAGAACTTAAAAAGCAAGTACTAAAAAACTGAATTTAAAAAATTTATGACTGGACAAGAAAAAAAATATGACTACTTTTTATAACTAGTAAACCAACACCAGCAAATCACAAAAAAATTTTTAAAATTTATTCCTAATGTCAAAATAGAAGATAACAAAAATAAATGGGGTAAGCAACTAATGTGACAACATTTCCAAAATTCAAACAGTACTTCTCCTATTATTCAATAGATGGGTGTAAAATTAGTTCTAAAAAAAGAATATATAAAAATTAATTTAAAATATTCTTTTAATATATTGCAATTCGAAAATCGAAAATTCAAGCACAAAGCATGTATAATAATTTAATTTATACCTTATTTCTACCATTTCAATTTTTCTATTCAGTTGTAAATAACGAAATATTAAGAATTTTGGTAGGTGTTTATTGGAGCCGCATACAGTTCGTCCGGATGCGGCACAAGCAAAATGCACAAAAATGTACAATTTGCATTGGAAAAATACCTCACGGCACTAATGTGCACATTTCAAGAGTAACGACCTCTTTCAAAAATGAGGCCATTTTCATACGAAAAATAAAACAACTCTAATAAACTTTTAACAAAATAAGTCCTTAATATCTAACTCCTCTCACTTTCCCCCCTTACTTTTTCTTATGTTTTATTTGGATTATTTATTTTTTTATTCCATTTTCTAATTTAATAACAAGAAAGGAGAAAACTGTATGCGACTCTTAAAAATATAGGACAAAATTAAAAATTCACGTATTTCAAAATTCTAAAATATGCAAATTTATTATTATAAAAAAATCAAAATCACCTTACTTTTCTTATACAGTACAATGTTAGTGGAACACTACATCTATTGTCCATAGAATATTGAAATTTTAAACTTGTTTGCTACAATTTTGATTTTATCAACTGCATAATCTTTGGTTGCGCTCTTCTCTGCAAATCTAATAGCCTCGCTGCTAATCCCATATTTCCTTGAATTTTTACTTTTCCTTGAAAGAAAGCTTTCTGCGGCGGTAGCTTACTAGTAATTAAATCTTTTACATCTACATCATTAATAACAATTGTTACATCACATTTTTCTTTCCCGTTATATGTAATTTTTCCTTTGCCTTCTTTGGCATTTATTACCCATAAACCAATCTTTCCATCAGGTCCATTTGTCACTTTAAAACCATAAACTCCACGGACTCTTTCAATTAGATTTTCTTCATCTTCCAGCATAGCTTGCTCTAATATTTTAATTAGTGGTGTAGCTAAAAAACCCTCAGGATTTTCTGCTATTTTTGTTTTTGCAGCAGTTAAATTTATTTTTACGCTATTCTTCGCATTGGGAAAACCCAAACGATATAACGCTACAACAACGGCACCTCCTAGACCCAAGTTATGTTGAAGAGCTAGTTTACAATTTGGTACCTGACGTTTATCTGCTTCTCCTCGAAGTTGCCATACTAATTCAGAACATTGTGCTAAACCAGTTGCACCTAATGGATGTCCTTTGGATATCAAACCACCACTTGGGTTAATTACATATTTTCCACCATAGGTGTTGTCATTTCGGTCAATCATTTCTCCAGCTTTCCCTGGTTCACATAGACCTAATGCTTCGTATGTTATTAATTCGTTAGCCGAAAAACAATCATGCAACTCAACCACATTTACATCTTGCGGTTTATAATTTGCTTTAGCAAAAAGTTTCTCAGCAGCAAGCTTCGTCATATCATAACCCGCAATTTTCATTAAGCTTTGCCCCTTAAATATGGAATTGTATCAAACAAATTTTACTTCTAATAATATTATTTTACCTTTAATGTTGACTCAGGGTCAGTTGCCATTTCCATTCCAACAATTTCAACAGCTTGAGCTTCTAAACCATGACGTCTAACAAAATCCTCTGATGCTAAAATACAAGCTGCTGAACCATCACTTGTTGGGCAACATTGCAACTTGGTTATTACTCCATGAATTTTTGGTGATTTCATTATTTGTTCCAAACTATATTCATCTTGAAATTGGGAATAGCTAAAAATTTAATAAAATAATAGATTTCATTACAAAAACAATGTGTATATTATTATTCATTAATTACGGATTATTAACTGAATGCTTGTGATTTTTGTAAGCAATTTTAGCAAAATGTTCCGGTTTTGTGCCGTATTTTCTCATATGTTCAAGACCAGCGTTGCTAAAGAATTGACACGCCATTGGAGATCCTTCAATATCAGCCATTGTTGACATGACTTCAACATGTTTCTCCATTGGGTTAGCACGATCAAAGTACTAAAATTTGCATTTTATATTTTCATTATTTCGTGAACTTAATATTTTTCATTTTTATTTATCTACCTTTCCAGATAAGGAACCTCTTTCCATTTTTTCAAATCCTAATGCTAAAACACAATCATTATTACCAGTCTCAATTAATTGTTTCGCTAAATATAATGCACTTGATCCGGTCGAGCAATTATTATTAACATTATAAATCGGTATTCCTGTCATACCAACTTCATACAAAGCTCTTTGTCCACTAGTTGAATCACCATAAACATATCCAACACAAGCTTGTTTTATTTCAGAGTAATCAATTTTCACATCTTTGAGAGCTTTTGTAACAGCTTCTTTAGCCATATCTGGATAACAAACATCTTGCCGACGACCAGGCTTTTCAAACTGAAATAATAAGTAATTTTTTTTTGACGGCTTTTAAATAAAGCTTTGAAATTTAATATTTATTAAATAACTAAAGTTATATAATAAATATTCAAAACAGAAGGCAACCCAAAAAAACGATGAGTTATTTTTTTATTTTTAAATAAGATAGAGAACCTTATCTTGTTTTCCCGTTGTTTAGAATGATTTGCAAATTTTTACATAAGAAATTAATTTATTTTCGTCTTTAATATTTTTTATGCGCATATCTGCATACATTCAAATGAAAAGGATGATATTTCAAATCACCGCTGAAGATTTTGTGTATTAAAAGAGTTTTCACTTAAAAAAAACAAGTGTAAAATTTCGCAAAAATGACGACTCAGCATTTTAATATTTTTTCAAAATTGTGCTAATTACATAAAAACGAGAATTTTTTAGAATATATTGCAATACTTTCGAATTTTCTTAAAAATTAAAACACTGCACATTGTAATTTTAATTAACAAATTCCTAGTCATAAAAAAAAAAAATTAATATTAAAATACTAAAAATTTAATTACCGAGTTTACTGCAAAGCTTGTGCAGATATCTAAAGTTCATAAATGCTTACACATCTAAAATGTAAAATAAAATTCACATCTAAAATTTGTATTTTTATATTTTTTGCTTACGGGTTTTAAGTAAATTAAACAATAAAATGTTAAATTTAGCTCATTTTGCAATTTTTGTTCAAAAAATAAGTTCATCCGATGTGACCAACTTATACATACATATGTATGTATATGTGCGACCGTTTTCGTTATTTCAGTCGGAGAATTTTATTTAATGATTTCATTAGATATGATTCCAACTAAAAAAACGATTCGAATGGACAATGCACTTTCCAAGCCCTGACAAACAAAGTTTTTACATGGTTCCAATAACCACAGTTAAAACATAAAATTTCAAAGAAATCGGTTATTTCCATTACAAAATAAAGAGATACGTTATGCACCTATACGGAATCAAAGTGATTTTATACAGATCTGACTTTAACCAAATGTTATTAATTCATGAGATTCCCCAGTTATTAATTCATCAGATTCTATACAAAATTTACATTATTACAAACATGCAAAAAGTGTATGCTTATCTATGAAAAAGCCTATACTTACCTTAGTCATACCAACACCTATAACGTAAACCTTTATTTTTGCCATTTTTGATTTATAATTTTACGTTATATTAAAAAAATATTTCTTTCATATATTAAAATCAACTTATTTTCCACAATTTACAATTTATACTGGTACGAAAATTTTTTAAATATTGTTTGTTTTGTTTATGAAAAAGAACAACAGTTATGTTTACAAAAACAAATAAAAAGTAAAAGTAAAATAAAATTTAATGACATTATGTTGGATATCCGTTATACATTGCTGTCAATTTTTTTTTTTGAATTTTTCTTTCTAATTGAATTATTAAAGACACAAACCTTATCAAAAAATTTGGCACTGAAAAATTTTTATTTTTAAATTTATACAGGGTTTTCTGTTGAAAGAATGGTACCAGGTGGTTACTTCATATAAATAAATGATTATAGCTTCGGAACCATGTGACATAGAGTAGCCACAGAGCAACTAGAATTTTTGTTTTAATTTTTTTTTTAAAAATCGAAATTTCTCGTAGATTTATTTACTTTTTCCGATGTGTTACAATAAGATCTAAAAATTAACTCATACAACATTTTCTTATATCTCTCATAATTCTGCCTGTAAAACATATTAAATGTGTTTTGAAAACATGCAACAAATGCAGAGTTTATATATGAATGAAACCCCCTCCCCCTTGTTGTAAAATTTTTTAAATCGGGAAAAGAAGCAATTAAAAATAGAACTTAATCTTAACACAATATAATTGAGTTAATCAAAATTATCAAGTAAATTCAACCTTAAACAATAATTTTATTATCACAATCATACAAAAACAAATTACATTTACAAAATTTATAATAGGTATGGAGTTGCTTATGTACAAGAAATGATTGTAGCAATTTTATTTACATGTAAATAATCAGTTTGTAATAATTTTATATATAACTATATAAATATGTCCATTAATATGTACATATTTATGTAATTTTTGTGTGATTACATTTCGTTTTAATTGAAAATTAAATAAGTTTTAATTTCGTTTTGCTTTTTCAACAGATGCTGATCTATTACCACATATGATTCTAGTTAAAGCAATCCAACTCATAATTGAGGAAATAATCATAAAAATGAAAAATAAGTAAATGTCAAGACAGTTATATGAATACCAAGGCATAAATGTAGAAACAGATTTTGTAAATGGTGCACCTTCAGTCTTTCCAACATGTTCAACCCACCAAATTGCCGTTTCGAGTGCTTTTTGTGGTCGGTTTTTAAATGAATATGAAACTGCTTTTGCAGCATCCATGTATCTATAAATTAAAATAGTATTAAATAATTTTAAGATAATATATATCATTAAATAATATATATGTATATAATATATATTTGATTTTATTTCATATGAATCACCTTCGATTTAAAACTTCATTAATAGCCTTATATACTGAACTTTCTGTAATGTCTTCATAATTTAAAACTATTCCCATTTCTCTTTGTCTAATTGCAGCTGAATTTAAAAATTGATCACCATACATTGGTGTTAATACTGCTGGTACTCCACAATATGCCGCTTCAGAAGCACCCATCAATCCACCATGACTCATAAAAACTTTAACATTAGGATGGCATAAAATTTCTCTTTGTGGTAACCATTTTCTAATTAAAATATTTTTCGGTTGATTATGTAAAGTTTCATTTTCCCATTTCCAAATAACTTTTTGTTTTAAACGTCCAAATGCTCTAAGCATACCATCACGTTTTTCTGATGGCAAAGTTTCAGCCCGAATCATTGATCCCCAACTAACATATATAACGCCTTCTTTGGCACTATCCAAAAATTTTTGTATATCCTAAAAAAAAATATTAAAAAATAAAAAATTTATAAAAAATTTGTTTTCTTACAGCTTCTAATGTTTTAGCTTTTTGTATATGAATTCCTCCTAATTCTATAACAGCAGGAGAAAGTGGTTTTGCGCCTCCCATCGAGTAATGTTGATTAACAAAAAATAAGCTTGTTTCTTTTACCAATTCACTAATTTCTGGTATATCATTATCAAATCTCTTGCGAGATAATTCTGTAGCAGTATGATGAGAATAATAGCTAAATAACAAAAAATACATATGATATACACATATTTATACGTACTTATACTAAAAATATCACTTACTTATATAAAAATTTCATTCCATGAAATGTTATCCAATTTGCTAATCTATATGGAAAGCTCATTTCTTCAGATTGACCTAAAAATAATGACGGAATATATGATGGTATACCTGGATTACCTATTCTATCATAATGCCATGGCATTAAGGCACAACTACTTAATGCAATAACTGGTGCTTTTAATAAATGAGCAACTGACATCATACAATCAGTATTAAATTGTTCCATTATAATTATATCATATGGATCTTGTTTGCCAAATTTTAAAACATCACGTATTGAATCTGAATACAATGCTGTCTGACATGCTTGTTTTCCCCAATCATATAATAAGAAAAATTCCAAGAAATGATTGTAGAATCTTCGATTTTCAAACCACTATTAAAACAAAAAATAAATTTCAAATTATTATTATGATAAAATATTGTTATAATAGTAAAAATAATAAATAAAAAATAATTTATTAATTCCAATTACAAACAGGGTGTTTATTTTATGTCCACATCGCGAATAAATGCGTTTCTTGATAATGAATAGCTCAAGTTGAAAATATTTCATATAAAATTTCCAAAGTACATTGATTATTACTTGGATTATCGTCAAACTGATTAAAAGTAATTTTGTTTGCAATAACTTAGTAAACTCATTTTCCAATTATTTTGTAAAAATTCTTGAGAATATAAAAAAATTACCAATGCATATTCGTATTTACTTCGTTTGATAGAATTTTTAGAACAAAAATCAAGAATATTATTTGAATAAGAACAGCAACAAAAATTAGCTATATATGTATGTATGTATGCACATAAGAATGTAATTTAAAAAAAGTGTCATTAAACTTCTTAAAAAACCTTGAAAGCAGCGTATTTTCGTACAAAAATTATTGCAAGACATTAAATTAATGGAAACTACCTTTATGTATTCGACTACTCATGTATTCTTATATATTTAATCATACATAGCTGTCTACAATATGTTGACCATGACAGAATTTTAAAAATTAATAGAAGTGTTATTATAGAATTTGAAACACCTGTTGTTTCTTATTCACAACTCTTATTCAAAAATAGAAAAAAAAAAAAAAACAATAATTTAAACTAGCTTTATATTTGAAACTAAACTAAATATTGTGCACATGTAAATAAAATTCAAAAAGCTTCCATTAGAGTATATTTTGTACATTTCATTGTTACACTCATAAATTATACTCAGAAATTCTAAAAAATGCTAAGAAAATTTGTTAATATAGGTCAGTATCCATATTATGGCAGCGCTACACACATAACTCTACATTCAGTAAGAAATCTTTTATAGATAAAAAAACTAATTCATAGAAGAAAAAAATTTAAGCTTCATTCAGTATTTACACATGTATGTATGTATGTATATGTACATAAGGTCATTGAACGCTATCATCAGGTGTACAAATTATGATAATAAAATATTTTACAATGATTGAAATACAAAATTATCATATTAAAGCTTAATTTTTTTTTTCTTTCATAATAGAAACTTGAAAACCGGTTTATTCCATTGATAATATTAATTTTTACTATTTTTTTAATATACACATGTATACATAGTGAAATAAATTTCATCAATTTCATTTATTAATCAAGATTTAGAATTGTATTAAACTATATATAGGTAATTGAAGGTTACAAGATTTTATTATACAAATTGTTGTTCTTAAATATTAATTATAATAAAATTTGATTAAAAACTTATACTATCTTACAAGTGCACGCACACTATGGGAAATGAAAATCTTATTAAAAATTCTTAAAATGTGTTAACTTGGAAAAAATGTTTCTATTCAAATTTTAGGAGGTTTCATGATGATAACTTGAAAATGATTAACGTTAGTAGTAGTTAGAAAAGGGGCCCCGCCTGGCCACACACGCGAAGTCCATTCGCTGCCCCAGCAAAAAGACCCATCGACTACCCTGAAATTAATACCTTACAATTCCCACGTAATACAACCACAAAAACTATCTGTGGGAGCAAATTAACCTCCTTGGCGAACCATAAAAACTGCTCCAAAGACTCCCTCAACAGATCATTCCTCTTCCACATCAGAGGCGGATGGGCACAAAGACCATGTTCCACATCTTTCACCTCTGCAATAGCCTGACATCCACGACATACATCCGTCGTAGCGACTCCAAGCCTCTTGACTAAGACGCAATTTCCCGTCAACACTCTCACCAGTATGCTGAGATCAGCCCTACTATATCTCAACAAAATTTCCTAATTATTATACTATATTACGGTAATATTAATTATTATACTATATTAACTTTTAGCGTATTTTATATGTATATTAAATATTACTATATAATAATGATAACATTAACTATGTTTATTTATGCCATCTAATATAATTAAAAATTTTCCAGTTTCAACAAATTTTAAAAATATTCTAGTTTTAGATTTGAAAATATTACAAAAATGTCATAAAGACCAAAAACTTTCTGCAAGATTACATTAACTTATATATATATATGCATATACATATATATATATATATTTTTATGTATATGCATATATATATATATATATATATATATATATATATATATATATGCATATGTATATATATATATATATATATATATATATATATATATATACATATATATATATATATATATACATATATACATATATATATATGTACATATATATCCATCATATATATACATATATATATGTATATATATATATATATATATATATATATATATATATGTACATATAGATATATAATACAGATACATATAGATATATAATATATACATATATATATATATATATATATATATATATATATATATATATATATATATATATGTAGATATATCTATATATATATATATATATATAAACATACATTCGCATACAGAATGTTTGCGAATACATTCTGTAACATACAGAATGTATGTTTAGTGTAATTGCTATTATACCTTTACATACCTTTACCATGTAACATAAATTTTAACTTACCTTTAAATCGACTGAATTAACTAATGTTTTTTGTCCAGTTAATGGTAAATCTCTATAATGTGCTGGTGGACTTTTATCAGGAAAATGACTAACTACTGTTACTTCATGACCATTTTCAGCTAATCCTCTCATTATTGGATGAAAAAAATGAAAATGACTTATACCAGGATGTGGAAATATTCCTAAAATCCGATATGAATTTGTTAAACTGCTAAAAAATACTATAACTAATAGTAAACATTTTTGAATATTATTAATACAAAAATTTGCTGCCATTTTGTCTGAAATAAAAAAAGAAAACAAATACATGAGTATATATGTGTATATATCAATGTAATTTAATTTTTACAATATATATTAGTGACTTAACACAGTATATTTAGTAAAATGGTAATTTTCTACTTGGGACCATTTCGTTAGTTATGGTATAAAAATTATTTTGACCGATCGAGAACTCTTCATATAAATTACAAGAGATACAAGGATTTAAAAAAGACACGAGCTTGTAAAATTCTCTAAATAGAAAATTTTCATGGTCTTGCACATTTTCATTGAATGAAAGGAGAGTTTCTTTTTTATATAGAAAATTTTCTAGTCTCACAAAATTTTAATGTTATAGTTTGTACTCAATTTTCAATATTAATTGATAGAACATTGTTTATCAAAATATACAAATATACAAAATAAAAATAGATTTTGCGGTGCAGCAAAAAGGTCTAAAGTTCCCTATAAGTTTTCAATTTAACATTTATTTTGTTATTAAAATATTGTATAACACTTAAGGTTAATGTACTGAACTTCAAATTTAAAATAGTAGATATAAAATCAACGAAAAAATATTCTATTTATATAAACTTTAAAAAAATTTATTTGATAATAGTTAATTTAGAGCAGAATTGGCCAACTTCCAAAAAAAGAACAAACACAAATATTATTTTAATTGAGAATATAAGTAAAATTTTATTTAAAATAATAAGATAGCAAAGATAAAATTTGGTATTGAGCTGTCAGCATTGTGTTTAATCTGATATTTTTAAGCGTTGTCAATATATAAATTATGTGTGAGAAAGATGTGATTAACATAATTATTACGTGTTTTAATACATTGACTATTTAAAATTTTATTTCCATTTATTTGCACTCTAAAATCGATTTTTAATAACGATTTGGAGAGGAATAAATTTGTTCAAGAGAAGATTGGCTACAAGTTATCGTAAAGGTCAATAATCTCATATAAATTTTAATTCACAATAATATGACTGAAATAAAGGAAATTTGCAATGCAACTCATAAAATTTTCCATATGTACATAATATGTAGCAATGTCGAATAATGTTTAAAGTATTTTGGCTTAAAATTTTGGATTTGCTTGTTTTTGTAGTTTTTTTAGAAATTTTAATTTTAAATATGATTATAAAATGGAAGAATTACATAAAGCGACTTAATGGTCTGATTTCGGGGCAGACATTTACGGTACCTCAGCTCCATTTTTTTCAAATCCATTAACACTATTGTAGTTTACCAGGTTTGTGTATGTGCATATATGCGTTTAAGCTCAATTTTTTTTGAGCTTTCATTCAAAATTTTTAAAGAATTACGAATAAAAGTAGTTTTTAACACAATTTGTCTGTCTGAAAGCAACTCCAACAAAATGACAACCCAGAAACAAGAACACTATACAATCCTGTTGCAAAAGAAGTAAAAAAGGCACCTGGCATGAACAACATGAGGTTATGTGTGCACTAATACTCTTATAAATACAAACATCAAAGGACACCAACCAATAAAAGATAATGTAACCTAAACACAAACACACATATCAACTTGTAAGATGGAGGAATCATTTCAATGAGCAATCTTGAATGCATTACATATAAGGGCGTTCCCAGAAAAATTGTAAATATCAAGACCATATGTACAAGAATACGATTTCCAGGGTTTTACATGCAAACCAGCTAAGCGTGCAAATTAAGGACGTGCCCCAAATCAACTAGATGGATAGCGACGTCAAGCGATGGAGGAACGAAACAAGAGAAGCAAAGATGGGTTTTGCCCGGCTAAGGCCTGTATGGAAGTTATCCCACTTGGCAAACAGCACCAAGATTAGAATATTCAATACCTGCGTAAAATTTGTAACACTGTATGACTGTGAAATATGGCTAGCGCCTTAAAAATCATATGTGGAATATTCTGGTCCAGAACAACAACAAACAATGAACTATGGGCTATTACAGACAAGTAGCCTGTATAAACGTGGCTACAAGTGAAAAAAAGTGAAGATGGGTGGAACACATATTCCGGAGATCAAATAGTAAGATAGAATAGAATACAAAATTAAGGTGGCAAACACATAATAAATTTTAATATTCTGAAATTTTTTTAATTTATAATTTTAAAAAACTTTCACTTTTCATATTTAATGCAATTTCAAATTTATTATTTGAAAATATTATACATACATATTTATTAATTGGCCTTGAAGTTTTGCAATTCTAGAATATTATACAGTAGTTTGTACGCACAAAATTAAATTAACATTATAATAAAAATAATGATATAAATTTTGCGTTTACATAGACTAAACATTTGATTTCAATTTCATGGTAATTTTAATTAACAACCAATTATTATAGTTTTCACTAATTCGAATCCAGGCGAATTTTATGTATTCTTGTTTAAGTATAACTTGTAAATTCAAGATTATTCAGTATAATTCTTAATTGTGTGAGTAATCAATGACGATTTTCAGAAATGTTTACTTATTTTTATTTAACAATATTTTGCAATGATTTTTATATATTTACACAAATTTTTTTCAAAAAGATTTTTCAGAGAATAAAAAATTTCACGATTAATTTTAAATTAATTTAAATTTTTTATAGATTAGTTTTATATAAAAAAGATTTAATTACCTATGCCAATAGATATTGTAAATTATTTTTACATCAAAAATATTGTTAATTTATCTAGGGTTTAGTTTAATTGAAACAGAGATAAATCATCTATTGCCGAATTTATTTGGTACTAAACAATTAGTAATGCACTACTATCAATTTAGTTCAACCATTTATTTGTAATATTAATATGAAAATATTTATTTTAAATTAGTCTACAAAATGATTTACGATAAAGTAATACTCGTATTGTTATTAAATTCTTTATGCGAAAAATATATTTTTCTTTTTTCATTATCATATACCCAAAGAATATTAAGATAATTGAGTTTCCTGTTAAATAGAAGAAATTCCATTCTTTATTATTAAAAGCAATAATTGAAAATAATATTTTTCGCGTTATTTTTATTTTAAATGAAATGAAAATATTCAATAAATAATTATTTTTAATTATAATCAAAAATAAATGTTGTTATCTAGAATTATTTAACGTTTCAAAAATGAATTTTGGTTTTGATACAAAATATGAAATATAACAAATAAATTGTGTACATAAAAAACAGTTAAACATTATTATCATAGTTTCAATATTAAAAGAATATTTATGACGTACACATAAACACACGCATTATAGTATACAATAGCTGTATATTTCATATACTTATTGTGAATAAAGCATATAAAATTTAATGTAAAGAAATTAGAAAAATTGTTTGTGTACGGAAAAATTTTGGAAAATTTGGAAATATGTACTTGGAAAATTTTCTAATTAATCGATAAATTTGTTTACTTCACAATAAAAGAAATTTGTACTATATATGTTCTATATATACTATATATGTGTACTATATATTATGTGTTCACATAATATTATATATATATAATAACTATGTATACTATATACATTATATTTTATTTTATGACACAAAATCTTCTATAATTTCTTTGAAAGGAAAATATAACAATTTTCATTCATTTTACAGGAATACATAATATCTTTCGATATCTATGTACGAGTATATGTAATTTGTGAATACTGTTATTAATATTTAAAAATATAACTAAAATAAAAAAATATCTGAACATTTTTGACAATTTCACTTTACAAACTGAAACCTTTACGTACATATACTCAATATTTTGAATCATTCTACAGAAATTTTCGAAAAGGTTATATTGCTATATAAAAGTTATGAAGCCTATTTTCTTATAAAGGCGCACACCATTATATTTTACAAAGTTTATATGTGGAGAAAAGTAATATACAGAATACAATACTCGATTATGTATATTGTATATGTATATTTTGTCAATTTTACATTTATATACATATATATTATATATATGTTGAATAATAACAATAATTTACATATTTATAAGTAGGCAAATATTAAAAATAAAGCGTAAAATATAATATTGTTTATTCACAATGTGTATCCTTTATTTAATATCCTTTACACAACAATATGTCTAACATTCGATATATATAGATTGAATATATAAATGACGATAAATATACATATATATATATTTATATTTATATATTTGTATATTTTGAACATTTTTTACATTGAACTATAAAAATTTTGAATGAAAGTTTTGATATAATTATTTTAATTGTATTTGCTTGCACATTGCAATTTTTTATGGTTAACACATTCAAATTATAGTTTAATTCAGAATAAAACCCAAAATAATAATCTCAATTTTAATATTTTCTGTACTTGTTCCCCGACTTATTTATTTCATTCCGATTCTTTTTCAATTTCTTTTCCCCTATAATCAATTTGAAATTTTAAATTCATTTGAAAAGTAAAATTCATGTTATATATTAATTTTTATTAATTCAAAATTTTTAATTCAACTTTGTACACATTTCTTATTTCTTTTGACTTTCTTTCACAGTCTCATACTCGTATTATACGTATGTATGTATATCTGTTAGAGCAGTATTTTTTTCTTTCATATATTGTATTACATTCGTATTCAATGTAATTATGACTGTTATGATAGAAAGCATAATCATAACCATAAAAATGTGAGTACTTAAATGAAAATCATGTAATTTGTTTATTATTAATGTTATGCTCTCTTTTTGTTTAATACCAACATTTTTAATAATGTATTTTTATTTATGTTTTCCGTAACTTATTAATATTTTTGTGCGAATGTTAAATTATATTTATACAATTTTAATGTACGGTATGACTCGTATATTTTGAATAAATTGCAATTAACAGAAAATTTCATAATCAAAAATTTAATTGAAAATTTCCTGGTCACATAGTATAAATGTAATGGATTGGATCAAATATTCTGCAAATGAAAAAAAAAATCCTCTAAAATCGAATACAATTACTTTAATTTTTACTAGACATTTATTTATCACCCTCTGAACTTTTCTAATTAATATTAACCTTGTTCTATTAACCTATTAGACACTATATTTATTTAACATGTTACAAACTCTTTTTTTTCTGAATTTCTAAATGAAGAAAATTAAGAGGAATTGTTTTTTTTTTAAATGATTTTTGTTATGTGCTTTTTAAATTTTTTATTAAGTATTTTTAGAATAAATACGTTTTCTTAAAAAAAAAAAAATAAAAAATAAATCAAAAAAAGTGATCCACTTAAGAAAATGAGTACCAACTTATGCATACGATTACGAAACATAAAATTTTTTAATTTTACTTAATCTAACACAATTTTTAAAGATATTTTCTTTTATGAATACAAACAAGTTATTATAAAATTTTCTTAATTATTTCCTACATTTTCAAGTTTTCCACCACTGATTCTTATCCAATATATAAAAATTTTAATTATTTTCAAATTTTCAACTTATGGAAATTAAATTAATTTTAAAATTTTCGTTTCTTTTATATTTACATTTTCTTTTCAAATCAAAAACAAAAAAAATTAATTCTTCCGTATAATTAGACTTAAATAAGTCGACGAGTTACGATCAACTGACGAATTTTCAAAGAAAAATTTAAAAAGAAAAAAAAACATTCATAAAAAAGAGAAATAAACAAAATAATAAGAAAAAAATTTTCGAATAATAGTTGAAATGAATGAGTCTTTAGTATGGTGAAAATTTGTTTTTCCTCATTTTGTTTTGGTTTTTTTTTTGCATTTATTTTGTTTTTTTATTTTATTCCTTTTCTTCTAATATTCTTCATAAGAAATTTGTATGTGTGTAGAAATGCGAAAATGTGATGTTTACTATTTATTTTAAAACAATAATAAAATGAGAAACAAAACAATTATATTATGTTTGATCAATTTATACCGTTATTTAGCAAATTAGAAAAAGCGGTTTCAATAACCATACATATATTGTAATAATAACCACTTTATATGTAAGGTTAACCGTTATTTAATACATATAATTATGGTTGAGCAAAAATATAATTTCTGTATATTGTACCCGTATATCAATATAATACTAATGAATCACGCCGTGAAAAATGTGTTATACAATGAGTGAAGTAATATGAATATGAAAAATGTTTATGTTCATTCGCCGCAATATATGCTACCAATGGTAATTATTCATTATGTTAGATATATTTACATAATATGTTACCTACATAATAGTGTTATATTATGTTTATTGTATGTAAAAAATACGAAATCAGCTGGTAAATGAAATATATATAAGAAAGCACGTGATTTTGAAATTGTTATATTAATTGATTATGTCTGTTATACTCGTATAGGCGAAATAGAAAAACAAAACTAAAATAAAAAAATATTTATAGCGACATTAATAGAAATCAAAGGTCACACAAATCAATTGTATAAGGTTGTAAATGAAACTAGGAATAAAAAAAAATATTTGATTTTTTTGAGAATGCATAACTACATACCTTCATATATGTAGGTATATAATTAATAAATTATGTATGTATATAGTTAATAAGTTTTTTTATAATAATGTTTAGTTTAGTTTTAATAAGTTTTTCAGTTTAAATACATCTACTAAATAGTTTTGGAGTTGAGTTTTTTTGTTATTTCACTTCTGAATATTTTTTTTTGAGTATAATGTTTTCAATCAAAATTTTAATAAATATTTGAAATAGTGATATGAAACTGTTTACAATACTGCAACACTACGAAAGCAACAGTTATGTGTGTATTATAATAAATTATTATGCCGACGTATGATAGAGGCAATTTATAGTTTCGGAAAATTAAATATTTGTTGCTGCAACATGCAATTACAACTGAATGAAAAATAGCACATTTAATTTTTAAATAAAATTTGAAATAAAAATTGGAATACGATCGCTTCAACACAAATGTAAACTCAATTATACTAACGACTCCTGTTGGACTTCTCGTACTAATCTTAATTTTGCAGTATCCCAGTTGTGGTAAAAATTATTCTGAAATATTTAATATGCAAGTTATTACGTCATTATCTATAAGCATTTAAAACTAAAAATCATAATCATTAAAACGAGTGTACATATGTATATATAACTGTGTATTGTTTCCGTAATTCTTCAAAAATGTAGTGAAAACAATAATAAATGTGCTGATACAAAATTTACAAATGATCACTATAATTTATTCAATCCGCACATTAAAATTATATGTCTGGCTTGTGACGTAGATGTACTTTAATAAAAATAAACGTGATAATTTTTAAAATTATTAATTTTATATGCGGATAACAAAAACCTATTATTCATTAAATTAAACGAGTATTCAATTAATTGATTTAATTATTTGCCTAAAAGGAAATAAGATTAACTTTTCATTTTATTTTCTTTTCAGAATTATTCTATGGTCATATTCTTTGAAACAAACAATGGAAATTAAAAATATAAAAATTATGAAAATATTCAAGGAATTTCAAATTTCATCTTATGGTATAAAAATATTAACATTATTTCTCAATAAAGACCAATCTTAATTTATATACAAAATATAAAAAAAAGTCATTGTAGTTTAAATCACATTTTTAATATTAACTTTATTAAAGTTATAAAATCTTTTCAATTCTTTTCATATACCTACGATATTTAATAATAAATTTAGATTAAATACTAAGGATCAATTTTATATTATTACATAATATTATTACTTAATTAATTACTTTTAACTTTAGTAACTTTTGAGCTATTTGATCTACAACACATGAATTTCATAATAAATAATAGAATTGAAATTGTAATTAAACAGATCACAGTTAAAAATATGCATACATCAAATGAATAATAGATGTACCATGGTAATTTAAAATAATCAGATTTATTTAATAAATTTCCTTTTGTTACAGCTACACGTTCAACCCACCAGGTTGCGGTGTCTAATGGTTTTTGAGGTCTATTCCGATATGCTTCAGATACAAGCTTTGCTTATTGTTGGAATCTACAAAATAAGAATAAGAAAAATTCAAAATCATTTTTTTAATTTTTGACGAAGTTTAATGCAAAATTTTTTTTTTACACTTACTCTGACTTCAAAGCAGTTTGTATTGAATTATAAATATTTTCTTCAGTTAAATCATCAAATAATAAAGTTAATCCCATTCCACGTTCCGCTAATGTTTTTGAATTTAAAAATTGATCGCCAAAAATTGGTGTTGCTATAATTGGTACACCATAATATGTTGCTTCAGATGTACCTAATAATCCTCCATGGCTCATAAATACTTTAACATTTGGATGTGACAATATTTCACGTTGTTGTGTCCATTTCATAATATGAACATTTTTTGGTTGATTTGGTAATGTTTCATTTTCCCATTTCCAGATAACTGTTTGTTTAAGACGACCGAATGCTTTAACTAATTCTTCACGTTTTGATGCCGGTATTGATGATTTACGTACCATTGATCCCCAATTAACATAAATTACTCCATTTTTAGATGCATCCAATATTTGTTTCATTTTCTGTTATGAAAAAAAAATAATAAAATATAAAAAATTAAAGAAGGAAATTTTTCATTTTTGAATTTTTGCTATTTTAGTTAAACAAAGATATTGCAAGAATTTTATATTGTATGAGCAGTTGTGTCTAATTGTTTTATTTGCAAAAAGATACAGGAAACAACAGACAAAATTTTGTAATCACCTGTCCACGTTAGATATTTACAAACTCTACCCCGAAAAAATAACTATTTTATTCATTGTTGTTAAAAAATCTGCACAAATTATTTACAAATATTTACAACTTTCCTGCAGACTGTATTGCATGCGATTAATGCAACCACGTGCTTGACATAAAAGCTTTCAACTATAGCGCTCATGTAAATTGAATTTAAACAAATAATCTTTTTTTCTTCGGTTGCTATTTTTATATTTTCTTTTTAGTTATTGCAAACGTTTAAGCTTACAGAAAGCTTTACGAATATTACACTCATTCACTCATTCAAAAGTTGCTTTCATCTTTATATTTTATGCTCTTGCAACACATTTATTTAATCAAAATGCAATTTTATTAAATTGTTCAATTTTTAAAATCAAATTATAAAATATATATAAATCTAATATCATGTATGTAGCATTGTAAATATAAAACTATAAATTCTTACCGGATTTAAAGTTTTAGCCTGTTCAATTTGTAAGCCACCAACTTCAATTACAGTTGGTGCATATGCTTTAACACCAGTTAAAGAAAAATGTTGATTAATCAGCATTAATACAGTTCTTTTTCTAGCAATTTCATCAACATCTGGTATAGAATCACCTAAATATTTTCGAACTATTGTATTTGTTTTAAATTTGGTAACAGTTCTGTAAAAAATAATTGTAAAAAATATTTGATATTTTAATATAAATTATATAAATATATATATATATATATATATATATATATATATATATATATATATATATATATATATATATATATAAGACTGATGCATGTACATATATATATATAAAAATTATGAGAAACTTACTGAAACCAAAAAATACTATAATGGTGATAAAGGAAACATTTAACTCTTTCAAGAAAATTCATTTTTTCACCAGTTCCACAATTATTTGGTGGCCAAAATGATACAAAATATGGTGTTTGCATACGATCATATAACCATGGCATTAACCAACAACTGCTCAATGATACAACTGGAGCATCTAATAAATGTGTTATAGCTAATATACAATCATTATTAAATTCTTCAACTAAAATGACATCAAATTCATGTTTCATTGTTAAAATTTTTGCAATTGCATCTGATTGAAATGCTGCTTCACAATCTTTAAGACCCCAATCTTGAATTCGATGAAATTCTTCTAGACTACTATGAAAATGTTTTGGTTCAAAAATCTATAAATAGTTATAAAAATTGTTATATACTAATAGTTAATAAAATACATTTAATTAATAATAAATACAAAAATCAAAAACTTACACTTAAATCTATAAAATTTTTCATATCAGGTCCTTTTATAGAAATATCAGTAAAGTTTTCCAATGGAGTTTTTTGTGGAAAATAACTAACAACAGTAACATTATGACCTTTGGAAGCCAAATTTTTTAATAATGTTTCAGCAAAATAATAATGGCTAGCAATAGGTATTGTAAATAAACCTAATATATTATATCCATTTGTTGTACTACATAAAATCATTATGAGTAGTAGTGTTATTGGTATTTTTAATGTTTGCAATTTCATTTTGCTAAAAAATTTAAAACTGAAATGAAAAACAAAAAATAAAAATTTAAAATTAAAATTATTGTTTCTTTAATAGTATGTATGTAGGATATTAAATTATAGTCTCTTATAATAATTTTCTTCTAATATTGCATTTATTAAAAGAGAAATTTAATAAAAGTTTCTTATTGCTTTTCTTAAACTTTTACTATAAAACAAGAGGGCTTTAATGTCAAAATTTTTAATTACTCAATGTACAGAGAATAATTGCATACTTGTATAATGCTCTACGATCATGAACTTAAAACTTTCTTGAACTTAAACTTGAAAAATAAACAATAGATGAATCGAACATTTAAATATTTTTTTCAATACAAAACGCAGTATATCATGAATAATTATCAGAAACTTATTCAGTATAACAATTAACTACATTTTGAAACACGTACGTATGTTGAACATTAAACAACAACTCACCATACGTAAAATTTTAAAGCAAAAGTGATTAAATTAAATTTGGTTGATCAACTGATAGTAAATTTAATTGTAATATAATTGATTTTATTAATTAAGAGAAATGGGTATCAAAGATTTTTGAATTTTAAATAGATTCAGTAAATTATAATGACAGACGTTGCAAAACTACAACTTATGTAAGACCACAAAAATATTTTTAAAAATTTTCAAGTACCTATATCAATAATGGAATTTAATCTGTATATGTACATATATGTATATACAAAATAATCCAATCAAACCACAAAAACTTTAAACTAAATTATATTTAAGATTAGATAATAACAAAATAAATAATCATTTTAACGCCACCAAATTAATAAATTATTAAGAGTTTATAGTAAAAGAAAAAAAAAACGAAAATATCCAGACACTTATTTATTCATGGTCCACCTGATTAATTTATTCATTCATAACTATAGAATAATGTGATAATTTTTAATTTTGTATAATATTTAACAATAACATCGCGGCATTAATATAAATATTGAATATAAAAGTTTATTGAATACAATTTTAATAATTTAAATTTATATGCATGCATATATGTACGAGTATGTATATCGAAAATGGAATTTGAAATATAGAACGAAGAGAAAATTACATAATTTTAGAACTACTAAATCAATTTATTAAAAAATTTTTTAAATCAGTTTTTGATTATAAAACAAAATTTAAATCAATTGCTCTTTTTTATCAACATTTGCGTTTTTTTTTGTTTCTTATGAAGAACCTGTTTTTTATTAAAAATTTTGTATATATATATATAATTCTTCTTTTAAAAAAATGCGACTAATGAAAAAGTCAATTAATTCAATCTCAATGTCACTACAAATTTTATCAGAAGAATTTTTTTTTCAAAAAAAAAAAAATAATTAAAAGTAAAAAACCCGATAAAAGTAAATAGTGCGGAGAAATGTCATTTAAGAATTTGTCGAAGCACTTAATACAGAATTTATTTTTTAATTTCTAAATAATTATTTTTCAATTATTATTGCCATTCGTTAAAACAAATCTTACTTAAACAATCATATAAAAAGTATAACATAATTAAAACAATAATAATACGCTAGGCACTTTTATTGCGCTAAGTTAATTTTTAATATGCAGCTGAATTGGCACCAATACAGTACTCAATACATTAAAATTGTTATGTAAAATATGCATAACTTACATACACACATATATTATATGTAGTTATATTATATATTTTACAAAAAAAATATAAATTTGCATAAAAAATAAGTTGGAAACTTTTATAAAATATTTAATTAACAAAGAATTTTGTAAAATATTAAAAAAAAAAATCACATACTGCCGACTAATTTGATTATCAAAACCGTACTAAAATCAATAACAAATTTTCAAATTTAATTTATTAAAAAATATTTTTTGTTTAATATTAAAGTTTGTTAATAGTTTTTTAATTTATTCTTATATAAATATTAACATGAATATATGCACAATTGTATTTATTAAATTTAAATATGTACACCAAATTGAATTTTAATTAAAATTAAAAAATTTTACATTTAAATTAATTTTAAATTATCTATATTTTTAAATAAATTTCAATTAATTATATTTTGTGTACACGCATTAAAATTTAATTAAAATTCTACTATATTATATAATATTATGTGTAAGTTATTTATTATAACCACTTAATAATTGAATACAAAAACAAATAATTTCACAAATCATTCATTTTTAATTTTTAAATTCAATAGCCTACCTATTGTATGTAATTATGATTATTTTTACATTAATGCTTTGATACACTTTATAATTTTTCAAAGTTTATTATTATTTTTTTTTTTTAATATCTAACTGCTATAACATGGTGTTTCTCACAATTCATTTTCTCAACAACTGAACATATTTTAGTGAGTTTTAAATTTCACAGACTATTTCATTATGGTGAATATAGTAAAGAATTTTTAATGTTAAATATTTTAATTTAAAATAAACAGAAAAAAAATAATTGTGCAGTAGTAAACAAAAAATTCATTGAATTTGACAAAAAATTTTTACTGCGAAAAATGTGAGAGTATATGATGAAACAGCCTGAGTATTCAAAAAAAAAACTTGATTAACAACAAATTATAAGAAACTATCTCGACTTCTCTGATCTCTGAAAAAATCTGATGCGGTTAGCACATAACCGACCGCAATGTGCATTGCCTAATTTATGGGAAGTTGCTTTCATCTTAAATATTGGCTCTTAGTAAAATTTCGCTTTGTACCACCCAAATTTCCTGAAAAGTTCACCAGTTAGTTTCGATAAAAATCAAAACCCAAATATCAAATTTCAAGAAATTGAATCAATCCGTTCCGTAGATATGGTAAAAAATATAAAACCTCAAGCTTGATTTCCGAGCCCTGACGTTTCATAAAAATTTGTAGATTCATTGTTTTAACATCCCATATTTAAATATTAAATTTCAAGCAAATTGGTCGATAAATTATCTTCATATATGGCCCGAAAAAGAAATATACGCATGTAAACCAAATTTTCGCAGAATAATATGACTAAACTATTAAAGCCTTTACATTTAGAATAAAATCTGGAATTTAACCAAATCCAAACTATTTAATTTGTTACTTTGGAATGACGAAAATATAAATAAATTCTTGTAAGATGGTAACACTATAATCATATAATTTTTCGTTCATATACAAAATTTTAGCAACTTTTTGGTGTTTTTTCAAATTAAAGCGAAATTTTTTCTTTATTTTAATTTTTTTTGTGAAATTTTGTGAAATCAGTATTACTTCGAGCATATCACTATTAATTATAATGCGTTATATACGAGAGTATATAATTATATTTAACAAAATTTAATTACATACTCGATTTTTAGTAAGATTTTTTTATTCCTATACTGTATTAATTTTAACTATAATATTAAAAAGCTTTTTTTTCTGTTTCAATTATATTCTTCGCCTTCATTTCATGATAAAGATATTTATTTAACAAAAAAGTAAAAAAAAAGCAGAAACGTAAAATATTTCAGCATTTTTTACACATTAATTTTATATTTTTTTAAAAGAAATTCTAAACTTGACCTTATTACCTACAAATGTCAACATGATGACAACTTTTAAATAGGTAATTTAACATAGACGTCGCAGCACCGGTTAATTAATGTGATCCTATGACGATTTTTTTTTTTTATTTTGAATTTGTCAAACATTACAGTCAAATTGTTTTAACATTGTGTGCACGTTTTTAAATAATTTTATTTGTTTGTTTATTTTTTACATAATATTTTACAATGATATTCATATTTTTTATTTATGAATTCATTTTCGGTCTCAATATAGTGATATATATAGTGATTCTATTGCATGAATTTAGCTTTGTTGTAAAATGATATTTTGTGTAAGTCCATTCTAATTTAGTATTAAGGAATGGCATGTTTTCTTATGTACTCTCATAATGAAATTCTAGTCCATAATTAGTCTTATATTACCAATATTGCTTTTAAACAGGTATAGGATCGAATGGTTTAAGTTTTCTATATTATATAAAATTATTATTGTTAATAAAAATCCATACATTTATTTAATAAAACTCTTGAAATAATTGTACATAGCTTAATAATTAGTGAAATTTCGAAAAAAAGTTCTGTACTTCGCTCTCGTTTCGCATCATACTACAATCAAATTACTTATTCTTATTTCATAGAATTTTACTCCATTCGCTCAAATTTTTTTGTTTCAAAGCATTTCTGAAATAATAAAACATTTTCTTTCTAAAAGTATTTCTTTTAATTTTAAAAAGAAATCAAATATAATTAAATTAAATAATACATACATATACATATGTACATATATACTTATTGTCAGCTATTTAAAATAACAAAATTTATTTTAATTTAAATTCCTTGGAAAAAATGACAAAATAAAATGGTATAATAAATCATTATTCAAAGAAAACTGATCTAATTTTATATTTGATTTGTTTTCTAAAGAGTATTAAAAAATATTTAAAAAATAATCTAGAAGAAAAACTAAACAATTTTTTATTTTTTATTTTGAAAATTGAAACTCTCCAAAAAAAAATAATATATTTTATTATTTATATATACATATCTCATATTTTTATAGTAGATAATATTTGTGATAATAGGAAAACTGCTTGCAATCCAGCAGTTGCCATCCGGTTCGTGTCAATTGCTTGTATATTGTTAAGCAAAAATATTAATTCTGGTCTAACCGATTTAACTCTTTTAACAACGGAAATTTTTACTAAAGCAATATGAAAAAATATACTATTTTGCTCCACAATTTCAGGCATAACATAAAATATCATTGATAGAAGTTCTATAGCTCTAGGAACCTTATAAGAGATATTATTACATGAATAAAGGTTTGCAGATAAAAAAATATAGTCTTTAATGCGGAGAGCTTAAAGTTCCTAAATTTTACATTTACATAATCTAGCGGCAATATACAATTTATTACTCCTAATATAATTTGCACATGAAACATAGACTTGAAGTTTGAGCTGGCAAATGATTTTGGAGACGCAAATTAAATAAATGATATATTGAGTTATATTAATCTATTGTCAAAGAATAATAATATAATTATGTAAGTAAATTTGAATATAATTAGTGTTATTAAGAATTTATTCAAGCATGTAACTCTTAGTATATTGTATATACCATTAATTAAATATTGTGTTATGAATATAATCTTAAATTTTAAGCCTTATGGTTATTGTCTTGCTAGTCTTACACAATTTATTGTATAATTGAAAGAATGTAACAAACTAAATTAGTGAAAAATTCATATTTAAATTATTATGAGTAAGCTATATATTATATATAGCTATATATTATATATGTGAGTAGCTATATATTATATATATCATTCCACTTTTAATTTAATAGTCATTATATTAAATTTCACTAAACGATATACATAAGTACACAATAAATTCTTTATACTTTTGTTATACAACAAAAAAATTATAAATAAATAAAATATTTTGCAAGCACTAATTTGTATGTTTTGTTGGTAATTTAAATTTTTAAAAAAATATTTGCTCAATTTAATTTATATTTGCTCTTATACCACTAGTATATGTATATGTATTCAGTTCCATATCCTTACATATTTGAAAATATTAATTAATATTTTCAAAATAAAATATGTTAAGATCAATATTGTGAATGATACGAGTATTAGAATGATTATAACTTAAATTTTGTCATATGTCATTTATAAAGGGGTAACCTTTAAAATAAAATCTAAATAGACAAAATAATATTATAATGAGCGCTTAAAATGAAATTACGTAAGTCATTTTAAGGTAAGCACCGAATATTTTTATGTTCATTTAAATAATTAAGTACAACAATTTGTAACATACACATATGAAAATGATTTCACATAACAAGTAATTCAATAATTCTATATTATGTAATCAAATAACAAAATTACTTTAAATGAATTATAAAATTGAAAATTATTAAAAACTTCATTTGTTTAACTAAAATTTAACTACTAAAACACATGTCAAACTACTTTATCACAATTATTTCGGCTAGCTTCTGAATTTTATCATATATATTACATATATATATATACAACCTATTATATATAAAATTATTAAATAAAAAATTATTTACCAAATTTTTTATTTAAAAAATAATATTTAATGACAGGCTTTTTGTTATGTCATCAATTTCTTTTTATTACAACTTTTCCAATTATAATAAAAATCAAAAATAATTAATTAAAAATTTTTGAAAATAAAAAAAAATTCATTGCAATCACCTTATATACATACATAATTCTTATATCATTTCTATTTTTGCTATTTTATTACAATGTAAGTATTAAAAATTTTGAAACAAATACTCGTCTTAAGTCCATAGATCAAAAAAATTTTAATAGCTCAACCCGATCACTTAATTAAAGATACCATATACAACAATAATATTGTGTTAATTCTAATACGATAAAGACAATATAAAACGAATTTGCACTTGAAAAGTTCATTTGCATTTTAATTTCTTCTAATATTTTATCAAAAAGTATAAGTATTACTAAATTTAGTTCTATTATTTTAAATAAAATGTATTCAAAAATTTATAAAGGTAAACAGAAATTTTATACATGTACATACATATATGTACATATATATACTCTCTATATATAAATTAATTATAAATTCTTCTTTTGACTTTGAAATTTTAACAACAATTTTGATTTTAAACCATTTATGTATGTATGTGCATATGTATGTATATAAAAGAATTAATTTTTGCAAGGCACTAAAAAGCTTTTTGCTTGTCTTTTCGTTTATGTATATACATATATATAAATTATGAATGAATTATATTTTTCTTAGTTTGTCGCGTAATTAACTCCTTTTTTATTTAAAATCAAATAAAGTAAGGCAATTGAAGTATAAATATATTTAAATATGTTTTTAATTCATAATATTTATTCTTTATCTCTGATAAACATATGCCGTTAGGCAAAACTATCAGGGCACATTTCGAGAAGTCGTGCGTCGATCGATCTGTTGGAAGCGATAACCCACCACGGGGTTGTGCTCTCTCCACTTCTTTGGAATCTTGTAGTGAATCAACTTTTGCTACGCTTGGAGGAGGAAGTCTCTTAATATTGTTTCTGACAGAGCAGCTGGCCGCGAGTTGGATAAAAACTGCCGTAAGACGAAGCTGGTCATTTTCGGCAGGAAATACAATATACCAGGTATGGTTCCGCCAAAACTGGATGAAAAAAGGCTTTCTTTCTGCTCTGAGACCAGATTCTTGAAAATACTCTGCGCTTAACTGGGGCTCCAGCATGAGCGAGTGAAGAAAGCAATTACTGCGCTCTATTGATATTCTGGCATT